GGCGCGTGATTGGCTCGATGTCATCGTTGTCCACTGGATCTCGGCACGCTAGATGTGGCTCTTTTTGGCCACTCACTGTTCCCGGCTGGTAAATAGAGTCCCGTCCAGTTCCACAGATCCTCACTCTTCTCCTTAACCATTAGCGACATCTCTACTATTGCGATGCATCCACGATCAGCACTAGGCTCTCCAACACCATCAGCTGCGAGTCGCCTCTCAGATAGCAGCCGTTCAGATGGCAGTCGTCAATTCGCGCGGAACGGAAGCGTATCAGAATTCGAAATCGAGCGACCACTCAAAATGAATACATCATCTCCAAAACGACCAGGCGTTCGTCGTCGTCAGTCTGAATATGGCGCTGAAACTGCTCTTCGTGCGAGCGTATCACGTTTACTCACCGCCAAAGCGCGTCCGTTCACTGTCACCGGTCACATCCCAATGGACCCGGCGTCCTTGGTGCTATTCTTCCGCTCAAAGGTGAGCTGTTTGTGGGCACTGATTAATAGTCGTTATCTGAATCTGAGTCCGATTTACAGAGTGGCATTACCCACTCGCTTGATTTCCCCATCAACATTGATTACGACACACCCCCGGCTCTCGAAGTGCTACTCGCAGCATGTAAACCCCATCCGACACCTGGATTTGATGTATACCCTGACCGTGAAACCCTTTTCTACCCATCGAATCTTCCTTTGACCGCCACTCTCGAAATCGCCAACCATCCCATCCTCGATGCAGTGCGCAATGCACTGTTCCCGGCATTACCCATGGGACATTACCTCACCGCCCTGAGAGATAAACTGGAGGTGATGGTAACTGGAGCGCGTATGGCGCCCCAACCCCGTACATTACGCAACGATGGTAGAGTTGCTACAATATGTGTCACTCTACCTGTTCACCATCGTGGTGGAAACATGATTGTCCGAGACTCAGAAGGGACAGAAGAGAAGTTCTTCGGAGGTGGAGGCAAACCTTCGGAGGTCCACTGGACTGCATTCCTTGGGGAATGCGAATACGAAGTCGAAACCATCCAGCAAGGATGCAGGATGACCTTTACGTACGCGGTGCATCTGAAGACATACGGCGCAGCAGTCGATCCTCTGATCACACCGAGTGAATACTTCCTTGATCTTCTTTCCCCAGTCCTCAGCCTGTCTCGCGGACGCAAAGTAGCATTCTATTTGACCCATGATTACGGTGTCAATCCTTCGGAGGGCCTAGCCGAATCTTTGGTTCCTCATGTGAGTTTCAGCTGACTGCGGGCAGGACTTTATTGACGTAAGGTGACCAGCTTAAGGGCAGCGATTCACTTTTATACCATGCCCTGAAGGTGTACAAACTTGCGCCGGAGCTGCATTGGGCAGCGGGGGGATATGTCTGGCCCATCGATCGGACCGTAGAATGCGGAAACGATGTTCTGGATTCGCCAACAAGCTTATCATCGATGGGCTTTCCTAGCGCTTTTGGATCACCTGCTCGTTCAGCAAAATCCATCCGTGGTCCGATGAGCTACTACGGTGGTCCGGAAGAAGATGACGTAGAGATAATGAAAATCGAAGCTCACAACCTGAGGATGAGGGTTGAGGAGAGCGGTGCAATCCCTCTTTCTCAAGCGGAAATCTTCATCCTTTCTGATTGGGTTCCCGGGCCGCTTGCGAAGGAGAGGGTATACTTTGTGTCCAATGGAGAATTGGAGAAGCTGATCGTGAATGTTCTCCTCGTTATTTATGTTCCTTGAGACTTGTTGGAGGGTACGAAGGACGTAATTTGCTAATCATCTAATAATTGGCTGCAGGAACGGCTGCGATGGAACTCAGTCCGGACACTTACTAGTATTTGTACTTTTACTATTTACTGCCTGTAAGTAATGACATATCTGATAAACATGGCTACAAATATTTCTACCGCAAGATGTTCGGCACCATGTCATGTTTGAACTCCGCCCGAATCGTGTAATACTCGCGATTTCGTTGGTCGCTGTGTATCACGACGAGCACCGTTAATCCCCGCTTTTTTAACCGGCAGCGCTCGTCCGTGCGAGTGACCTGCAATTGTTCGGTTTTCTCTGCATATTTCTTGGTCCTCCAAATAATATCTTAATGTTACGCTTGGTTTCGCGACCCTCCTCAACGGGGCGACTCGGGAAAGTCGTTTGCTCTGGTGCTTCACATGGTACGCCTGCCTTGACCTCCATATCATCCTAGGTGTTCATATTTTGTAGGCCGCAGGTCCATAGCGTCCACATCTGCACGTCAAGCTGATATCACTCTCACTGTTGACGGGAAGGAGGTAACGGTTCCGCAAGGTACATATCTCTATATTTCTGTTCGTGTTTCGCGCTTCACATAGCTTATTATCGCGTAGGGTCCGCGTTGATTCAAGCTTGTGAGGCTGCTGGTGCTACGATTCCTCGGTATGTCTTTTCTATCTATCTGTATCACTCCAGTAGTTGCTCACTAACTCCCTCTTCAGGTTTTGCTACCATGACAGGTTCGTCAGAATGTAGTTTCTTTCTTGATAGAATGTAGAGGCTGAAACTGCCCTTTAGACTCGCGATTGCTGGTAACTGTCGGTGAGTGGAAAGTGTGACGGCGAAAGGGAGGCGGAATGTTGATGCTTGCTCTAGTATGTGTCTGGTTGAAGTCGAGCGTTCCCCAAAGCCAGTAGCATCATGGTATGATATCGTACTCATTTTTTATGAGTTCATGTGCTTATCAATGATATTCAGTGCTATGCCGGCCATGCCTGGTTCTAAGGTGTTCACAAATACCCCGCTGGTTCATGAAGCTCGGTAAGACAATATTGAAGGTGTCTGCATTTTACCGCATCTGCTCACAAGGTGCGCAGTGAGGGCGTCATGGAATTTCTTCTAGCCAACCACCCACTCGACTGCCCTATTTGTGACCAGGGTGGTGAATGTGACCTTCAGGACCAGTCCATGCGATACGGCTCTGACCGTACGCGTTTCCACGAAATTACGGGCAAACGTGCAGTGGAGAACAAAGATCTTGGACCTCTCGTTAAGACTTCCATGAACCGTTGCATTCAATGCACTCGGTGTGTCCGGTTTGCTAATGAGGTTGCTGGTGTCGAGGAGCTTGGTACGACGGGTCGCGGTAATGACCTTCAAATCGGCATGTATGTTGAGAAGACCATGGACTCCGAACTTTCTGGCAATATCATCGATCTTTGTCCCGTCGGTGCTCTAACAAGTAAACCATACGCCTTCCACGCCAGACCATGGGAACTAAAAAATACCGAATCCATCGATGTCATGGATGCCGTTGGTTCGAATATTCGCGTCGACTCTCGCGGTGTCCAGGTGATGCGAATCCAGCCTCGAACCAACGATGAAGTCAACGAGGAGTGGATCAGTGATAAGACGCGTTATGCTTACGACGGTTTGAAATTCCAGCGCTTGACGACGCCTCTAATCAAGCAGGGCGACCGTTTCGTTGCAGCGTCGTGGGAGGAAGCTCTACAGACAATTGCAGATGGTATAACCTCCTCAGGGGCTACTGGCAATGAGATTCAAGCCATTGCTGGACACCTTGCTGATACCGAATCCCTTGTTGCCCTCAAAGACTTGATCAACCGCCTAGGATCAGACAACCTTGCACTCGACCAGACCAATGGCAGCGCACCACCCCCACATGGTGTTGACGTTCGCTCCAATTATCTCTTCAACTCTACCATCCCCGGTGTTGAGGAAGCCGATGCCATTCTACTTGTTGGCACTAACCCACGTCACGAGGCTGCCGTCCTTAACTCTCGCATTCGCAAGAACTGGCTGCACACAAGTCTTGAAGTCGGCCTCATCGGCGAACGTGCTGATATGGCGTACGGTTACGACTACCTTGGAGCAGATTCTAAGGCTCTTGCTGACTTCATTGCTGGAAAGGGAGCATTCGCAGCCAAATTTAAAGCAGCCAAGCGGCCCTTGATCATCGTCGGGAGCGCTCTTGCGGAGCAACCTGACGGTGCTGCTGCTTACAACGCGTTGGCCAAGTTTGTCGAGAAGAACAAAGATTCGCTCATTACCCCTCAGTGGAATGGCTTCTCCGTCCTACATAGGGTAAGCCTTGACTTTTAACTTCTGATTTTCAGTCGAATGAATTGCCTTTTAGATTGCCTCTAGACCTGCGGCATACGAAATTGGGTTTGTTTCTTCGAAGAAGGCTGCAAGTACCCAACCCAAATTTGTCTACTTGCTCAACGCAGATGAAGTCGACCCCAAGTCCATACCTGCGAATGCTTTCGTCGTTTACCAAGGCCACCACGGAGATCTTGGCGCCTCGCTTGCTGATGTCTGCTTGCCTGCTGCAGCATACACTGAAAAGGCTATGACATGGGTGAACACGGAGGGCCGGTCTCAAGTAGGTCGTGCCGCTGTTCCTCCACCTGGCGCTTCCCGTGAGGATTGGAAGATTATTCGGTAGCTGTTATTTTCGTGCGACTGTTATTTATACTCACCTCCTATCTTCTAGTGCACTTTCGGAAGTTCTCGATTCACCACTGCCTTACGATGATGTCCTGAGTTTGCGTGACCGCATGTGGGATATCTCGCCTACTCTCGTCCGCTACGATGTTACAGAACGAACATCCCCTGAAGTTGCTGTGGCAGGCCTTCAGACTATAGCAGCCAATACGGCATCCGCAAAGGTCTCTGGCAAGCCCTTCCTCAAGCCCATCTCCAACTTCTACCAAACCGATCCTATCTCACGCGCGTTAGTATCTCTCATTTTTATCTATTTTTAAATACAGGCTCACGCGTTACTGGTAGATCCGTCACTATGGCACAATGTACGCGTGCCTTTGTCAAGGGAGAGGACTATGGGATCAGTGAAAAGGGCTCGGAAGCAGCGTATGCGTGACGGATGTATACTAGTAGTAGGAGTAGTTCTTAAATTTATCTTAGATGCGCAAGACTCCTGCTTTGCGACATCCTGTGCAGCTGTTTTTAGCATATTGATGGATCAGATGCATCTGCATTGTATTGTAACACTTAGACCTCGAGTCGGAACGCTATTGACAGCTGCCAAAATGAGGTAAAAGCAGTTAGACCTACCTGTCCTTTCCCATGACATCCTTCATTATTGGCGCACATGCCAACCGCAGTATACCAACAGAATGGAGGGACGATGCAGATCGCAATTGCCCATTCTGCCGTATTATCGCAGGCGAAATGCCCTCGACGCGTCTGTATGAGGATGATAAGGTCATAGCTATTCTAGGTACTTGGCGCTGAAAAGTGGGCGAAAGCTGTTTTGACCTGCTACACAGATATCCTGCCCTTGAGACGTGGGCACACTCTTATTATACCCAAGGCCCATCATTCGCGCGTGTCGGAATTGCCCTTAGAATATGCCAGTGCAGTGGGGCAGGCTGTGACGAAAGTGGCGAATGGACTGACGAAAGGTGAGGATGCTGTTATGATCCTCAGTGGGATATGTTAAGGAGATTTGCGCTCGGAAGTGTTGGGTAATACTGCGCTCAATGTGGTGTGCAATCAGGAGTATGCGCAAGCAGTGCCACACGTATGTGTTCGAATCTTTATCTGCAGCTTTGAAGCTCACTCTATGACGTTGCTGCTTAGGTTCACTACCACATCATTCCCGCCCCGTCACTTAACTCGAGCGCAAGAGTAGAACCATCTGAGAAACCGAAGGAGAATGACATACCTCTAAGCCGGCGGGAGATGCACCAGCGAGAATTTGAGTCGAGGGAGGAGCTCGATGAGGATGAAGGGAAGGCCTTGGCTGTGAGGATACGAGCCAGTCTATAATGGTACGGGAAAACGTCCGTCTCATCTAGCATTTGAAACATACCTTAATCTTATTGTACTGCTGATGTTTATCCCCTCAGACTCTTGCTGCTATCATGTTGGTAACACTCCCGATAGCTTAAGTATGTACCGGCCATCTTTGACGATTGATTTATACTTTATGCATTACACTGATCACAATTGTCTCGCCGTATCAGATGTTGTAATATGATACGTATCCAGACGACTTCTGATTTCGAAAGTCTTCGAATGGCAGTGTCACAGCGCCCATAATACACAACGCTAGAACAACCCTTACTATTTGGTTAGTCTCATGAGACATAGCCGCGCCAGTGACTCGGTCCTGCACAACGTCACTCATCGGATAGGCTCGCTATATCACAAGCGCTGTGGCCCTGCTGCTTTGCAGGGTGGGACTTCGCTGCGCATAGTTGCGCTGTCAGCCCAGCGATGCTATGCCCCTTTGCTGAATTCAGATCACCGTTCTACTTACGAACACGAACACGAAGCTGAAACACTGGCATCAAAAATCCTGGAGACAAAGACCAAGCTCTTGGTGTTTCGGAATCAAGTAAGTACTATTATGCCAGTACATATCACAATACTGTACCTCTGGCAATCGTGCGTCACAAGGCCTTGGTTGCGTTATTGATTTACCCACCATAATGCCCCACAGGTTAAGTGCAGGTATGTTGTAGAGATCAGACAAGAGTGACTAAAACTACTTTTTTGCTGCTGTATCACCTTCCTACTCGCGTTTACTAACCAGTCCATGCGTGTCACCTTGCTGTCCGTCCCGGCTCCTCTCCGTTGTTACTAGTAAGTGAAAATTCCGCTAGCGATAGTTTGAACCCAAGTCAAGCTATGCTAATCTGACATATAGCAGGCATCCGATGATGACACAACTGGGATTGTGACATCCGAACAACAATCAGGCGAGGTCGCTAAATTTGTATCACGCGCAGTTCACAATTGCCTCCATACGCAGAGGTACAGCACTTTGAATCATAGATTGCCATGCCGGCGCATCTGGCCAATCGGGCCCGGGTTGCAACTAGAACGATCTCTTCGAGGCTCTCTGAATCTGAATGCGCACACACGTGTTACAGCGCCCATATACACAAGCTAATGTTAGACCAACATTGAACAGCACATGTTGATGTACTATTAGGGGTTTCGTCAACCCAGCAGCGCTCAGCTAGTATTTGCTGTTTGCCCACCCCAGATTGCTGGCTCAAAAAAACCAGGTTTGTGTCAGTCAAACCCTTACTTATCATTACTGGATACACAGAGTTCATCAAAGTCTACCCTGCGGCTGTGACCTTGAATACCATCAGCTTATCAGTGATGCGATATCGTAAGATGCCGTCACGAGTTCCGAACAATTAATCCCCACTAGACCCTCGAGGCTCGAGGTGAATGGATTCGATTCCCGCCAAGAACACGACCCAAGTTGTTTCTATATATAACGATATACGTGAAAACCGGCGAAGATGCTCTTTCTTTCCTTCGCACATCTCCTAGTCTGTACACAGCTGAACATTTCTATTTCTCCATGGCTGCAAGTGGCATCCCATTAGATGCCGGTACTTTAATGTCAACTGTACTGGAAGGTATTTTATATGGTGAGTTTTGCAATAGGTCTGACCTTCCCGTGCTCACCAAGCTGGGATCATGACTCTAGGCTTTTCAATCCTTCTGTTTATAGGTACGATCTGGTCTTTAACCTACAAACAGCGCATACAAGACATCAATCGCCCAATTGCCACGGTGGTCGTCCTGCTGTGGATGCTGAGCACTGCAGTTAGCGCTTCTTTCTTCTTATATTTGTTGACATCTGCTAACATCTTCCAAGCACATCATCGTGAACATTATTCGTGTTGAAGACGCATTTGTGAAATATCGCCACACGTACCCAGGTGGGCCGTCGGCATTCCTCGCAGACGTTGCCCAGCAAACGTATGTACTCAAGCATGCGTTATATGTCTTACAAACTCTACTTGCTGATGGGGTAGTGGTGGGTTCATATTCTTATCTACCTGTTCAAAACATTGCGATTTTTCTTTTTTTGATGACTGTTTGAACCTCTGGGCTTATTAAAATTATCCTGTTATAGATTTATCGCTGCTATGTTGTTTGGCAATCTATCTGGATTATCATCCTGCCAAGCATGCTGTGGTGCAGCGTCGCAGGTTAGCCCACTATCAGGATCCTGAAGTCGTGTTGACATTGCTTCGAAGTGACTGGTATTATTGGGCTGTATTGTGCGGCCCAATCCGGGAGCAACTCTGGAGACATCTACGCCCAAGTGCTTGCGAAATGGGTCACAGCGTTCTTTTCCATGACAATTGCGACCAACTTGTTAAGTTCAGGTGAGCACCTTTCTGCGTGAGTACGGTTGTCGAGGCCCTGATTGTGTTCAGGATTACTGATATATCGCATCTGGTTGATTGAGAGGAACGCCTCTACAGCTCGCGTCACGAATGTCACTATGATGCCACTCTTGCATGTGCTTATGGATACTGCTGTTTTGTACTCTGTGGTGCTGTTCGCGGCATTGATCTGTTTCGTCTGCTCGAGCAATGGAGAGGTTGTTATGTTGGATATGGTAATTCCGCCCTAAACACCTTTCGTCGAACATAAAACTAAGCTTTGATTAACTAGATCATGCCGATTGTGTCGATCGCCTTCTACATAGTGCTTATTCGCATTGCGATCAGTAGAAAAACCCGCAGTTCCTCCAGCATTAATATACCCAGAAGGACAACTAGCGAGGGGGGGCAGGACAGCTCGCAGCAACATTCTATGCAGCCTTTGCAGGTTCATATACCCCAATTCAATGTCGATACTCCAGGGTTCGGCAAAGGGAATGAAGGCCAAGTATCGCCATACCCGGTAGAGTCTGTGTAAAACGCACCTCGAAATATGTATGTAGTCTACTTGAATTTGACCTCTTGATACTATTTGGCATGTCAGCACAAATAACCGCCGTATCGGTGTCAATTGTATCAACTCCGTCATGCTGCGCTGGGTATTTGCAATCCATTCCCTGCAAGATATTACTCTTCCATTTTGTTTCCACTTTCACAACACTACCAGCCGTACATGGCTGGTACCACCTGCACCTTCCATAGCTGAGAACAAACATTATACATTGCTTTGCCTGACGGTGACTTAGCTGTCGTCGTCGTTACCTTTGGAGCTAATACAGGTTTCGTCGAGGAGTGCAACCTCGCGGTCGAAAAGTGATCGTGAGAAATGCATGACTGGTTCCATGAATGTCTGAACTTATGCCTCCTGGGCTAATTGGGTCTCAATATAATGATTCAACCATTGTATCGAGACCCAATTAGCCCGGGGTAAATACTAGTGCTGTGAAACTATTACTGGAGCGGCAGACACTGAACGAATGCGAAAGCCTAACGTCTTTAAGAGAAGTGAATCAATGAGTATGTCTCTAGAGCAAACGAAAAGCATAGGTTGAAGCTTCCCTGGGAATGATTTCGCATGCATGGAGAGTCCAATGGAAGTTCGAGCTCCGAGACCGGTACACCTTGTTTGCTCATGTGATTCTGTAGAATTATCTCGTTGCCACTGTATTTGAGCTCTTCAGGTCGCCTTGAATTGTATTTCGATCGTCTGTCCAGATGACTATTGTTGGGGCAGTACCTTCCGACCGAATCCAACGACATTGTGGATGAAGTTGATGAAGCGGTATCAGTATCTTCAACTTGCCGGGAAGCCGCAAGGATTCTCAACGTCCGATCAGAGTTTTATTACTTATTTATTCGATTTTATTTCATGTATAATTTAGCCATTATGTAATGTATGTAGATTCCACTAGTAGTAGTCTCTGTGCATACAAGTATTACTACTAACTTGTATTGTAGCTTGTGAGAATGCAGCCCTAACCGAAGCTACTGTCTCCTCGCTATAGCCAGAGGTAGGTAGTATTGCTTTCAAGTCAGCCTACTGTGCATTGATATCACTGCCCAAGTCTTATATATAATGATATATGCACAGGCTGGCAAAGATGCCCACAACTTCGCGCACCTACCGTAAGGCTGTAGACAGTCATTATAGATCTTATTTTTTGCCATGGCTTCAAACATTCCATTGGATAGGGAACTGCACGGGTACGGGTAACCCGCACGGGTCACGGGTACGGGTACCGCTGGGGTACGGGTACGGGTCTGAGATCATGATACCCCTACCCCTACCTGTACCCGCGCTGTGGGTATCAGTCAAGGTTTGCACTCTTTGTTTGATGCTTTGGCGCATATGCTTATGTTATATTGTTTGCTCTTGTTAGATTCTAAAGGATGCCACGACACTCAACCGGTACTATCAGACCATCTTCTTCAACACAACACCTATTGTCAAGTCCCACAGCTGAAGTCTATTGTCATGTGAGTTGTCCTTGATCATTCTTGCTTGTCTTTACTCCCTGCTCGTTTTCTCAGACCTCCACTGCACCCTCTCATACATTGCGCGCACCCTCTCATATCCCGCGCACCCTCTTGTACATCCGGCACACCCTCTCGCACCTCTCAGACCTCCACCCTCTCATACATCGCACGCACCCTCTCGTACATCCTGCGCACCCCTCTCATGGCTCCAATCCACCCTCTCGTACATCCAGTGCACGCTCTCATGAGTCCGTTGATCCTCATTCAAGCAAAAGCCATGCTGATCCGAGTCGTTGCCCACTGTTCACAGTTGGTCAGTCCGTCAATCCTCGTTCAGGCAAGAGCCATGCTGATCCGAGTCGTTGCCCACCGTTTGCAGACTGTGAGTCCGTCGATCCTCATTCGAGCAAGAGCCATGCTGATCCATGTCGTCGCCCACCGTTTGCAGTTTGCGACGTTCCCAATGCGACGGACACCATGCGCGAATGCCCAGCGCGTGCCAGCAAATTTGCCCGTGCCTCCACTCCTCCTTCTTGTGCCATCCACATATGTTCGAGTCACGTCAGCATTCACTGACGTGTGCTGGACATATGTGCTAAGCACTGGCGGTGATACCTATGGTACCCACGGGTAAACCCTGCACAGGTGCGGGTACGGGTCTGAGCTTGTTGTACCCGCCGAAAACCCGTACCCGTCAGAGCGGGTACGGGTTTTTGCCGGGTGCGGGTGCGGGTATGGCCTCCAATACCCGGGGGTTTACCCGTGCAGTTCCCTACCATTGGATGCCGCTTCTTTACTGGCATTGGTGCTGGAAGGCGTGGCATACGGTGACAAGCAGTTCCTTCGTCCTATGCCCACTGAGCTAAAGTCTCCTCTCTAGGTTTTTCAATCCTCATGTTTATCGGTACTATCTGGGCTTTGACCTACAAACAGCGTACGCAGGATGTCAGTCGCCCAATCATTGTGGTGGCCATCCTGCTATTGATACTGAGTACTGTGGTAAGCCATTCTTGCCTCCTACATATATTGTCATCTGTTGACTTTCTCAAAGCACATCGTCGTGAACATTGTTCGTGTCGAAGACGGACTAGTGAAGTATCGTAACACGTTCCTGGGTGGGCCAGTGGTATTCTTTGCCGACCTTTCCCAATACACATTTACGATCAAGAATGTGTTATACATCTTGCAAACTCTAGTGGCCGACGGGGTAGTGGTGAGTTCATACTATATGCAGCTTAAATCCCACTGGGCTCACAGAAGTTGTTCGGTTGAAGATTTATCGATGTTATGTTGTATGGCAATCACTCTTGGTCATTGTCCTACCGGGCATGCTGTGGTGCAGTGTTGCAGGTTAGTTCACGATCATGTTTCATAAAATCATGTTCTCTGACGTCGCATCGAAGTGACTGGTGTCTTTGCAACCTACAGCTTTTCGCAAGTCACAACTGACTCCGAACAATTCTATAACGAGCGTGGGAAACCTGCATATTGGGTTACTGCATTCTTTGCCTCGTCTATTGCAACGAATTTGTTGAGTTCAGGTAAACACGTTTTTGTGGGCGCGGTGCCAAGGCCTGAACTTGTCTAGCATTACTTGCGTATCGTATCTGGATGATTGAACGTGAAATCTTTCCACTTCGCACCAAGAAGAACACCACGATGCCGATTGCCATACGTGTGCTCGTGGATTCTGCTGTTTTGTACTCTGTGGCGCTCTTGACCGCATTAATCTCTTATGCTTGCTCGAACAATGGAGACATTCTCATGGTGGACATGGTAATTCTGTCATTGATATCTGTTATCTGAAAAAAGCTGAACTTGGAACTACTAGCTCATGCCCCTCATATCGATCGCCTTCTACATGGTCCTTATTCGCATCGCAATCAATAGAAAACACATTCATATCTCGACTATAGGGATGATCAGTGCAACAGAACCAAGCAGATTGCAGCAGTATCCTATGCAGCCCTTGCAGGTCACTATATCCAAATTTACGCATCGTGACAGTAACACAGTATATGGAATCGAGAATAAGGATCGGCCATCGACGTCCGACATTCATGGCGGAATCTAGAGGGGGCTCCCCAGAATTGTAAGCAAACTGAGCATCGTTTTTTTTGTATTTCCCCATAGATTTGTTTGTGCTTCAAATTTAACATATCATCATGCTTGCACACAGTTCTTGTTATCCGTTTCGTTGCAATTATATTCCTCTGTCGTCGTCAAATGACTGGATTCTCATCCAGACTGTCATCGTTATCGTATACACCCCATATTTCGATTAAATGTGCATCATGTTGCAGGAACAGTATTTCCGAGTCATTTCCGCATGTCACGAGCTAGGAATTAACATTTAATGACGGCGAAAACGTGTGTACACAGTGTAATACAATTCCCACCTAGCCAACGACTCGTCAACATTGGCGCAGTGACTTTATTTGCCTATAGACATTTCGCATGTTTCTCACTATCGGTTATCAGTCTGGTCAATCGCGTTCGAAGTTTGAAACCACATTCTGTTCTGTTTGGGAGACTAGGGAAAAACAAAACTCGTGCAGACCACTCCCAACTTAAAAGGCCCACCCACCACAAGTCCAAAGCATCGAAAACTACCCAATATCCAAGGCTGAAGCTGGTACACGGAAAGATTGGCAAAGACCTTCCCAAGCAGAACGATGCGGGAGCACGCAAGCACCTCGTGGCATAATCCATATACAGACTAAACCCTCATCGGCAGACGTGCTTTTGATACACGATATGAACGTGTAGAGAAAGAAATTCCATAGTAGATCCAATTTCCTGCGATTCCGAGAGCCTGGGGCGTAGTAGTAGTTCTTTTGACGCGCCTTGAAAGTCGTTCAAAAGGTTAGCCAACACAGTTCCGAGTCCAGTCCCAATCTAAATTTCTACAGGTCTTATCAGTATTGATGTTCAAGGTTACCTTCCGAATGCATAGGGTTGCGTGGGATGTTCCCCCTGGATATTTATGTATGACTAGACGGTGCGTGTACATTCTACGCTTCATATCGGTTGATAAGTAGCCAGAGCGAAGGTCATATATTTGCGGGCTTATCCAATAGGCACCAGAGAAATGACAGTCCAACTTGAAGGGCGAGGTCCCTAATCACCTTTATTCAAACCATATTGAAGACAATCGTCGGAACTCGTTCCTCCTGCGGCTTCAACGGAAAATATCATAGTTCCGGCAGACTAATTGATAGACGAAAGCGACGCATCATGATACAGCGACCGAATGTCTCCACGATGACCATTATCAAAGATTCAAACCCCATCTCACCCGCTGCGGATGAATCTATGCAAATTCTGTCACAATGTCATATTTAATAATGCACAGGAACTGGCACAGATGCCCACACTTTCCACACCTCCCAGTTGGATTGTAGACTCGTTATGACTAGCCTCCCTGCAGACACGAGCGCTTTGATGTCAGCAGCACTGGAGAGCATTTTATATGGTGAGTATCGCAATGGGTTTCTCCGTTTCATACTCACCAAGCTAGGCTCCCCTCTCCAGGCTTTTCAATCCTCATGTTTATCGGTACCGTCTGGGCTTTGACTTACAAGCGTCGAATGCGAGACATCAATCGCCCAGTTGCTGTGGTGGCTGTCCTGTTATTGTTAGTGAGCACCGCAGTTAGTTTCTTGCTTTCAACGTAGTATGATATTATTGGCTGACAATTCCGAAGCACATAATCATGACCATCGTTCATGTCGAAAATGGCCTGGTGAAATATCGCGATACATGGCCAGGCGGGCCAGCGGCGTTCTTCACAGACGTTACGGAAGAGACATACGTGATTAAGCACGCACTATACATTTCCCAAACTGTAATTGCTGATGGTTTGATGGTGCGTCCTTGTGTAAATCTACGTTTGAAACCCTGTGAGCTTACAGGAATGTCTTGTCTGGCAAAAGATTTTTCGCTGCTATGCTCTTTGGCGATCCATCCGCGTAATCATCGTACCGAGTTTGCTGTGGTGTGCTGTCGTAGGTCAGGTTTGAATAATATTCTGGAAGTCACGTACTCTCATATTACTTCGCAGTGACTGGCATTCGTGCTGTCTACGGGACTTCACAAGCCACTTCTGATCCCGGAGACGTCTTCGCCATCGACGTCGAAAAGTGGATCATAGCATTTATTGTATTGACTATTACAACCAATCTGCTATGTTCAGGTAAGCACGTTCCCGCGAGCGCAATATCGAAGCCCTGAAAGTGTCCAGGACTACTGATATATCGTATCTGGAACATCGAACGTCGCGTTTCTAAAATACGTGCTTCGAATAGCACTATGATGCCAATTGTGCGTGTGCTTGTGGATGCCGCTGTTTTGTACACTGTGATGCTACTCGGCCTTCTGATCTGTTTCCTCGCCGAGAACGATGGAGAATCTGTTTTAACGGACATAGTGAATCTGCCGTTTACCTCTTTCATGGAAAACAACACTGAGCTCTGATTGACTAGGCCGTGCCTGTCGTATCGATCACATTCTACATGGTCATTATTCGTATCACGACTAGTTGTCGACATCACCTCTCGACTGCCAGTACTAACCGAACCACCGAGGAGATGGAACAGAGAAATATGCAGCAATATCAGAGGAAGTCCTTAGAGGTCCATATATCCCGATGTACTCGTGATGATCGCGTCTCAACTTACAAGGTAGACCGACCATCGACAGGGATTGAAGAGATTTAAAAGGGTATTTTGTACTTGACATGTAGTCGATATGAACTTATGATTTGACACGAATGCCTTACGCTATGTGCCATAGTGGCGCATTCGACCTAGGGGTTGACAGGGTGTGATTTTTACAACACTCGAAGGGAATTCGTGTCACGCTGGTGAGCGAAGGAACTGGCAAAAGGGAGATAACCAGCAATAACATACATTCCGTGACACGCAGAAATCTCATGTCGAACGATGACTAGGACTATAGCGATGCTCGCTTATCACGTGGTTGTGTGCTACAATGCCAAATATAAAAAATTCATAGCCTGAATTCAAGTTTCAAACTCACAGGGGAGCTTCGAGTCGATGGCATCGGGGCGCATCATAGCCCGCATTGAAATACCATCAGCGCGCTGTGACAGATAAGCAAGTTGTGCAGCAGGAGTACCTGGGAGTGACTTATGAATTGTGAACCTGTAGCACGTAGTTATTACTAGTGGCGGAGGTTTTGACCCTATCTTTAGTGACACATGTGGTAGCTTATATACGATAGCCCCGTAAGCAGGAGCCTGGAAACAGGCCTTGAGCGCTTGACCATTGGTTAACCAGCAGTCCAACTTCCCCGAGCTGAGTCGTTTCGTAAAAGTTACTCCAAATTTTGCTTGCGTGGAAATATGCGGGGCGGCAGAATGAGAAAGAGGTATTCAGCGTAGCTGGAGAAGGTAAACATAAAGAAGGTTTGCTATATTGCGCTGCTGCCTCCTTTTCCCGATGTACCTACCCCCTAAGGATACCCACGCAAACCTCAACCCCCTTCGCTCCGTCACCCACGAATGCCCCCCTGACTCTCTCACACGCCCACCGCGTAAACTTCAATACTTCTTCATCACACAACGAAGACGGAACATGTGGTGAGAGCGTGATTATCAACTGCGGTTCTGGCCCTCTTGGCGAGTCGGAAAAGGGGGATGAATCAGAGCGTGAGAGTGGCGTAGACGGGAACGCCGCTGAGAAAGCAGTCCCTGGCGCAGACTGTAACCCAGAAGACCTCATCTCGCCCTGTCCAAGCGGACACACCTGCCACACATGCGGAGCAGGGAGACTTGTGACGTGTTCGTGTCGCTCAATTTCGCGGACGACGCGCCAGAAGGATTCCATTTGAGATTCTAGGGTGTTTGTGCCTTTTGCGCCTATACCCGTACCTTTCGTGCCTATACCACCCACGCTGCCAGCATTCATTACAAACGACGTTGCAGGTGCAGTCTGCAACAACACACCGCCTAGGACTATACACGCTGCGTATGCGACGTGCGTGGTGACAATGACCTGGAGAGTTGCTAGAGAAAGGTCGAAAGGTGTGTACTGTGCACTGCGTGGGGAGTTAGCGTAGGTATGTCACCGAGCAAAATGATTTGAAGGTAGGCAGTTAGGCAGGAAAGAGTGTTGTGAGGAGAAAGGTCGTGACAAGAATGGATGAAGTTGAACAAAAGCCCTCGTCGAACGAGAACAAGAGCAAGTACTCACACATTCAAAACCATCTCACCCCCCAAAATCGCTACACAAAACAGAATCGGAGGAAGGGCGTACGGGTTCCTCAGTATCCTCTCCCATGGCGCTTGCGCTTGTCCTCTTCCTGGGACCGAGAATGATGGATGGAGTCGGGGGCGCTGGAATAGAGAGAGCGGGGATGGGAGGTGCATGTGTTTGTTCGTTACTTGTGGGAGGTGTTAGTTGGGATTTAAGGAGGAAAAAAAGGAAGAGGGATAGGGGACAAAGGAGGGAAGGGTGTGCATCAGAGTCATGAGTGTGTGATCAATCTTCAGAAACATAACCTATGAACACCCAACCAGAATAAGAAATGAACAGCGAACGAAACGGAGCTACAGATGAAACGAAAACGAAACTTGGACAAAACAAGAACCACGTGAAAAGAAGGGACGGTCGAAAACACACACCTCTAACTAACACATCATGATGCTCAAACGCAATGGAAGTAGCGAGGAGGGAGAGGAGGACCGTGATAATGAGACCGAGGGGGTAACACAGTCTGTGTACGAAGTCGTTGGCGTTGAAAAGTATTGGTATTATGTGAGACGCAATGCAGATCCCCCGCACAAGAAGCAGAAAAATGTAAGACCAAAACAAAACAAGAAATCCATAAGCTTCGCCAAAGCAAACAAGAGAAGAGAAAACGTACCCCAACATCTCAGGCCTCTCATCCCCCCAATGATGATGATGTCCATCATTTCCCATCTCACCTGCGCCGTGCAGACCCAGGCCTCGCGTGATGCCCCCAGCTACGTTCAGTGATGCATTCAAAGCTAACGTTGACGCAGCAGAGGGGAGGGAGGGGGAAGGGCGCCCGTGCCCGTGTCCGTGTCCCGCAGAAAGTAGAATATGTTCGACAGCTTCCTTGGCTACGTACACGCCCGCAAACATGAGGTAGACACATTGGGCGAAGAGGAAAGTGGTTTGTGTGCGTGCTGGGCTAGGTAGGGGATTAGTTTGGGCGGGTTGGATGGGTAGAGAGGATACAGGGTTGCGGGGAACATAAATATCCGCGCGGTTGCGCAGACGACGAAGCGATATGTGCGTGGGGACGACCGGAGAACAAAACTCACCCAAAACCACCCTTGTTTCTACCAAGAAGAGGCCCGCCCGCTGCGATTCCAAACGCATCAAACACGACCCAATAGCCTAGGCCTGTACACGCCAACGACCCGATAGCCTGGCCGCGCACCCAGACCAACCCGCCCAAGCAGAATTGCAGTATACATGCAACTCGTGCCAAAAGACCGTCTTTGCTTAGATTCCAAGAAAATTGGTTATAATAGGGCGAGGGAGGGGATGCAGGGGATGCTGAGCTGGAACGAGAGCTTGTGCCTGTTGTGAAACCGACTTTGCTAGAGCTTACGCCCTCCCCGCCTTGGACGTTGCTCACCGAACTCCATGGGGACATCGGGGCAGGGGTGGGAGCCGTATGCAACTCCTCAGGTTTTGTTACCGGTTGTGATTGACGAACAGGGTCGAGGAAAGAAAAGAAGTTATGAGAAAGGGAATGTTTATGATGATGGCCTCTACGCGCTGTCACGCTAGCTGGGACTGCACCTGCAGAGTTTGACTTAGAGATAGAGCCCGAGGAGCCGAATGAAAAAGAAGCTGTATGATCATGTCCGATCTGAAGGGGCTCGCTTTGAGATGCGGGTATATGAAGGTCGATTTGGGATTGTGAATTGATATTTGAGGCAGATTCGACGTCTGCAGGGAGATCTTCAGAGATAGTTGCGTGTGAGCGGGGAAAGAATATTGATAGGTTGCGCGAATGCATCCGGTTGTGTCTTCGTCCGTGTCCTCTGAGTCCTTCTGGAGGGTCGTCAAGCTGAGCTGGTTCAAACGGATGAAGTGGGACATGGAACGTGTTGGCGAGTGGGGATGGCACGGGTGGCATGAACGGACCCGAAGATATGCTTCGTACTCGACCATGAGATGCACGGAAGGGCGAGCTAGGCGGTGAATTTAAAGAAATGCTAGGCGGACGTCTACCTGTTGGTTGACGTGCTGGTATTCCTGGACCAAGCTGTGGTTGTCGAAGACTAGCAGGCGCTGCTGTCAACGTAGGCGCCGTTGGTGGCTCATTGTCTGGTATGAGCACAGACGTGTCACCATCGTCCACGTCTTCCTTGCTGGACTTTCGGCGGTGCATGGTCGCACTGCTAAAGTAATTATGATTCTAAAGAGAGTGGAATGGAGAAGGAGCGGCTGAATGGTAGTCGTTTAATTTTACGTGCTGAGCGTTTATTTGGACTTGCATATCCTTTAAATCCTTACATCAACCACCATCCAACGTCAATTAACGACAATTAATATGCGACGACGACGGTGACTCCCTCGGCCATGAATCAAAGGCCCTACTCCTGTCATTAATATTTGGTGCATGATGCATCCCTTGTATCTGTTCATGCGAATGCATGACATACACGGTCAAGTTTCAACTGGCACTATGTCGGCGGTCTCTGTCGACTTCACACCGTGTCCTTTTAGCTCTATGACTCGGAAACTAAAGGTCGGGCCGCGTCCTCTTCATCCTGATCACACATAATTACATCACCTTGCAGTATTCCTGCCTTCTACTACTATCCGTTTCTTCTGTCTTGGCATGACACAAGCAGGGTTTAGTAATGTCATATCCAAGCCAAGCTGAATCACGCCCAGTTCTTAAAAGTGCTACACCTTTCTATGCAACGACTCAGCTAGTCTGAGCATTTGAATAGGCGATATTCACCACACCGAATATCAGCGCCAACCACTTTTACGTCTCATATTGACCCGGATGGTTATCCGGTCGCCCACTGTAATTGTCATCGACCGAGAACTTGAATGGTACTAGTGGACTCGCGCAGGATGGTCCTGAATTATTGATCGACCATTTGAGCAAGAGGGCGTGAGATGTAGGTTGGAGGGGTCATTTCGTTCAATAAGCACCCAGGTCCGAGCGCAAGACGGCGAGCAGGCAGACTCTCCCGATATCCAGTTAATCGATAGCAAGAACTCTGTAATCAGTGGTAAGGGACGTTGCAGAGTTTTAAGCCACTCATCCTCGAGGACCTACGACGTTTGGAAGATGCGCTTTACTCGTCATCGCGTTAAACTATGGCATGCTGGTTTTCGTCATACAATACGATCGCCCTGTAGGCAAGTGCTGTACATGTTTGTGTGCCCATTGATCCTTTTCTTCGTCCCCAGGCCTGGGTCTTGAAGCATCTCGCGCCAGTTCCAACTTCAGCACCATAATCATTTTCGAACTCCGTATCCGATACGTCTTCCTTGTGTACATTTGCGCTCTCACGTGAGTCGAGAAAAAAATCATGCACACTTATACTCACTGAAATCGCGTGCATAGCTGATGAATTGGCATATTTCCGGTCATCTTGGAATCTTGCGTTGCCAGCTCCTTGTAACGGCACTTACTCACTCTGTGTTAAGGCCCAAAAACCCAATCATTGACTCAGCGTCGTGCTTGCCAATCGGCATATAATCGGCGACTTTACGAGTATGGCACTGAGTGATGCGACCCTCAATGACTGACTTTGCAAGAAGGTCGTTTGGGGCTATTCAGTTGCCCGTTCATATGACGCGCCGGAAGAGGAGTATAGTCTCTGTGAAGACGTACGCATTCGACGCTAGAGTATTGTCATCTTCAAGTCAGCTCAAGGGTCCAGCAGTGCTTGGAGCTGAGGGTATCCAGATTAGATGATATCCCCTTCGAAACGCCACGGCTGCGCGCAAGCGTAACGACCCGCAGCGTAGTTTTGACGTAAATGCGAGGAACGCGCGCGGTACCAACAGGTGTGGGACTAAATGGTGATGTGCGTTTTGGGCTGTTGCAGCCATAGAGGCAAATGGAACGGCCTGGCGGTGATGATGGCCGTAAGGTTCCGTGTATCTGATCCTGCATTTGAAATTTGAAGCCTAGCATCCTACTCATTCTTATTATCATTCCAGAGATTTCTGCTGTGTTGTATTGCGACAGTCGTGTAGCATAATTGATCATCACAGGGTAGACAGCCTCGCCGTATCAGACTTTCTTTCCAAACCTGATGCACGCAGACCTGAAATATCACCCGAACTTTGTGCAGACTAATCCAGAAGAGGTGCATCTTGCGGCCGCAACCGAGATTGTCTAGTCTCAAGTAAGAAGGAAGTTATACTCTTTCGGTACCAATGCGATACTAAAATCCCTTCAAGATCAGCCTATCTGTGAAATCCATTGAGACGCAACAAGCTATGTTTTGCTACCAGATCCATCATCAAGCTCCGCCTGCATCAGCGGGTTAGATTGTGCTACAGAATGCTACAGAGCGCTCTGTAGCACTCTGTAATGAATTACGTTTCCCTGATGCTGATGGTTCAGTGATCCCATACCCATGATAACGCAATTCGTTTCTATATAACGTGTATACCAAACTGACGAAGATGTACACACCGCTGCACATTCCCAGTTTTCGCCATGACTTCAAATGGTATCCCGTTAGATACCGGCGCTTTAATGTCAGCTGTGCTGGAAGGCATTTTATACGGTGAGCATCGCGCATCAGGTTTATTCGTCAAATCTCCATCAAACTAAAGTCAACTCACCTCCCCAGGCTTTTCAGTGCTCATGTTTATGGGCACCATGTGGTCTTTGACCTACAAACGGCATGTGCGAGACATCAATCGCCCAATCGTCATAGTGGCTATTCTGCTGTTGTTATTGAGTACCGCAGTGAGTCCCTCTCGCTTTTTACGTCTGCGGCATGGCCTTTTCTGAGATTCATCAAGCACATTGCCGTGGGCATTGTTCGTGTGGAAGATGGACTGGTGAAGTATCGCGACACGTACCCAGGCGGGCCAGCAGCATTCTTCGCAGACGTTTCGCAAGAAACGTACGTGATAAAGGATGCATTATACGTCCTGCAAACTCTACTTGCTGATGGAGTTGTGGTAGGTTCATACTTTGATCTGCAAGTCTAGGACCGTGAGCTCATAGAAGTGTTTTGCCTGGTAAAAGATTTATCGCTGCTATATTGTTTGGCAATCCGTTTGGGTGATCATCCTACCAGGCATGCTGTGGTGTAGCGTCGCAGGTAAGGCCGCAACGATGCTCAGCTTGAGGAAGTTGTATGATCTGATGTTGCTTCACAGTCACTGGGGTCAGTGTGGTCTACAGTGTTTCGCAATCCAGCTCCGGTGCTAGCGTCTTTACCCAAGAATTTTCGAGGTGGATCATAGCGTTCTTTATCTCGACTGTTGTAGCCAATGTATTGAGTTCAGGTAAGCTCATTTCTGCGAGCGCGATGCAGAGGCTCTGAATGTGTCCAGGATTAATAGCATATCGAATATGGGGGATTGAACGTCAGATCGCTACAATTCGCACTAGTACGAAGGGCACTATGATGCCAATAATACACGTGCTCATGGATGCCGCTGTTTTGTACTCGGTGACACTTATCACCGCATTTATCTGTTTCATCTGCTCGAGCAATGGAGATTTTGTCATGATGGACTTGGTAATCCCTCCTTTAACGCTTGTTATCGAAACACACTGAACTATGATCAACTAGGTGATGCCGATCATATCGATTGCCTTCTATATGGTGCTTATTCGCATCGCCATCAATAGACATCGTAGTCACCTCTCAACTGTAGGGACGATTACTGAGACGCGGCAATCGGGCGATCTGCAGCAGTATCCTATGCAGCCCCTGCAATCCCATATACCACGATTTACGCGCAGTTACAATACTTCAGCGTACGAAATAGAGAATGAACACCCGTCAGGGAGGAGGTCACCTACTCGGACGTTGGCAAAGTAGAGATCAATATCAGGGCCGAATGTGAGGTAAATGGCTAGAGCCTCCCAAGTGAACCATCATAATCCTATCCCCCTTACTCACGTTTATTGAAGATTCTCCAAATTTTCAGAATGAAGACTCGATGGCAGAAAAGACTTCACGCTTTCAATACCATCCCGCCCCCCAAATTGCCATGCAACGCAGAATCGGAGGAAGGGCATAGGGGTTCCTTCTCCCATGGTCGACTCGGACTAGGGAGGAGAAGCTATCCATGTTTCCGAGGAAAGGGAAGACGTCAGGTCATGTGTCCAATTGTAGCTTCTGGGAGCGGACATCCTGATAGCTATTCTAAAATTTCGAGAAGATATTGTGGGCAAGCGAGACTGAATCGACCGAGAACTTGAATGGTACTAGTGGACTCGCGCAGGATGGTCCTGAATTACTGATCGACCATTTGAGCAAGAGGGCGTGAGATGTAGGTTGGAGGGGTCATTTCGTTCAATAAGCACCCAGGTCCGAGCGCAAGACGGCGAGCAGGCAGACTCTCCTGGTATCCACTTAATCGATAGCAAGAACTCTTTAATCAGTAGTAAGGTACGTTGCGGAGTTTTAAGCCACTCATCCTCGAGGACCTACGACTGGAAGATGCGCTTTACTTGTCATCGCATTAAACTATGGCATGTTGGTTTTCGTCATACAATACGATCGCCCTGTATGCAAGTGCTGTCCATGTTTGTGTACCCATTGATCATTTCTTCGTCCCCAGGCCTGGGTCTTGAAGCATCGAACAACTTCTCGCACCAATTCCAACTTCAGCACCATGATCCCTGAACAATTTCCCTCGAACTCGGTACCCGATGCACCTTCCTTGTGTGCATTTGGTTATTCAGTTGCCCTCAACTCCACTGGTACCTTTATTGGTCAAGAATGTCGACGTCCGAAGCCTCAGAGTCGAACAAGGCCGATGAGACCGAAGCAAAGGGGCAGGATGATGAATAGAATGTCCGAGCGCAAGGAGAGAGAGGCACGACGATGACAGAAGTGACGTCGGGGCCGAAAACTACCAAGTATCAATGTTTTACTTCAATATAACGTTTAGGAACACTTACCGTATAAAACCTATAGCAGAGCCAAACGAGCGCCTGAGTTCTGTTCCCAGATACTGAGACTTCATACCTGTTAGGTACACGCTTCGTCAATGCAGAGTTCTGTTCCCAGATACTGAGACTTCATACCTGTTAGATTCTATCCGCTCCCGTTAACTCCTCTCAAGAGGTTATGAGCCCTGACATGACCACCGATAATACGCTCCCCAGCACTACGTCCTCGTTGTTCAACGTCCCAAAACTTGCCGAAGATGGCACGAATTGGATTACCTACAAGGAGAGAACATTGACAGCGATAAGTGCCCGAGGTTTGATGCGATATGCAGATGGTCGTGCCGTCGAGCCGTTACCCTACCTCATTGGAAAGGTATCGGGGGTGCCGGAAAAGCCGGACAGTTCGATTCCTACTCAGAAGGAGATTGATGAGCGCGATAAGAAAATGGATGAATATGACCACAAGAACTCACTCGTTAAACAGCAAATCTTCAGTACGATTACCGATCGACTGTTGCTGCGCGTCCAGAAGTTCGAGACTGCCTTGGAGGTCTGGGAAGAAATCTGCCAGATCCACGAAGGCAAGACTGAGCTCGTCCAGATCGATTTGCGTCGGCGTTTGCAGGAGACGAGATGCGAGGAGGGAGGAGACGTCAAAGCTCACTTCGCGGAGCTCCTACGTCTGCGCGAGCTACTTGCAGGAATGGGAGCTGGGATCCTCGACACAGATTTCCATGCTATCATCCTCGGTTCCCTACCAGAGTCCTATCACCCGCTACTCTCGTCCATTAACGCGGCAGCCAAAATCACAAAGACGCCATTGTCTTCCTACGAACTAATCAGCATCGTTACAGAAGAATACGAACACCGTCAGCTTACCGAGAAGCGCCCCAATAAAAGGGGGAGCGCAGGTACTGCGCTCAGCGCAAGGGAGCCTAGAGACAAGGGCAAAAGGTCAGCTACGTCGAGCAAAACGAATGCAGACATTACCTGCTATAATTGTGAACGCAAAGGTCACTATAAGACCGACTGTTGGAGGCCTGGAGGGGGAAAAGAGGGCCAAGGCCCGAATCAGCAATGGCGTAAGGGTGAGAAGGGTCCCAAAGAGACGGCAAACTCAGCCGCAGAGTCCGGGTCCCAGGACCAATACGCATTCGTATCGTCCGACTTGGCAAGCATAGCCAGGGACCTCAGGGTGCCCCTCGACCGACGAGGTGCCATCGAAGACTCTGGCGCCACCTCTCACTTCTGCCCAGACTGGGCAAAATTCTCCAACTTCACCCCCATATCCCCCCAGGACATCCACACGGCGGATGGCTCAAGTCTGAGCGCCATAGGTCGAGGAGACGTCGAGCTAGAACTGCCACTTGGTGAGAAGCGCACGAAAGTGACGCTGAAGAACGCGTTGTACGCACCGGCCATGGCGTTCACCCTAATCTCCACGAATCGCATTGCAGCGGCCGGCATGGCCGTCCTTTTTGAAGGGCGCATGTGCAAAGTCTTGTCCCAGGGCCCGAAACGTCGAGTCATCGCGGAAATTCCGCAGGTGGAGGGTCTTTATAGCATAGCAGCGGGAAGGTCAGGTCAGCACCATGCAAACATTGCCAAGGGAAAACTTACTGTGAGTGAGTTGCACCGGGTGCTGGGGCACGTCTCCCAGCCTGCAGTGCTCGAGGCCGTGAAAAAAGGTCTCGTCGTGGGCATCATGCTGGACAGTGACTCCAAGCCGGAGTTCTGCGACACGTGCGTCAAAGCCAAGTCAGCGAGGAAACCCTTCCCGAACGAAAGTCATAGCCGGGCACGCACCTATGGAGAGCTAGTCCATACGGACCTATGGGGCCCCGCACAGACTGCCAGCTTGGGCGGATGCCGATACTATATCACCTTCACAGATGATTTCACGCGTCAGACGAAGATCCAGTTCTTGAAGCTAAAGAGCGAGGCACTCACCGCCTTCAAGGCCTATGAGGCCTGGCTCACACGCCAAACTCCAGGCGTCCAGCTCCGCAGGGTCCGGTCAGATCGTGGGGGAGAGTATCTAAGTGCGGAGTTCGATGAGTATTTGAGTCAGCGTGGCATTGAGCGACAACTGACGACTCACGACTCACCACAGCAAAACGGAGTAGCCGAGAGGCTAAACCGCACTCTCGTCGAGCACGCCAGGGCCATGTTGCTGGCGAAGGACCTCCCCAAGTACCTATGGGCAGAGGCCGTCAATTACGCCACCTGGCTAAAGAATCGCCTACCGTCTAGGGCGACTCCAGGTGTGACTCCATTTGAGCTGGTCACGAAGACCAAGCCCAACCTCTCCCAGGCTAGGGAATTCGGAGCCAGGATCTTTGTGCACCTTGAGGGCGCTGGGAAGTTGGAGGCCAAGGCGGAGGAGGCAGTTTTTGTGGGGATGGACACCCAGAGCAAAGCCTACCGGGTATATTGGCCGGGTAAGAGCCGTGTTTCCGTCGAGCGCAATGTCACCTTTGCGCCTAATGAGGTGACAGTGGCCAGGGATCCCCTGAACGAGGGGGAGTCCATCGTCATGCGGCACGACGAATATGATAGTAGCAACAGTAATAACTCACCTGTCGTTCAGCCTATCCCACCACCTGCTACCCCAGCCAGAATCCAAACTCCACGTCCATCAACCCCACCTCCAGCTCCAAGGTCCACCCACACCAGACCACCTCCAGGATATTATGCGGCCCTCAATGAGGGGGAGACCGCGTCCCTAGCCTTAGATTCCCTAATGGAGGCGTCAGCGTTAGACCTCCTGGATGAACAGGCGCACATTCACCTTGCTTTGGCTGCTGCAGAGCCGGAACCCAGCCTGCAACAAGCTTTAAATGGTCCTGATGGAGTGGAGTGGCAAGAAGCGCTAGATTACGAAATAAGTCAGCTCGAGAAGTTAGGTATGTGGGAAGTTGTTGACCCACCTCGAGGCGCCAACATCATACCTTCCCATTACGTCTTGGCGACCAAATGTGGACCCGACGGAGAAAAGTTGAAGCTCCGGGCATGCCTCGTCGCAAACGGCCAGAGACAGAAGTTTGGGGTCGACTATTTCGACATGTTCGCCCCCACCAGGTAGGGAACTGCACGGGTACGGGTAACCCGCACGGGTCACGGGTACGGGTACCGCTGGGGTACGGGTACGGGTCTGAGATCATGATACCCCTACCCCTACCTGTACCCGCGCTGTGGGTATCAGTCAAGGTTTGCACTCTTTGTTTGATGCTTTGGCGCATATGCTTATGTTATATTGTTTGCTCTTGTTAGATTCTAAAGGATGCCACGACACTCAACCGGTACTATCAGACCATCTTCTTCAACACAACACCTATTGTCAAGTCCCACAGCTGAAGTCTATTGTCATGTGAGTTGTCCTTGATCATTCTTGCTTGTCTTTACTCCCTGCTCGTTTTCTCAGACCTCCACTGCACCCTCTCATACATTGCGCGCACCCTCTCATATCCCGCGCACCCTCTTGTACATCCGGCACACCCTCTCGCACCTCTCAGACCTCCACCCTCTCATACATCGCACGCACCCTCTCGTACATCCTGCGCACCCCTCTCATGGCTCCAATCCACCCTCTCGTACATCCAGTGCACGCTCTCATGAGTCCGTTGATCCTCATTCAAGCAAAAGCCATGCTGATCCGAGTCGTTGCCCACTGTTCACAGTTGGTCAGTCCGTCAATCCTCGTTCAGGCAAGAGCCATGCTGATCCGAGTCGTTGCCCACCGTTTGCAGACTGTGAGTCCGTCGATCCTCATTCGAGCAAGAGCCATGCTGATCCATGTCGTCGCCCACCGTTTGCAGTTTGCGACGTTCCCAATGCGACGGACACCATGCGCGAATGCCCAGCGCGTGCCAGCAAATTTGCCCGTGCCTCCACTCCTCCTTCTTGTGCCATCCACATATGTTCGAGTCACGTCAGCATTCACTGACGTGTGCTGGACATATGTGCTAAGCACTGGCGGTGATACCTATGGTACCCACGGGTAAACCCTGCACGGGTGCGGGTACGGGTCTGAGCTTGTTGTACCCGCCGAAAACCCGTACCCGTCAGAGCGGGTACGGGTTTTTGCCGGGTGCGGGTGCGGGTATGGCCTCCAATACCCGGGGGTTTACCCGTGCAGTTCCCTACCACCAGGCCATACTGTAAGAATGATACATTAAATACCTACAATTGTAGATGAAATGGGATACAATAATTACTGAAGTCCATAGATACCTATCATTGTAGGGCTGATATATCAATGGAGGATCCTGTCAGGACACTCCCATAATAATCTCACACCCCTAATTTTCGCATTTTTGACCACCTACTGTGGGAATTTCCCCACAACACTTAAAAATAGATTGCTTCTCCACATTTTCGCATTTTTAGCCACCCCACTACACCTAAAACATCACCCATTTTGGGAATCTCCACAATATCAATTATTCCCACACCCTCCCCACCTCACTGCAGCTTCACCACCACACCACAATAGGTCCCCTCTTGTATCTAAGTAGTAGTTTGGTATATATATGTACAATATAATGTAATAGACCGCTTTTTTTGCTTATTTGTGTGCCTGCTCCTCCTCTAGAGGCCATTTAACATATGTTAGAGTAAAGAACACTTTCGCACTTTTGCCCCTTTGGTGGGAAAGTGTTCTATTATATTCAAAACATGTTTATGAGCATATATGAGTATATTCCCATCTTTATTTGACCCCCTGAAGCGTCCTACATCAATAGATATAGCACATATGCAAGAAAACACAGAATATGTTCCTATTTAATTATTTCTAGGTGGACAGACTTGGAAAAATTATTCCCAGTATCTATTCAACAATATGAACAATGTATCAGGAGCCCAGGACCATGGGATAATTCCCTGTTGCATGGTGTGCCCCCCCTCTCCTGGTGGTTTACCCCCTGTGAAATTTTTTCCTGCAGGACCGGACCTTAATTGAGGTGAGGGGTCTATTTCTATGTATATTTGGAGTAGATCTATCATATAGCTGGCCAAGAACACACATAGGATCCTGCTACAAGAACAAAAACATAGAAAATCTCACTTTTGACACTTTTGATGTTTTTTAGTATCTTACTCTTGCATAAATAACCATCCCTGCTCACATATTATCAGTAGTACATTCACACATATGTTCTATGCCAAGGATCAGCCCTACATAGGCGCAAATTTGATATCTGATGTACAGGGGGTATTTCTACTGATAGGAAACCTACAGAGTAATCCAGCCTGTGATAAGTGATCAGATACCTGGGATACCTCTTATATATGTCCCTAATGATGGACTTGAAGTTTTAGAAAGATCAGTGAAGGACTGACTGAATGACAAGTAAAATGACATATGTGTGAAAAGTGACAATTGACATCTTTTGACACAAAGTCACATTTATATATGGTACAGGGCAAAGATTTCATTGAAAATATGTAGGATATATGATAGACTACTAAATGAACCTATGCTACATACTGCCCTGAGGTTAAAGGGTGATGGAAGGAATGTGGTGTATATTTGAGTTGACCCAGCATTAAAGCACCTGTGACTCCCACTTAACGACCGTAATTATAGTTGATAATAGATGGGATTCGCACCTGTAAGACAAGGCGGATATAAGCGATCAGAGCCTCCTCTGATATCTCTTGAATAGCGAGGGACTTTATATAGCGCTGTAGGATTAAGAGCTAAGTGCCGCCGGCATATCGGTAAATGCCGCGACGTGTTCCTGACGTCGCTTAAGGTGCCGGACTTTCGAGTTCGCTGTGCGACACGATGAGCTCGAGTATCTCGCGATGACGTGGATGGATTGATGGCGCATTTTGCGCAAGTGAACATTAAAATACGTAAACTAGAGTAAGGCTATGTAATACTACTATTCATCCTCGTTAGACGACTCTACGAATTCAGCACTTTTGGGGGCGTCCCGAAGCTGAGCGGAGGTCACCTTTGTTCTCTTCGATGACCTTGCATTCTCCTTGTTTGTTGTGGGCGGAACCTTGCGCTTCCGAGCTACTCCAGCATCCGAACGCTTCTTTCGCAGCTTGCGAACCACCTCCCCAGCTGACCGGCGCGCATCAAGTTCAGCTGTGTGAGCCTTGACTTCCGCAGGCGATAGAGTGGTCCAGTAGCACATTCGAGCCTTGAGTGCGTCCCGAAGTCTACGAATGTCACCCACGGTGCCGATATTTGAAGGGCTGGTGAAGTTAACACCCTGGGGCCATCCTACAAGGCGTACCCCATAGGTTTCGACGATGGCTGTTTCGTAGTTGCTGTAGTTCATCATGATATCTTTTTTGCCGGTTACTGAGACTGTAAATGATGTTAGATTGAAACAGCGAGTGCAAGCAATGTCATTACTCACCCAGCCCGCGGAGGATCATTTTCCGTACCTGCTTCCGTACGGCCTCCAAAGAGTCACGTTCATTGAGATCTGTAGCACAGTGAACAAAGATACAAAGATAATGTGAATCAGAAGGACTTACTTTGATCCTGCGTGCATGCCCATTGTTCGTATTGCCTGAGAAAGTCAGCCATGGGGTGCTCATACACATCCTCCCAAAAATCTTCAGAATTATCCGTGCCGTGCATCGTGCTTTGAATGGTGTCGTTGATGTGACCGCGGACGACAAATAGCGTTCCATAGACTCCGGTCCGAACTCGCAGATCATCTAGCTGCAAAGAAAAAAGATGAATTCAGTTGATTCCTGTTAAGATTCAAACTTACCTCTTTGACGATCCTATCCGTCGTGGCTACAACATCTCGCGCAGCTGCCTGATTGTTTGCCCGAACACTGACACCTTTTCTTTCACGATGCTCCTCAAGCGCTGCAATGTAAGCTTCCTTCTGTTCCCTCGTCAGGTCTTTTGTTTCGGGGTCAGTGATGACCATCTCGCGGAGTTCGGCCATTGAGTATCGAGAGCCTGTGGGTCGATCTAGTTGAGACAAGATAAGTTTCGTGACTCCATTGAGTTAAGAAATATTCGACTTACCCGCATTCATCTCTTTTGCCTTGGCATGAATAAGTGCGTGGATCAATTGACTCTTGCGTGAGGTGCGATAATGCGTGTGATTGCTGATGATGTCATTGATTTGCTTCGGAGTAATGTGATGAGCGAGTGCGAGTGCTTCAATCTGTGTCTTCTGTGCGTCCAGATATCCAGCAACTGCATCATGTAAGCGTTTCGTTCTCTCAATCTTCTGATCCCTCTTAATCTTTCGAGATGCCTTTTGTGCATCTGTTAGTCGAGGTGGTGGCGTCCGAGGGCGGATAATTGCTCGTGTTGGGTTCCGCGCTGCCCAGGAGGACATGTTTGCCTCACGGAGTGACTTCGGCATCTCTCCACTCGTGTCCGGCACCTCTCTTTCGGTAGGACTCCATGAGCCATCATCATGACTTGAAGTTCCAAAAGGTTGAGGTGACGGTGTGCGAGCAGGGGGGAGCTCTGGAAGGGTTGGGATATCTGTTTGAATGTTCGTGGCTGGTATGTCGTGGGTAAGAGCTTCGATTTCGTCCCTAGTAAGCTGCATCATGTATAGGGATGGGTCGTCCCAGTTGATCCTGTTGATTGAATGAAAATTGCCATTGGCATCGAAATCGTCGACTCCATAGAGGCCACTCATACTGGGGGCTGTAGGTAGAAAATACGTGGGCACAGATACAACTTCAAATTTTGGCGGATGGTACAGATGAAACAATACACACCGCATCGCACGCGTCCTGCCATTTCACGCCATTTTGTCAAAAAAAATTTCGCATAGATCGGTGTAAGATCTTGAACTCGGCAAGTACATATTAGTGAAGGCACGAATGCTGATCGAGACATACCTTCAATATTAACGGTAGTATGAGGGAGGGACGCAACAGATTCATCTATGTTAATACTGGTACAATGAAGGAGGGAGGTAATTGATTTATCGATGTTAATGCCAGTTTGATGAGCGAGGTTGACAATGTAGAAGTTGGTTTGATGAGTGAGGAGCAGTGGGATCGGCACAGAGGTGTGCTTACTAATCTGAGTTGTTGGTCCAAGTTTGAGCCACTGCGTGTGGCCTGCTTCAAGCGGTCTTCCCTCAGCCCTCTAGACATTAAGTTGATTAGTGTGAACAGGATAGCGGTTGGCATTTGGACTCTGCAATGGGGGTCGCAGGGGAGAATAGTGTTTGTCTAGATGAATATATCAAAAGGTATGCGGAACATTCGCATCTCATTGACCTGGCTTGTGACATTTCTACAGATACAAGTCTATCACAGTGAACTCCTGCCGTGCTCTTTGGTCTGTCTCTGGTAGCCTTGGCAAACATATTCAAATGTACGAGTTCTTTGTTTCCTAGCTACATTGACCCGGCTCATTAATCAGATTGGCATGTACCTTGATAAATATTTGCCCATCAATGAATTTTGATGCCAGAACATATCTCGATCATCGCCAGCTGTCGATATCTGATGGTAGGTTGTCTCTTACTCTTTCCCGCTGAACTATGGTAAGCACGATTCTTCTCATTGAATCTTCCTGTCTAACTTATGTATTCAAAGGGACATTCGACTCGGGGGAGATCTCGTAGCTCATCATCCAGGCAGCATGTGGCTACACAACGTTGGCTTTCCAAGCCAGGGTAGGTCAATCTGTTCGAGTCGCTGAAAAATCTGCTCACAACGCTGCGCAGAGTTCGAGAAGCCCAAAACGCCAAAGCTCGTGCTCGAGTAGCTCTGTGAGTTCGTCCCTCATGCAATTCTATTGTGCATGCTCACGTGTTTTTTTTAGCAATAGGGCAAGGTAGGACTCGTTTATGTACCTCGGGTGTCAGTCACTCAATAGATCCACAGGAAGAATAAAAAACTCGCTGAAGAGCAAAAGGCACCTGTCACATCATCGCTACTTGATGATGGCTGCGAAGACCCACAGTCAGCGTGTGAAGAACTGTCCCGCAATGACAGTTGGGACGCCCGCGATGACAGTTGGGACGCCAACGATGATTCAGTGCTCACGATGGAAAACGATCTGCCCTGCACCTGCAACCCTCAAACGCTGGATAACATTGAGATTCAGGTCCGGATGTGGCGAATGGAATGGTTATTATCAGCAGAAGACACGTGGGGTGAAGCATACGAGGAAGCGCTCGCGCATGCTGAGGCGAAGGGGGGACGTGAGGCTAATATTTTCTTGGATCAATGTGCGCAGCATGTTTCAGAGGGGAGGATGATTTTGGATAGTATCCGGGAGGTTGTACACACCAACTGCCCTTATTGCAGGCAGCGCCTCAAGTACGACAGCATTCTATTGTACGATTTGCTCGTCTCCCTGATGTCAGAGATAAAATTCATCGAGGTTAAACTAGATACATCGATACTGTAGACTGATTATAGTATTCAATTCATCACCACTGGCAGGATCAACATGCGCACTTGACTTTGATAAGTTTTAATATCATTATACACCATCCACCATAGCGAACGCATGGCGAACATAGTATGAGCATAGTGAACCTATAACGAACCATAGCGTACATGTAGCGAACATAGGTGTAATGATGCTTGGGCTTGTGAATGCAATGCTGTTGGAAAATATTGAACAAGGCGAAATGTTTATTTGACAGAGGCAAGTATGTACGCTCAACACGAAGCTGAAAAAATGTTGTGGTGCTTTGTGAAACGTTTATGACCACTTACAACTAGCGAACATATATCGAACATTGGTGTGCGGAGGCTCGGGCCCGTGAACACAACACTATCAGAAAATATTGAAAAAAGTGAAATATTTATTAGGCAGAGGCAGACATACATACTTGACCCGAAGCTGAAATAATGTTGTGGTGGTTGTGTGGAACGTTTATGACTACGGCGGGACTGTAAGTAGTTTCGATGCGTGATGCAATTGTGCTAGTGACACTGACCAACATATGCTGATATTCTGTGCATGCTGCACTGCTACACTATTTAGTGAATATATATTCTGACAAATGCTGCATTAATGGCGCTGGTAGTACATCTAACACTTAGTCACCATTGCAGGATCGTAGAATTAATTCCTAGATCATTGTATACTAGGTTGTATGAACTTGAACTCGCTGGTAGTTACCAGTACTAAGCTTGAGGCACATCACATGGCCGCACAACACAAACGCCAGTAAAATACATTGCGCAATTTCATTTTTTCAAACCAATACATGTACGGTATGCAATCAAAACTAAGTAACAACTATGTAGCAATTGTTAGAGTTGGCTCATTGTCTCCGTCAAGTCCTCAAGCTGCGACCACAGATCATGCGAGTCTGAACTCGCAGATGAGTCTACAGGTGAAGGAATGTTGGGCGAGGACTCTGGAGGGGATGGCCAGAAAGGACCACCTGGCAGTGGAACTGCCCGGACTCTGCCTTCGTCATATTTGACCGCGTATGCAGTCAATGCTTGCTGAAATGACGGGTACCCTTTCTGAACATTACCACTGACGAAATTTGTTCGTTCAGCGACGTCAGCCCTAACCACAACATCAACAATTATTCAACACACGCCAACAGGTACTCGGCTTACCAGCGGTAGAACACACCAACTTCCTGCCCGACTGTTATCGCCCAGAATCCCTCAGGTACCTCATCAGCTCGTGGAGGACGGATATCGCTAGGTTTTAGAACTGCTGTGACTTGGCAGGGTGTCTGGGTGACCGTTTGCAAAGCCTGAGGCTGGGGGTGGGGTGGGGTAGACATGCGAGGTGGGGTAGGAGGAATGGGCACTGTTTTTTTGGGGAAAGAACGAGTGCTGGAACATCTGGATTGCGGGAGCGATGATCTTGACAGTGTGATAGACTCTTCAGTTGTCTTGCGGCTCCAAGTGACGGTGTCAAACGACGACTCTGTTATTGAGTGTGAACATGTTAGTTTTGAATGAGGACAACACTCACCTGATAGTGTCATCTCCTGCAGCAAAGTGCGCAAATCCTGGATATGATCACCCTGGGTAGGGTGGCTACTAGATGATGTCGACATCGTAGGAGTGATGTCGTGAATTTGGACTTGGTCGGAGTGCTACAGATAATCAGTCACGTGAAGAATAGATAGGACCTGACCTACAGTACTAGTAGCACAAATGTTTGAATGGCACGGAATGGTAGAGTACACCAGCGAGTCCGCACAAACCTCTCTCTGCGATCCATTCGGCACATTGGGGCATCGAGGGACAAGAATGGATTGCCAGTCAATTGCGTATCCAAGGTGCTCAAACACACACAGCTGGTTCAGCAAGCGGCAAGTTCCAACGAGCGGCGGCAAGCACGTCTACAAGGTATTTAATGTTAATTCAAATACTTAAAAAAAACCCTCACCTCTTGTAAAGCTATGAGTTTGGAAGAGCGTCGCGCTCTCGAAGCGCTAAAAGAGGACACCAATACCATAGAGGACTGCCAGGAAGACTTCGAAGATATGAGCTTTGGCGATATCTGGAATGGGACCGAGTCACTCGCCATCAGTCACGCTGGTGGCGAGTTCACTGACCTTGCAAGAGAGGTTTTAGGAGACTTTTGGAAAATGTGAGTGTTGGTGAGTATTTACCGTAAATGTGACGTACCTTTGTGAGCAGCAACAATCGTGTACAACGCGTGGATAAACGCACCCGTCGTGATCGCGTCCTCCGCAGGAACAATGCGTTTGCTGAGCAGATGGTTGTGATGACCGACGCGTACCTTGTGTGGAGTCTGACCAAATGTGAGGATGCCTTCAGAGGTTTTTTTGAGAGATTGGAGAAGGAAGGGTTGGGGAGTGACTCTAACTGTGGCCAATGGTCAATCAGCGTGATAGACGTGTTCTGTAAGTGATCCGATCTGTTGTTGTTTGCTTACGATTTGATGACGGCATGTCCGGCTCATTGTAGACGCTGAGAAAGTCAGTCTTCGAATCTTGTCAACAGACGCCACCATCAGCTCTGCGCTGGTCCGTCAAGGCGTAATGCCGTGTTCTCCTATATCGCCAACCGTGGGCATCACCACCGAAGCACTCGACTTATATCGTGTAGCACATCTCAGGAGTCCTCAATTGTCAATTCAAGCGTTCGTAAAAACTGTTTGTGACTTACATGGTGTATGTCGTTTTAGTTGTTTTGATATTCTGATATCTTATCATGCGCAGGTTGCATTCCACAGACACTTATCTCGTCAGTTCTCTATTGCATTCGACTTATATCTTCAAGTTCGACGTTCCGTGGCAGCCATGGTAGCTGAGTCATTACAACGTGACTCACCCGATTTTCGCCTGAAACACGCCTGCCCCGCATGCACATACATACTAATGGATGAACCCAAGTTGACTTTTAGCTTGCTTTACGCCATGGACGGCAACGACTCTTTAAAAAGAGTCATTCGAAGATCTCTAGATACTGACGACTCTCTCGGCGCATCTTCAGAGCTTCCAACTGGACAGCAACTCACAAGCAACCGCTATCTATCTCGCACTTATGTAGATCAGTTCGCGCGGGACTCCGCTACTGCGGATGATGAGGTACGAGGCACTTTGATTTGGGTTGGTCACGGCTAATACTAACTATTAGGTTATACATGCCGAGAACTTGTGTGAAGGACGCTGGAAGAATATGGACGATACAAAGACGAAGAAAGCATGGGGTATTTACGATGAGACGGGCATTTTTGTGGCCGTGTGCCGACATGGATTCACTCTGCTCGTTGCAGATATGATACAGAGTGGCGAGCTGTAAGTTTTTTTGGGTATGTTGTTAATAAATTCACAATTGTTTTACAGTGCGAAGTATCCGTTGGCCGTTGTTTCGAAGTTGCTGGAGGTATTTGGAAGCAATTTGGGTGGCGGGTATGACATCGGTTGTCAATTCAGGACCACGCTCGATAATAGTTCTATTGGACCCCTTGCACGGTCTCTGCATCACACTTGCCTTGTCGGCGCCTTCCACGGACATGCGCACAGGCGATTGTGCCAACTTTTCTCGCTTACTACTTACATCAAAGGTTTGGGACTCGAGGACCTGGAGGTATGCGAACGAACGTTCTCGAAGTCCAATTCATTGGCGTCCGCACTACGTTATGCCAGCATATTCCATCGACAACAAGCCATCGACACATATTTCGAACACAACGATGACTTCGAAGTGTATGCCAATCTATGTAAGCTGTCTCATTGTAAAACGTGATCTGTGCTGACATAATCCTTTTCAGCCGATTTTTTATACAACAACTACAGGCAAGCGCTCGACATACTGAATGATGGTAGCACGACCCTACCAAACCTTATGCGGGATCTCAAAGTCGCAGACGAGACTGTGTTCGAGCGCTGGCTGGAGGAAGAGAAGGTATATCTACAAGGTCTGACGCAAGAACCTGCGGACGAAACGTTGCAGATGGAATACTGGAAAACGCTGGCAAATCTTGCTGCGAGCAAGTAAGTTCAGTTCTTGAGGTATATGCCTCGCGCTCACTAACACAAATTGTACAGGGAGGCTCTGGATGCTGCAATGACAGCGTTCCAGGACTCATCTCACCTCGAGGGTGCATCATACGATGGGCAGGTAAAAAATACCCGCAAAGCCGAGAGTGCACGACGGCACGCTCTTGAGGATTACGACAGGCACCTGAAACTCGCTCAAGTACTCGAGTGTAAGCTGGAGGTCGAGAAACGCTGGGTGGCAGAAGACGCGCAGTGGCAGAAGGTTGGAAGACTCGTGGCAAACCGGAAATACCAGCGTGCTCTGGATCGTCTCGAGGGATTGATTGTTGCCCGCATATTTGAGTTGACAAAGATGAACCGAGCGGGTACAGGTGAGTTTTTAATAGCTATATCTTACTTGCGCGTGCTAATTCCAATACCATGTAAGGGTATAAACTACGGAAGCATATCGCTAAAGCACTCCAGGCTCGTTCCATCGCCATTAGATCTGCACTTACCACGTACAACTCTATCGCCAGCTCGATGTACCCTGCCCGCAAAACCCTAAAGTGGGAAGAGGTCGTCGAATATGCATTTCTCGCTGATTTTGACCTCTTGCGCGACACGCGTGCAGACATCTCTCAACGGCCTTGGGCATCGGCTGCTGCTCGCAGAGCGATGGATCTCTATTTCAAGATGTGTCGGGCGCGGGAGGAAATTCAGCACTTGAATGTGGAGGTACGGCGCCTAGTGACGTACATTCAAGACGAAGACAAATATCTGCGGGCGTGCGAGGATCAGTTGAAGTCTGTCAGTCCAACTCTCGCCAACCAAATCGCTATACATCGCAATGTTCGAGGACGGTTTAATTCGCGTCACCTGAAGCGGCTCTATGACATTTCGAACCTTCCTGGCTTCAGCGGGACCATAGCCCCAGGTATGAGCACTAATACAGGTCTTGGAGAAAGCTCCAGTACACCCAACGCGCAGGTCCCATCACAACTACTGGCAGGGCACCCACCTTTTAATGATAGACGATCTGCAGTGGTGCCGGATACTCCAGATGACTTGGATGAGGAGGAACAGGAAGAGGAGGTGGAAGAGGAGGCATCGAGAAGCCTGCAGGATGTCCTCCGTGTCGCCGATGATTTCTCGCGTCTGGAACTTCATGACCACGCTGATGAAGAGTAGTATAGCATAGTTAACACATTGTATGGACAAATATGACTGATTTACGTATTTTAATGTTCACTTGCGCAAAACGCGCCATCAATCCATCCACGTCATCGCGAGATACTCGAGCTCATCGTGTCGCACAGCGAACTCGAAAGTCCGGCACCTTAAGCGACGTCAGGAACATGTCGCGGCATTTACCGATATGCCGGCGGCACTTAGCTCTTAATCCTACAGCGCTATATAAAGTCCCTCGCTATTCAAGAGATATCAGAGGAGGCTCTGATCGCTTATATCCGCCTTGTCTTACAGGTGCGAATCCCATCTATTATCAACTATAATTATGGTCGTTAAGTGGGAGTCACAGGTGCATTAAAGTCCTACTGCTGCCCAACTGACCATTTTCGATGTTTTGAGTCTTTGAACTTTCCCACACTCAATTTCTTATCTATTTCACTTCCTCAGCACTCAATTCTTGTTGGATTGTTTTGTAAATTTAGGTATATAATAGTGAATGTACTTTAAATCTACTCCAAGTGTCTGATTATTAAATTTCGATGTTTTGAAAGTATGGGCTCCTTATCAGTAGAAATAGCAAGTATCTACACTAGCTCAAACCTCCAGCCTATTTTGAGCTGATCCTTGGCATAGAACATATGTGTGAATGTACTACTGATAATATGTGAGCAGGGATGGTTATTTATGCAAGAGTAAGATACTAAAAAACATCAAAAGTGTCAAAAGTGAGATTTTCTATGTTTTTGTTCTTGTAGCAGGATCCTATGTGTGTTCTTGGCCAGCTATATGATAGATCTACTCCAAATATACATAGAAATAGACCCCTCACCTCAATTAAGGTCCGGTCCTGCAGGAAAAAATTTCACAGGGGGTAAACCACCAGGAGAGGGGGGGCACACCATGCAACAGGGAATTATCCCATGGTCCTGGGCTCCTGATACATTGTTCATATTGTTGAATAGATACTGGGAATAATTTTTCCAAGTCTGTCCACCTAGAAATAATTAAATAGGAACATATTCTGTGTTTTCTTGCATATGTGCTATATCTATTGATGTAGGACGCTTCAGGGGGTCAAATAAAGATGGGAATATACTCATATATGCTCATAAACATGTTTTGAATATAATAGAACACTTTCCCACCAAAGGGGCAAAAGTGCGAAAGTGTTCTTTACTCTAACATATGTTAAATGGCCTCTAGAGGAGGAGCAGGCACACAAATAAGCAAAAAAAGCGGTCTATTACATTATATTGTACATATATATACCAAACTACTACTTAGATACAAGAGGGGACCTATTGTGGTGTGGTGGTGAAGCTGCAGTGAGGTGGGGAGGGTGTGGGAATAATTGATATTGTGGAGATTCCCAAAATGGGTGATGTTTTAGGTGTAGTGGGGTGGCTAAAAATGCGAAAATGTGGAGAAGCAATCTATTTTTAAGTGTTGTGGGGAAATTCCCACAGTAGGTGGTCAAAAATGCGAAAATTAGGGGTGTGAGATTATTATGGGAGTGTCCTGACAGGATCCTCCATTGATATATCAGCCCTACAATGATAGGTATCTATGGACTTCAGTAATTATTGTATCCCATTTCATCTACAATTGTAAGAAGTGATACATCAAACCTACAGGTACAGGTGCCCCCACTGCCAATATGAGCACGATCCGGACAGTCCTGACAATGGCGGCTCAGCAAGACTGGGAAATCCACCAAGTCGACATCAAGAGCGCGTACCTGTATGCAAGCATCCAAGAGGAAATCTATATGAGGGCACCACCGGGGTACCTAAGGGAGGATCAGCGTGGAAAGGTGTTGAGGTTAAAGAGGAGCTTACCGGGACTTAAGCAGGCAGGATTCGAGTGGGCGGAAGAGTTGGCGGGAGTGTTTGCGAAGCTAGGATTCAACAGGTCAGGAGTTGATCAAGCGGTCTATTTCAAACGCACCTCCGATGAAAAGATGGTCATAACGGTCTCCGTCGATGACATGGCCGTGACTGCGAACCACCTCTCTCACATCCGCCGGTTCAAAGACCAGCTCCAACAGTACTTCGAGATTTCGGACTTGGGGGAACTAAGTTGGCTCCTGGGATTGAAGGTAACGCGGGACAGAGTATCACGCACCTTGACATTGTCCCAGAAGGCCTATGTGGCCACCATAGTCGAACATTTTCGCCTGGACGAGGCGAAATCAGTCCAAACGCCCATGGAGCCGGCCATCACACTATCCACAGATCAATCCCCATCCACGCACTCAGAAGTCGAGGCCATGAAGGACGTACCGTATCAACGTGCTATCGGATCATTGATGTACGCGGCGACCAGCACCCGCCCGGACATAGCCTTTGCTGTCACGACATTGTCGCAGTTCATGCGCAGTCCCGGCAGGGCGCATTGGGAGGCAGCTAAACGCGCGCTACGTTATCTGAAGGCCACTGATGCATTTGAACTTACCTTAGGTTCCAACGATGCCGGCCTGGAGGCGTTCGTTGATGCAGATTGGGCGTCCCAACCGCATAGGCACTCCATGTCCGGTTACATCGTAATGTTGAATGGAGGTCCAGTCGCCTGGAGTGCCCGAAAACAACCATTAATCGCGCTATCCACAGCCGAAGCGGAGTATATAGCACTTACTAGCGTCGTCCGGGAGCTTCTGTACCTAAAACTCCTCCTCACCGAACTCTACGACCCCCCCACTCTCCCCATTCCGATATTCTGCGATAATCAGGCCGCCATCGCGTTAGCGTCAAACAGGAAGTTCCAGTCACGTACCAAGCATATCGACTTGCGTTACCACTTCGTACGCTCATACGTGAAGGACGGGACCTTCAAGATTCTCTATTGCCCCACTGACGACAACGTGGCCGATGCGTTTACCAAGGCCGTGCCACGCCCCCGTTTGCAAAAGCTAAGGGCCCTGATGGGACTAGCTTGCGCTCGAGGGGGAGTGTCGACGTCCGAAGCCTCAGAGTTGAACAAGGCCGATGAGACCGAAGCAAAGGGGCAGGATGATGAATAGAATGTCCGAGCGCAAGGAGAGAGAGGCACGACGATGACAGAAGTGACGTCGGGGCCGAAAACTACCAAGTATCAATGTTTTACTTCAATATAACGTTTAGGAACACTTACCGTATAAAACCTATAGCAGAGCCAAACGAGCGCCTGAGTTCTGTTCCCAGATACTGAGACTTCATACCTGTTAGATTCTATCCGCTCCTGTTAACTCCTCTCAAGAAAGAATAGATCAAAGTTACTGAAGCCCCTCAGTCGACGAGCATTCTTGCTCATATGACGCGCCGGAAGAGGAGTATAGTATATGTGAAGATGTACGCATTCGATGCCAGAGTATCTTCGTCTCCAAGCCAGCTTAAGGGTCCAGCAGGACTTGGAGCCGAGGGCATCCAGTCCCCCTCGAAACGTCACGGCTGCACGCAAGTGCAGCAGTTTTGACATAGATGCGAGGGACGCGCACGGTACCAACAGGTGCAGGACTGGTGATGGTGCGTTTTGTTTTGGGTTGTGGCTGTGGCAGCCATAGAGGTAAATGTTATGGAATGGCCTGGCTGTGATAATAGCGTGTATCTGATCTTGCATGTGGAATTTGAAGCCTAACATCCTGCTTATCATTGTTATCGTTCCAGAGGTTTCTACTGTGCTTTATTGCGACAGTCGTGTAGCATAAACGATCATCACGGTGTAGACAACCCCGTTGTATCAGACTTACTTCTGAAACCTGATGCGCGCAGACCCGAAATATCACCCTGAACTTTGTGCAGAAGGACACTACTAGGCCAGGAGAGGTGCGCCCTATTACGGCCGCAGCCGACATTGTCTAGTCTCAGATAGTAAGTAAAAGGAAGTTACTTTTCGCTACTAATACATTACTAAATCCCGAGATCAGCCTATCTGTGAGGGCCATAGAAGACACAGCAAGCTCACCGGATCTATGCATCGAACTCCGCCTGATGGATCAGTGATCTCATGTGATAACACAATTCATTTCTATATAATATGCATACGAAACTGATGAAGATGTGCACGTCGCTGCACATCTCCCAGTTGTCGCCATGGCTTCTAATGATATCCCGTTTGATACCGGCGCTTTAATGTCAACAGTGCTAGAAGGCATTTTATACGGCGAGCATCGCGCATCGGGCTTGTTCGCCCTATGTCCATCAAGCTAAAGTCAACTCACCTTTCCAGGCTTTTCAGTGCTCATGTTTATGGGCACCATGTGGTCTTTGACCTACAAACAGCATGTGCGAGACACCAATCGCCCAATCTTCATAGTGGCTATCCTGCTATTGTTATTGAGTGCCGCAGTGAGTCCTTGCTTTTACGCCTGACATGGAACCTGCTGACATCCACCAAGCACATTGTTGTGAACATCATTCGTGTGGAGGATGGACTGGTAAAGTATCGTGACACATACCCAGGCGGGCCAAGGGCATTCTTTGCAGACGTTTCACAGGAAACGTATGTGATCAAGCATGCATTATACGTCCTACAAACTCTACTTGCTGATGGGGTTGTGGTAAGTTCATACTCTGATCTACAAGTCTAGGACCTTGTGAGCTGATATAAGTGTCTTGCCTGGTAAAAGATTTATCGCTGCTATGTTGTTTGGCAATCTGTCTGGGTGATCGTCCTACCAGTCATGCTGTGGTGTAGCGTCGCAGGTAAGGCCGCAATTATGTTCAGCTTGAGGGAGATGTGTGATCTGATGTGGCTTCACAGTCACTGGCGTCACTGCGGTCTACAGTGTTTCGCAATCCAGCTCCAGTGCTAGTGTATTCGCCCAAGATCTTGCGATGTGGATCATGGGTTTTTTTATCTCAACTATTGCAGCTAATGCATCGAGTTCAGGTAAGCTCGTTTCCACGAGCGTGATGCAGAGGCTCTGAATGTGTCCAGGATTAATGGCATATCGAATATGGATGATTGAACGTAATATCGCCAGACTTCGCGCTAGTCCAAAGGGCACTATGATGCCAATAATGCACGTGCTCATGGATGCTGCCGTTTTGTACTCGGTGGCACTTTTCACTGCACTGGTCTGTTACGTCTGCTCGAACAACGGTGATTTTATTATGGTGGACCTGGTAATCCCTTTTGAATTAATGCTTGTTATCGAAACATACTGAGCAACGATCAACTAGGCCGTGCCAATCATATTGATTGCCTTCTACATGGTGCTTATTCGCATCGCTGTCAATAGACAGCACAATTACCTCCCGAATGTAGGGACGAATGCCCAGACGCGACAATCGGGCAATCTGCAGCAGTATCCGCTGCAAGTCCATATATCATGATTTACAAGCAGTGATAATACTTCACCACACGAAATAGGGAATGAACATTCGTCCGAGTCAGGGAGGAGGTCACCTACTTGGACGCTGGTAAAGTAGAGATCAATATCAGGGCCAAATGTGAGGTAAATGGCTAGAGCCTCCCAAGTGAACCATCATAATCCTATCCCCCCATCAGTGAACCGGTGAACAAATGAGAATGGTATTTAAAGTTATATATTGTTAAGCATTGCAACAATCAGCGTAAATTTGACGACCACCTTCACATGGGAATGTTTAGCATTATCTAGGAAAGAATAACTTGCAAGCACACGGGTCTGGTAGCCCTATTTGCCTCAAGGCCTTTTTCACTTGGATGGGTCTAAGAAACAATGCGCGAACACAGGTTCATGCATTGGAATATAAACCTGGTCTGAGAGTGACAAGAAAAGAGGTTGCGGTGTGCAGAAGTAAAAGACACTTGGGTGATGCTCACGCGTGAAGAGGACGGGTGTCATTTGGTCTTTGCACAATATATTTTTGCTCGCTGCGGATAACTACCGAGCGTGCGAATAACTTGCTCGAGGAAAAAGTATGAGTAACAGTAGACATTACTTCTCAACGGATCGTTTGTCTATATTGACTGAATATTGGATGAATGTCGCTTTGAGTAGTATATTGCATAGAGTAGAGACAATATTCTGAGTTATCTTAGAGTAAATATCACTGCTTGATGAACACCGAGTTGCAATGACATAGAAGCACCGGAGTCGCGCATGCGAAATGTTTATTTGTAGACCGTCGCACAGATCAATACATTATACGGAGCGCAAATACTGTTCCAAGGTATGTGAGAGTACACATGAATTCTCGATGGATAGATTTCCTACTCTGTCGCTGAAAAGCAAGAATTATCCAGCGAAACCTTTTCGGAACACGATACTACATCAAATCATCCCTTAGGACAAAATCAAAAGTGTACATTTTTGCTCGAGTGCACAGAATTTGCGGTTGTGACCACGTTTATAGGTAATTCGAACCTTGGTGTAACGCTGGAAGCATGCACAATGGCAGTGCTATATTGTAATCTCACGCCATTATTACCATCTTCACAATTTGAATGCTTCTGGCCTTTCTAACCGAAAGCATGAAAGATCTCGTGTACTACTCAAGCATCTCAAAATTTATAGCGGTGAGTGATGCTTCACCCTGATGCCTCACTTGCTACTCAATAAGTGTCTTAGGTATTTCTTCACTTTTCCACAGGATTGCGTTTGTTCTGCTTTGCGGAACGTTTTATGACGTAGAGCATCCGCTCGAGACTTCATAGCGGTGAGTGATGCTTCACCCTGATGCCTCACCTGCCACTCAATAAGCGTCTTAGGTATTTCTTCACTTTTTCACAGGATTGCATTTGTTCTGCTTTGCAGGACGTTTTATGACGTAGGACATCCGCTCGAGACTTCATAGCGGTGAGTGATGCTTCACCTCGATGTCTCACTTACGACTTAACGAGCATCTTATATATTTTGCCACTGCTCGATTGCTTTGCGTTTGTCCTCCTTTGTGGGACATTTTATGACGTAGGACATCCGCTTGAGACTTGATAGCGGTGAGTGATGCTTCACCTCGATGTCTCACTTACGACTTAACGAGCATCTTATATATTTCACCACTGCTCGATTGCTTTGCGTTTGTCCTCCTTTGCGGGACGCTTTATGATGTAGGACATCCGCTCGAGACTTCATAGCGATGAGTGATGCTTCACCTCGATGTCTCACTTGCCACTCAACACGCGTCTTAGGTATTTCTTCACTTTCCCATAGGATTGCGTTTGTCCTGCTTTGTGGGACGCTTTATGACGTAGGACATCCGCTCAAGAGTTCAGCGAGAGCGTCTTATGTATCATATATTTCGTCACTGTCCAATTACTTTGCATTTTTTGCACCTTGCAGGACGAACTTTGATTCTCTAGAAAATAGGCATATTTTTATTCCATACACATTTAACTATCTTAGTAGCCTGTAACTACAGTGCGAATGGGAACACAGGTAAAAATTGTCAAGCAACTAGTTGGAGTTGAATGCAAGGTCCTCCATCTGTCGTCTCTGGGCAGTGAGAGTGCTCACAGACATCCGGGATACAATGTCCTGTGTCAAGTCCTGTCGATGATTCCTGCCAAAAACTTTCCTGCACAGGGAATTAGGAGTCAGGGTGAGTCACTAATGGTCAATGACTTGCCTGGTCCACCATTCAAGCAAATCATTCGCCCTGGTTCGTGCGGCTGGACCTGGAGCATCCTCAAAGAAATCGACGATGCTAGTCCAGAAGATCTGATAGTCAAAGTCGCCATCCACAGTGCGCCAGGAGTTGATACTAGAAAGCGCGAACCGGATCTGCAGAATTTAATGTTGGCTTCTGAGTCATAATTAGAAGGAAGCTGCTTGCCTGGCAGGCTGCATACGCGATTGCGCGAGGTGTTACTTTCCTCATGCCTATAATGGAGGCAACACATGTTTTAACTCTGGCTTGATCTGACCGTTTACGGGCACATCGGTTATTTTCAATAATATCAGCACCATTACCTTCACCGTCCACTTCATTAGCAGAAGAGGGAGAAGTAAAGATAGCCTTGAATCCCTGTCATGCGTTAAGCCACGAGTCAGTTGAAATGATGGGGCCAGTCACCATGATTAACAACCTCGACTTCATCAGACCGTACTCCAGATTATTAGCATCAGCTTGGTAGTTTTCATACATGAACGATGGCCAAGAATTTTCTGAAACGATGAAATCAATTGTGCGGTCACGAATGCCAGCCCTGACGCTGAACAAAATGTCAGTAAACTGTGAGCGACGAAGATCATCATTTACACCGGGTCCTCCCAAGACCATTCCGCCGGACAGAGGAGTCTGCCGCACGCATCACTCACAAAACCATGATGGTGCTTGTCGTCAGTCCTTATGAGCGCAGTCGGATGGCACTTAATATTGACCCAGGAAGCAACGAGTTCTTTAAGGGTCCCTGTGTCGTCGCCACGAGCAGAGTCTGCACCTCGCTTGAGCTATATCGAGAATCAGCAAAAAGTGTGATAAAGACGTGGAGGAAAACCTTTTTGAGCATATCTTCTGACTCTTCATGATCAAGACATGCTAGCTTATCGTGAAGCCACGGTAATGCCTTGGCGAGTTCGATGTAACCATGTTGAAGACGGTCTTGCCTACTCCATTTTGTAAATAAGCACGACAATATAAACATGGATAGTTACACCGTAGTAGAGCTGCTGCTAGGCCCGCAGTCTTCACACCGCCTGTCGTTTTCTGCGATCAAATCCTCTATAGGGGTGTAAAGGGCAACAATACGACAGATTGCTCGTCCCTGTGAAACATAATAGATTGTTTTCCTGTACCAAAGAATTAGTTAATACTATGGTAAGTCTAAGAGCCGAGAGCGTGCTTCGCACCTTTGCTTTATTGCCTTGTCCTGCTTCAAGATTTCAATTTCATCCATCAGAGCAGCAATCTTTCGCTTCGCCCTAGCATGCGGAGAAGTTTGGACACTCAGCGAGATATCCAGAACAGGAGGGATGATCTCAGATGTCGACATACTGGCATGAAGATGAGGTAGAAGTACGAAAAAGTGGAGGAGAGTACGAGATGTAAGAGCTTGTGAGGTTATCTTATATATAAATGTCTAACCTGAGTATAGCCTTGGTGAATTTTGACGTAAAACATTTTTCGGATCGACCAGTACGCGAAACGAGCAGCTTCCGAACCATTTTAGTGTTTGCGCACCAGGGCTTTAAGTGTTCCGAGTTGTATGTGCTAGTTCGATTAGCAACCGAAATTCAGCCGCGTCGATGGAGTTCAAACTTAGTGCTGCTCACGAGATTGAAAGCCGTTCATGTAATTGGTTGGCCCTAGACCTATGATTATGCAGTACAGACTCGATCGCTGTCGGACTACTACACCGTTAGTACTTGTCTTGACACGCGTTAGAACATACCTATTGGTTAGTTTATTAACAAAGAGGCTTCCCATGACCCGTCCAGCATTATTGGGCACCTGAGGTATCCGACACTTGTGACCATAATGAGATCCAGTTCATACATAAGTATAATATGTCAGTCACCTGTGGCGCCAGTGTTCAAATAGCCTTACTCAAAATCTGCAAGTTCATCCTCATAGAAAACCTCGCACCATGGTGACTCATACCCTGCGGCTAGGTCATATGCGCATGCATACAAAGCTCTGTGTGGGGATGGGCAACGTCCAGCCAAATTGAAACTCCGCCCGTGAATCGTCCATAGTGGATGTAAAGGGAATGACTGTCCAGCAGAATACCTGTATAGTACCAATAGTAAACAAGAGGCAGCACCATCGGCAGTCATGCGATCTTTGAGCACACTGAAATGCGCGCTGACTAATCAAAGTGAAACGCGACGCGTCAAGGCAAGGAGTAGTATGACCTGCAAACTGACCCGCCGGTATCTCGGAAGTGACCGTTACAACCCAAGCAAGAAACGGTCCAGCAAACAGAAGGCTCACCTTGCACGAATCAACTCAAAGAAACCCCTAGACAAGGAGAATATCCCAGATGAGCATTCTATACCATTCAGTGTCTTGCACAAGATCAGGAGACATACCCTCACTTTCGCCCCCTAGCCGTTGCATTTTTGCAAGGAGCTCACAATACCTGGGTTCGATTTTGCGCTGAGTTCATTGCTGGTGGAACAATAGATAGGTCAACTGATGTTCAGTGGCAAACGACTTACATGAAAACCACAAACGATGACAATGAGGGTGCACTCGGTACTGTCCGCACATCTCTTCGCCGTGCGCCACACATGGCACTATCCCATTTCAACTCTCGCTTCATGTACAGGAAAAACAAAACCGGCACTTACATCAAAAATTCCCTTGATGCCTGTTCCCAGCACAAGCTCTGTAGAAAGGCTCGCGAACGTGATAAAAGTAGTGATGAGGGTGTACGGCAGGTTGTGCAGGTGGAATATGATAAGGAGGTGGTGCAGAAACACCGGGAAGAAGACATCAAGAAATACGCTCGTCGAGATGCTGCAGTAGCAAAGCTTGATGCAGTGGTACCTCGACTCACGCTAGAAGAAGTCAGCAAGCTTCGTAGTGCTGAAGTTGACCTTCAGATTCATTGGCATCGCAGATTCAACACAGCAATGCCGGCTGCCAAAAACATGCCCAGCACGAAAGCAAAGAAGGTAGAGGTGTTGATGGAGGCTGTAGGACGTTATCTGCGTGGTGAAGCTACACCGAGTGGTCAAGCAACATACCCGCAGCGGCTTGCATTGTCAGTCCAAGAGATAGTACTACTAGGAGAGGGTGACTCGTGAGGATGAGTTTGACGACGAATGATGGCCGAGTTTCGATATTTTTGCTCTAAAAACTTTATAATTCTCGTTTATAATGCTAACTGTTGCCATTTAACACACCTCGTCACCACCCGCACCCGTCCTTGACATGTGGAAGAAGGTCATTCAAACATTTGGTGATTTTAGGGAGGTAGTACGAGTTGCTCCATTCATTGGCCACCTGAGCAAGTGATATGTTATGAGACAAGGATTAAACCCCAGTTTGCTTGCCTTAGATACATAGTGCCAGTCGAGGCCAGGGCATGAATAATTGACTTTCTGTACGATGCTACCACGGAGCTCTGCCGAACGCGGGTAATGCACGTACAACTGCCGAATGAAGCTCACGGGGTATATGCCTCACCACGAGAATGACAGGGAAAAAACCGATCTTCAAAATAAAGTCCTCCTAGGAGTCGGGGATTATCTATTGACAAACACGACATGAGAAATACATGAATATAGTATGAATATCATGGAATCGTAAGACATCAGCGTACGCACTGGCACAGGCTCGAAGCCATACTAATCTAAGTCGACATCACTCTGCATGCCGCAAAAAGCCAGTCGCAGCATAAACAGGAATCTCCAACCACCCAGCATTTCGGTTTTTTCCTGGAAGTAACTTAGAGCCCTTCGGAGCCTTGCAAGTGTACGTGGACTTTGGGAGAGATCGTCTGCCGTTACCCTTTTTGCCACAATCTTTGAATGAGCACTGAAAGGTCGCAGACATCTGTGAGACATTGGCCTCGATTCGTTTCCACACAGTCGGACACCCACACTGGGCACACTGCATGGGAAGTGTGCACCCCCATGGACGGGCCTTCGTGTGAGCATATGAGTAACGAGTGCACTCTGGGTCCGAGGCGCTGTCCCGAGATGGGACCGTTGACATGGTCATCAGGATGAGTTCGGTATGCATTCCCAGTCCCGATTGGTCAAGGATGCTGGGAAAAGCCTCGCGCAGGGTAAAGCCTTCGATAAGAACGAGTTGAGCAAATGTCGTCATAAAGTGATAGGTCATGGACAAATGGAAGTGCTTGGCGGTGAATGCAACTATGGATGTAAGCTTGTGCTTGCCAGCACACTGACTCAAACCGCCAAAACTTTCGGGATGATTGACGAGGGCTCCACAGCTGAAGAAAAATAGGGTAGTGTTGTTCGCGCGCTGGAACACCTCCCTCCACAGGTCAAGTAGGGTATCCATGAACTGCAAGAAACCATATTAGGATCTAATAGTGAGACGACTAAACACATGTACGTCAGGAACAGTGGTAGCGACATAGCTGCCGTTGGTTTCTTTGTCGTAGCCAAGAAAGGGGTCACCGTTATCGTCGTTTGTATGATCAGTGATCGCAATACACACTCTCTGGTAGTTGCGACCCTCCATTATTTCTTTCACAGGGGCCTCACACTTCCAAGAGTATGTATCTACTTTTCGCGCAGTACCGAGATCAAACACTACTTCAACGAGGCGGAGACCGCCATTCGGAAAGTAAGGTGAAAGATAAGAGTGGACCGCATCGATGGGGGTCGCAGTAGTTTCGAAGCCGACCAATTTGAAGTGAATAATCAGGATGGGGGTCGCAGATATCTCGGAACGTTTAGAAAGTTGCAGCTGGCCAACGATGGGCAGGAATGATGGGAGAATAGGTTTGTTATCCATATAAAATCCCTAAATACCCGTGATTGAGCAAAACACCGAATAAGTACAAATAAATTTGAAACATACATAATATGGTGTGACCTCCCTCGACGTGTTATCGCGAGCCGTATGACAATGGATGCAGCGAAAGACGACACTGGGCTGCATCACATCTTGTAGGTAGATATTGGGGATTGATATGCAGTTCGTACAAACACCACAAGGGCAGCCATTTTCATTGCATTCGTAGATGCAATGGCCTGCGCCGTGTGCACCATCTTGGCAAAGCATGCAAAACTGTGGAAATATATCTGATGAGTCTGTCTCCCATAGAGTTAAATGTAACTCACTTCATTCTGTGACGGTTCTGGATGGACATCCAGATAAGAACGTGCCATTTCTTGAACTTGCGGTGGTACTGCGCCACCGGTAGCAGCTTTTGCAGCTTGAAGGTTGTGAGGCAGTTCCTCCATCCCAGGCTTTACTTTGGCTGAAACAACCTTACGAGGGGCAAGCCCGCCAGTAGCTCTTGGAGCTGTCATTCTGGTGCGCGCCATGGTGTGAACTTGAAGATAGGATTGGTTCAACAGTCGTCAAATCTGAAATATTTGTGTGGCGTAGTACTACAAGCATGGATAAACAAAACATAGCATGGTTGATGTGAGAACAACGCCAACCTCTTTCTGTCTCGCGAACTTCCACGCCCGGGCCCGGTAGTGACGGAGGACGGACAACTTGAAAACTTTATCAAGAAGATTGTGGATAAAAGGAAGGTGGGACGGGGAAAGAGATACCTAGTTTGTTGGGTCAGCTTCGGAGAGGAGGACGATGAATGGTTGCCGCGAAAAGAGGTGGAAGACTGAGATGTTGGATGTCTGGGAGGTCAGAACGATGATAGGGAAGGGTGTAAGCCTACGGCTTACCCCACACGTGACGAAGCTGCTTCTGATTGGACACCGGATGCTTCATGCTTCCGACAACACGTCATATCACGTGATCGTGTTCTTAAAAAGGCCATAGGCCTCAACGTTCAACGCTCAGCTCATTGCGCAGCGCCGCACAAGAAGGCACACCCCAGACACTTAGCGGACATACTACTACCTTCACGGTGGCCCACTTTTTCGTGCGCGGCACTCAAACGGACAGTCAGACAAACCTCAACAGATTAGGATGCTACTACTAGTAAATCCGTCAGTATGTAAGAAGAAATATATAGAGGTAAACGTAAATCATTAAGGAAGGTGAGAATGAGTGAGCAAACGAGAGTATTGTGATAAACAAGCGAGTGGATTGTATGGTGCAGTGAAAAGAATGACAACGCGAAGAAGAAACGGGCTCTGGACGTGTGGTGCTGGTTCCTTCCGCGCGCTTGAAAACTGGCATTATTCACACAGTAGCGCAAATGACCATCTACTTCAAATTCAGCATTGCGCGAAGCTGCCCTTCTCTCGCTGAATTCACGACTTCAAACAAGTACTGGAAAGGCTGCGGGTGACATTGGATGAAATAAAGTTAGCTGTATCTCGCGCATACATCGAGGCCACTTACATCATCATGCCGGTGGTGATTTCCGGCTTTACCTCAATCCTGTTTCCGTTCGAGTCTTTGGCATGATCGATATGAAAGACGGCAAGGATGGTAGCCGTTGCAGACTGCTCTGCACAAACCAACGACCTACCAAGGGTATAAGTACTATGTCATCACTAATATCGATGAATCATTAGTTATCTTACCAGGACAAACACACCTGCTCAAGTCAGTGAACAGCTGAAAGTGATACTAATTGCGGGATATTCATCTGCCATGAACAAAGGCAAAATGGTTGACAAAAAGGTCCTTCAGCTGCCCATCAGCTGTGAGATGGCGAGTGGGATCGAAGCGTGATGCATCGGGAAATATGTCTTCGTCCTGAGACAACCCCCTAAGTCACGTTCAACTCAAGCATTTAGATACGCTGCATCGTACAGACCATTGATTAACCATCACCATCGTGCCTAATTGAACTACAGATAAGTCAATGCAACCCCGAGTCATATAACGAACCTTTGGTATAAAGTACCCGCCGTAAAAGTCATCATTTATTGTCGCATGCGCCATTCCTGTGCAAGGAGTAGGCTACAGAATTGCGTAAACATCAAGGCACATAACTGGACCGACCTAGGGTATGGGAGGACACCATCTTAGAACCTCACGGAGAACGGCATCAAGGTAGGGTAACGATGGCCTATCATCAATGGACGGCATTTTATCATGCATCACAACTTGATTTATTTCTGCATGAACCCTGGCTTGGACATCGGGATAGAGTATCATGGCCAGCAGGAATATCTGCAATACGGATGTAGACTGCCGGACATCAAGGTAAGGAAGAAGTGATAAGGATTTTCTAAACCAATGGCTCACCGTGTCTATGCCTCCTAGGATACCGTATCTGCATCAAAAAATTCACATAAGGCGTTCAAACCCAAGCCACATGTCGCCGTTAAATTCGCCTTTCGTCTGGTGGCCGATGTCGTAAGATGCCATCGCGATGTGGTGAAGCAGAATCAACAAACCTTAACTCTGTGAATAGCCAACACAGATTCAATGCGCATTCCCCACCGGCCTTCACACCATAATGAGTCATGACGGAGAAATTTCGGCTTGCAACTCACAGATACTAGGCTCGTTTGTTATGACGTGTCCAGGAACAAGAGCAACGCTGCTGGAAAACCTGTATGGGCTTTCATGAACGTTTAAGAACGAGCCAAGACCGTGGCCAGTGCCGTGCTAGACCACGTATCAGGTGATGGTCAAGCGTCAAAAAAGCAACGTACCATGTAATTAAGTCCGTCCTTCCATAGTGCACCGTGCACGTCGAGCCAGAACATCGAGTTGGGAGCTGGTGGTTCCCTCCGGGAATACTGCGCTATCGATGGCAATCTGAGATTACAAGGTGAGGAAGTGCGGGAAGCTGATATGACCGTCAGTGACATACATGACCCTGCAAAACACGGGTGTAGGCTTCCGATTGGTCTACTGATGGCCTTCCAAAATGACTTGTGCGTGTTGTGTCACAGGTGCCATCACGATATTGACCTCCAGAATCACTGGGGTAAACGAGGTTGATGATCACGAACTTTAATGAGACTCTCGATGCTCACTTGAGGTAGGCGTATCTCGCTCAATCATCCAGGCGCCATATTTCATAGGCAAATAGTGGGGAAGAGCTGCAAGATGCGAAATATTAGCGATGTAGATTACCATGCAATGGAAACCGCGTACTCGCGTTAGGCCCTGCAGAGATATTCTCGTACGCCAGACTCCAATAGTGCTTATTTTGCCTCCTGTACTCTGTGAGATGCCATGCTGCTTCATACTCCGTAATGTTGTATCCTTGTTCAAACATATAATCCATTGCCATGCAAACCTTCGACTCTGATTGGCGCATCAGTGATGGCTGACAAGGCAAGTAAGTTACTTACCCTTCCATCCGTTCAATAATACACTTATATACATGCATGAAGGTCGATAAGAGATTGGTATGACCTGACAGGTGACTCGACTGGTGATCCGATCGTATTTATTTGTTCAAGTTTGTCTGTGTGTAAGCACAGCCTAAATAATCAACAAACTTCTGAGTTTGAATTTCGCCTTCCACTGCTTCAACATCCTAACTCAGACCTTGAGAAACTTGCATGTTGCATGTCGACTATCGTCGACTACACATCGGGTTCTCTCTATTCAATCATGTGCATTATGATTCGCCCTGGACATGAACTTGACGTTGCATGCTGACTATCGTCGACTGCGCGTCGGGTTCTCTCTATTCAATCGTGTGCATTATCCATTATGACTGGCCTTGGACATGGACTTCACGTTGCATGCCGACTATCGTCGACTGCACGTCAAGTTCGTTCTATTATCATCATGATTCGCCCTGGACATGAACTTGACGTTGCATGCCGACTATTGTCGACTGCATGCCGGGTTCTTTCTATTATATGCATGCGGCATCATGCAAGCCCTAGACACAATCATAGTAGACACCATTGCCGTTGTGACTAGTATGTGACTTTTGTGATGCTCTACAATATATCGTCCTAAACAACTTTCTCGTCTGTCCACTGATTCACTGATTAGGTTATGTAGGGGTCTTTCGGATGGGAGTCGGGGATACGGTCATGTTGGTGGTTGACTCGCCAGTCTGGATGGTCGAGGCTCGGCTGAACTTGAAATTTGAAAAGTTGAGCTTCCAGCACGTTTCTGTAAGTAATGGCACCGGGTCTGACTAAAAGAGTGCCCTTTGACACAGTGACAGTCGCCTCCTGACTAGAAATCTCATTTCTATCGTCAGTTTCACAACTAACCGGTGGATCAGCGAAGACTTGAAAGAATGCGCACTTCGTCTGTGAGACTACCGGCACTTTCTCTCAATCCGGTCCCTCTGAATTCAAGATCTGATATTGGATATGATCATAATTAGATCTGAGTCCGAATCGATTATCGGATTGCAAGTTATCCCAGATAGGCTTCCACGACCAACTTATCAATTCAAAAATTCATCACCGCGCGGCCACCTCACTAATTCTTAGACTCACTTCAAAACTGACTCGTACTACATACACAAATCCATTCTCGACATTTATCCTGAGTAATACAATGTCACGCTTTCCGGATGATCAGACTCCGTTTTCGAACGATTCTGAGCCTTCCAGATTGCATAGAAACGCAGTCACGCACCCAGCGCCGGTGAATCACGATGATCAGTTGTTACTAAAGCAACTCAATGACTCAGTCTTCACAGATTAATCCTGGCTTACCAATTCATGGAATTTTCGCTTCACTCAGACAGCCGAATCGCAATGAGTTGCAGCCTGCTCCGGTGAACTACGAGTCTCCTCTCTACAGCATCAATCCTTGGCCTGGTCTGCATGAAGATGACTCCCGTCCCGGACCTGATCTATATGCCAATTCTTTCTACCCTGAGGCACCACCAACCCTGCAATTTGATCAGACCCGCCCCCCTGCTACATCTTACCACGATCCAGTCCCAAATCCTCTACCAGAGGTACCAGCGGTCAACTGGGTACAGGGATTGTTTGACAATCTTGGCACGTCTGATTCACAAGCCGGCTACCAGGAGGCAGGCCCCTCCGGTAGCTCGCAAAACCCCAACATCTTACCAAAATTCACCTTCAACGACAACATAGCATACACGTCCTTATTGACCTCCCGCATCCCCTCACGTCCCGTTCGACGTATTAAGCCTTACGACAGAAATCGCCCCTCGAGGGGTGCTCGATGTCGCAACCCCAACCAGGGGGAAGATGAAATCGTGGAGGCCATGTATTGCTCCATATTCGATGAGGCCTTCATGCCCGAGCCACATGAAGTCATTGAAATGGCGCGAAAAATTTTCCAACACTGGACTCATACGCTGATAACAGTAAGTCTCTGAATTTTTAAAATATTACCATTTAATAACAGACCTCTGTCAGCCCAATGGTCCGTGACGGCGGAAGGGCAGGCGGGGGTAGCCAAATTTTTGGGAGTTCTTACGGCTCTAAGAGATGATATAAAGGAGCTCACAAGGGCTTGGGTGGTACTGGAGTACCAAATCCCCCTTTACACGCAAACCATGCCAGTGGTTAAATTGTTCGTCGAGGGGCTTATCAGGGACTATGCGTATCTCAAAGGACCCATTAGCGTAAGTTTTGAGGTCTCCTTCCTTTTAGTTCTATGATTGATCACAGTGTTGTATTAGGTACTGGGAATAATAAGTAACCTACCGTTCGGGCACCGAGCAGTCATAGGCTTTGTGAAACACTTGCTGTTTCATGATCGCCAATACTGGCGATACATCAGCCCGACTAAAAACGTTGAGCCCCTCCTCGCGTACTCAAGCACACTACACACTTGGGGGTTAAACGAGCTGTCTACCGGGTGTTTCTCTGCCCTCAAATTCGATACCATCGCTAGACAGCCTACGTACAATGCATTTGTCAAGCTTTTCCGATCGCTGACAGATGATCAACGTGATGCGCTGAGCACACATATTATGGCACGGGCTTAACCCACGTTTCAAAACTAGCTATCTGAGTAAGTCAGTAGTGGAATGTATCGAGTTCACTATATTTCCAATTAGGAACCACGGCTCAGGCTCCGCCGCGGCTGTGTCACCTACTACTAATTCTTTTCATTCAAGAGATGCTATTGATGCCAATGCCGAGTTGGTCAAGTCATGGCAACGGTTGCCAGTGAGTACCGAGTCAGAGCCCTCCCATGATCAGCATCTGTGACTAACTTGACTTTAACTTGACTTAGGTCCGGACTCGCAGTAGCGACACGTCCGTCCGGAGTCCTCGGCAGAAGAGACAATGTTTAGCAATATTCGAGTCATCAGATTCCAGTGTCAGGCACGCTTAGAGTCTAGATCCTGGAGTCTGTCACAAATATGATTAGAGTTACATCGTCTCGTGACTTCACTAGTACTCCCTTGATCACTCAAGTCGGACGCCAATCCGAGTTGGTCCCGATGGTCCGGGGATGCGAACATATAAAGCCCTGGCATATTCGCTTCCAAGACGGTTATGGCGAGTTCTTCGTCTGCTGATTATGATCGGACGAGTCTGTTGACTTTCGAAATATCGTCAACACGCTAGCAGTTATGATGGGTCGCGACTCATGACTTAAAAGTGGGTGAGCAGAGTGCATTGTGATGTTGAATTTTCCCACCATGACGCAGTCTCCTGGTCAACTTGAAGTTCCTGAGACTTTCTCTCCGAGCATATCTTCCAGAACTCGTGCGGCCAAACGGCGCTCTCAGCAGCAGGCTCGGCGTGTGCAAAATGCAGCTTTTCTACTCGGAATACGCCCAGAGCTCCCTGATGTCAATGACCAGGACTTGGAGATGTTGAACTGCACGCACGTGGTTAAGAGTTTCTATGATGGTGTGGCGGACTCGCAGCCAATCGAAGGATTTTCTGTACACCCGCAACAGCCTGAGAGCCAGGAGCTCGAGAAAGGTGATTTGAAAATTTCTAACTGGTTGGTGAGGATACTCATGTTGTGTTAGTCAAGTTTAGGATACCACTACACACCATGGATAGCAACCTAAGTGTGACATGTGTGGACCACCTACACTCTGAGTCGGATTGTCGCCTAGATATCTTCGACCGCATCAAGGCTACAATGGATGTTCCATCCACGTATGAGCACTTGGCCTGGCGCTTATCCGTTTCCCGTCGCAAAGACCCACCCCATCGCCTTCTGACATCATACGATATTGACAGTGCGTTCAAAGCGGTGAGAGCAGAGTTCAGGGAAGGGAAGGGAAGGAAGAGAGTCATGATTGAAATTATCAATACCGTATGTGTTTCGATGTTTGTGAGTGATTTATGCGAATAATTATTTGTAGATGCCTGCACTGAAAGAAAATCCGGTGAAACGCAGCTCCGGGTCTTCTGTGGCAGGCGAGCAGAGCCTGACGAATGAGACACGCGGCCAGGGACGAGCTCTTTCGTCGCTCCAGAGAGTGCCCACTGAGATCATTTCTCCTGTCATCCACAATCACATCCACGTTTCACCCGCCATCAGCGACATGGTGACTTCTGAAGGAAAACAACAAGGAGAATGCCCTATCATGATGCCCCAGCCACTCAAAAGGACATACGCCCTTTACATGGAAAGTGACGAAGAATCTAGCAACGACGAACCACCACAAATCATTGGAAACTTTCTTACCAGTGTTCATTCTCGTTATCCGGCCATGAACTTCTTACAGTATGCTGGTAAACTGAAAGATCGTGGCATCTTGTATTTGCCAACTGCAGCTAGGTTTAATGTTGGATTTTACCAGAACAAGGTCGGTATGCCAGAGGGTACTGCACTTACCTTTCATAGCTGTGTCTCTAAAGCTTATATGAGAGTGGAACGTGCAAAGGGAAGAAGGAAGACTAAAGGGAAAAAGAAAGCACGAGCCCAACTGCATGACGACTCAGAGGATGAGTAGCATATGTTGGACCTAGTAGCGTGTGTTCAACCAATACTACTGTACACTCAAACAACTTATTTTCGAAAGTCGCTTCAGCTCATTTCGCAGTCTGCAGTGATGTACAATAAATTACAACATGTTAAATGAATATCCAGTAACTAGAATCTGAAGTCTCGATATCAGTGCAGGAAATATCACAATCAGTGAGTCCTTAGCGTCCGTCGTCTCATCGGATATATTCCTACATCTACTACCTCCGATCGCCAAATTGGTCGCCTTTGCCACCTATAAACAAAAACCTGCTATCGATGTGGCCAAAAGGCGGCCAAGCACCCTGCACGAAGTCCCATCGATGATGATGCCTGTTCGCGGGCTGTATTCGAATTTAATACGGTCGTTGAGGAGCCTGAGGGCGAAGGGCTCAGAGGAAAACTTGATGTGGGTAATGATAGTGTTGGAAGATAAGAGGAGGTCGCACTATTGCACGTACGAATCATAATGGATCACGGTATTTCTGAGCGTGTTCTCTGATGAAGACAAGAGGGTACTTACCTGCTATTACAGTCCTAGGCGTCATTATGAATCACCTACGCAATCGTTTGCATGCTGCCGAACAAAACCAACTTGAAGTCCTTGACTACTCCCAATGATCAGTCGCAGAACGAGATGCCACTTTATGAAGTAAGTTCGAGGTCTCATGCCAGCAATTGACTGCATCAGAAGAATCACATAACTGGGAACTTGAAGATCGTGTCAACTGCCGTGCAGAGGATATCGACATTCACCAACATGTCATTCGTCTCCTGGAGACCAACCTCAAAATCCAGGAGGAACGGATCTCAGAGACAATGTCTGAGCTGGGGAAGGATCCTGGGAGCAGGATAAGTTGTTCAATCCACGCAGTTACTGAATGAAAGTACCTGTCGCAAGCAAGAGGATGGAAAATAAAAAATGGTACACACTCACGTAAATCTGTGCATTGAGAGCCGCACAAACTTGCGCAATATGCACCACAGGATAGAATGTCACTGTGTTGCTCCGAGGGGCCATCATGCATCAGGGCCCAGGCCATAAACTTATTACATCGGACGAGTCACTCAGTTTTAGACTCCGATGGGTCCATAGTTCATATTCCCAACCACTAAATAATGCAAACACATACTCCTCCAAGCTCTATAGGCCATGCTCGTCAGAGCAGTGATGAATCTTGTCGAAGTCTAGGACAGCTCGAGGATCTACACACCGCACGTCCTGGGCGGAGACACAGGAGAGTCAGACCATCTGACTCGATCGCATCTAAGTCGTCATCTAAACATCGACGATCATCCACCTCCAATGGCTTGTCAGATTTCATCACCGCAATACCCAAACCTCCTGCAATCACCAAGCAATTGTCTCAATATGTCCTTCGTGCGCAACGGAAGTTCAAGCCGTATGACAAGCCGCATGGTCGCTTGCCCACTGCACTAGAGCTCCGTTATGTTGATAGGTTTTGCGGGAAGTGCCCCGGCGAGACTGATATGAGTCTGGCAGATGTCAAAGCGGTGTGTTATCCTAATCTTAGTTAAATGTGCTTTACTTCATACTGACAAGCAATCATGTGTCAGGGCAAAGACGTCTTTGAGCGTGGTGTTGCGCTCCTATCTAAGGAGACTATCACTCAAATTGTTGTCGCCAAGCGAGCTGCTTGTGAATCTATGCGCTTACGCGCTATGACAACGGCTTGGGAAATCCAAGCCTCATCGGAACACTCTAAGCTTCTTGAATTGATTTTTAAGGAGGAAGCTAGAAATTTTGCCGACCGCGCCGCAGCAGTTTCCTTTATGGAAATGCTCGTTCCACAGAACAAGCAAGAGCTTGAAGCTTCTATGGACTTCCACGTTGGCGCATACAGTCATGACCTCACGTCACTCGCTGTTGGTGACTTACAGCTTGAACAAGTTGAGGGCCTTGCACGCAACTTACCCGAGGAAGATGGCTCGGATGTGGAGAGGAATCCTGTGGAGTCCGAGTCCGAATCCGAATCCGAATCCGAATTGGATGGCTGAGGTCAGCCGATTATCAACCTATTTTCTTGTCTATGAAGTGACTGATCGTGATAAGGTAGAAGTCGTTTTGTAAATACTCACACCACCTACATAACTGAGCATGACTGCCGTGCACGATATCCGGAAGAAGAGTATAGCCTTAGCCGAAAGTTGGAAATGCATGTATCTTGTGACTGTAAAAGCAGTATGGTGAATCACAGAGTGACTGAAAATGATCTGATTGGCTGCATCACGATAAGAGTTATTCATACAGGAATTGGTTTCGTGGAATCTATTAGTGACTGATAGTATCATAGTACTCCTAGCTATACTAGTGTAGGCTACCAGTAGTGACGTGCTTAAGTCCGAAAAAAATTGAACTTGGAGCCTAGTGCTTATTAGTAAATAACCTGGCCATGTCGGGCACCGGGACTCGAACTTTGAGTCGAACTTCATGCGCATTCAAGCTGGCACAGCACGAGTTATATGGCTCGTTTTTCTTTTACTCTTTGTTAATTTGATGATATCCTGCAGTGCCCCAGGCTGTCCATGGGAAAAAACAACCGATAGTAGTCGAGGACTCAACAGGCATCGTGCATCATGCAAATTTTACCAGCGGTCCAGCGTTCTAGCTAGCGAGAAAAGAAAAGAGAGGGCTAGAGACGCGGTAGCTGCTAGACTAACTCTGACACAATCTGCGACCGTTCAATCAGGCTCAACTAACTCTTTGGTGAGTCTAGTAGTTGAAGTTCTACATACACTCGAAGTTCGGAAGCACAAACATGTCTGACCAGTCGTGATCTTTAGAAAGTATTGCTGGTTTGCCGGCCCCATGCACTGGCAGAGCATGACTGCTCAAAGCCCATTATTCCCTGCAAATTATCAAGCAGGGACCGCTGGACGAGCCAAGCTAGCTTGTCTGCCGGCATAGCAGGTTTTGAAACTAATCATGAAGGCTTCGACAACAGGGCACCGTTCGAGGCTGATGCTATGGGTGCGTCTTCAGCAAAGAGTCACCTGGCAGTCGACTGATACCTGAGTTACTGTTTTGCGCTTCACTTATCAGAAGAACCTTCACACACTTCGATGGGACGGATACCGAAACATTTTGAGGATCTTCCTCTGTCTGATGAGGATACCAACAACTTTGATATAGCTGGTGTTTTGCCCACTCAAAATCCACGCCCGCCTCAATCTAGAATACGCAGAGTTCTATTAACATTACGAGACACACTTCAGACTACTTTCAACTCTTTTGGACTTTCCCGACAGTACCCTCGTCGCCCATCCTTTGAGCCAGATGAATTTGTGCTCTCCTCATTACTTTCAACCACGTGTCCGACAACCATGCAAGACACCCATTCAGATATCCTCCCGCCTCCATATCCATTTCCTAACATGACGGTCTATAGACTCATGTCTTGGATGAATTCTGGTAGTAGCCGGAAATCCGAGACTGAAGTTGCCCGTCTCGTGAAGGAAGTGATCCTGGCAGACGATTTTGACGTAAAGCATCTGGAGGATTTCTCGGTAAGGAGGAGTTTACGGGAATTGGACAGCGACCCCGGCAGGAAAATAGAGTGTCCGGACGATTGGACCCAGGCCAGTGTCACTATCGAGATTCCGACGAAATCGAAGGAGGAGGATGCGAGACCATTTTCTGTTCCCGGATTCCATTTTCGTCCCCTCGTCGAAGTAATTTGGTCAGCTTTCGTGGATATCCAAGCAAACACATTTCACCTTTCGCCATTCAAGCGTTTGTGGAAGGATCCATTGGACGACCATGAAGAGCGCATCTTCGATGAATTATATACATCTGACTCGTGGCTAGATGCCCAAGATGAGGTGCAGAAGCTCCCAAGGGAGCCCGGATGCACACTGGAACGGGTAGTTGCTTCTCTCATGTTTTTTTCGGATGCCACACATCTTGCGAACTTCGGAACGGCAAAGGCCTGGCCCCTGTACATGTACTTCGGAAACCTCACCAAGTACGCACGTTCTGCACCAAAATCTGGCGCATGTCACCTTGTTGGGTTTTTACCGTCGGTGGGTCGCTATATTTGTACATTTTAAATGCTATTTCATGTTGCGTATCAGCTGCCCGATAAGGTCAAAGACATCTTGAACGACTTGCCTCGAATATCGAAAAGCGGTATGGCTGCCCTTCACACGCACTGTCGACGCGAGTTATTCCACGCATGCTGGGATATCTTGCTAGATAAAGAATTTCTTCACGCATACCGCCATGGCATTATATTAAGATGTGCTGATGGTCTGTTACGCAGGATATACCCTCGTATATTCACATACTCAGCCGATTATCCTGAAAAGTGCGTTTAGTCGTTAAAAACCAAGAGGACTACTCAAAGATTTTCAGGGCTTTAATTGCCACCATTAAGGACATGGGCTCATGCCCATGTCCCCGTTGTCTCATTCCAAAAAGTATGTTTTCTTCTCTAGGCCTTGTTAAGGACATGAAGGACCATATAAATCATCTTCGAGTCTACGTCGAAACCAACATTGTCAGGGCCTGAGGATTCATTTATATGTGGGGAAATACTGTTGACGGTGCGAAAGTTGAAGAGACGCTTGGAGAAGGTTCCTGGGTACCTGTATTAGTAAGTATGAACTGTCTGCCGCTCTGTTGTACTGGCTCAGAAAAGTAACTTGTAGAACAAATTCGTCGGGAGGCTGGGTGCACTGGGCCTTGACGCATTTCAGATGCTCGTTGTAGACTTTATGCACGAATGCGAGCTCGGTACTTGGAAGGCACTATTTACTCACCTCATCAGGATTCTTTATGCACTTCCCGGGGGGAATCAGCTGGTTTCAACTCTAGACTCAAGGTAAGTGGAGTTTACATACTGCTTGTGCCGTATAACAAGGAGCAAATTCTATCCCACCATAGATTTCGTCAAGTTCCGACTTTCGGTAATGGGGTAATCCGAACATTTGCGAATAATACATCTGAGATGAAGAGACTTGCGGCACGAGACTTTGAAGACATATTACAGGTTGTTTCTCCCTTTACTTACTACTCTCTGCCTAGCTGACGGCAGCATGTCTAGTGTGCGATACCTGTGTTTGAGGGGTTGTTTCCACCTTGTCATGATGCGACCGTGCAGTCCCTTCTATATAGATTTGCTCAGTGGCACGCACTTGCCAAGCTAAGACTCCATTCACAGTCAACGCTGAGTCTCTTTGAGAACACATTCAAAATTCTTTCTAAGCAGTTACGGAAGTTCCGTGACCTCACCTGTGCTGCCTTCGTCACTGTGGAATTACCAAAGGAGAAGGCGGCTCGCCAACGACGGTTTGCCCAGCATGCTGGACCTAATAATACTCCTTCAGAACCTACCGGACCAAAGGTGAAAAAGTTCAATTTGAGCACCTACAAATTTCATGCAATGGGTGATTACGTGCGAACCATTAAACTCTTCGGTACGACAGATTCCTATACCACTCAGATTGTAAGCATTTTTTCTCCTCTCTCAACGGCATTTCTGAAATTATCTTATTGGCTAGGGGGAGCTGGCGCATAGAGCCTTGAAAGCATTCTATCCGCTGACCAGCAAGTTAGATACTCCGGCACAGCTAGCGAAACACGAACGCAGGCGCCGTGTACTACGACGAGTCGCGGAAGCAGCAGGTATCTCCTCCTCGAGCAACCAATCACCAGCCGACTCTCCTCGATCATTGTCCAAAGACCATCATTTTATCGCGAGCAGTCGAAATGATCCGGTTTCTTTGTTCCGTTTCCTCGGGGAACACGATGGCGATTCAGCTACCGAGGTGAATATAGGTTTTTAGTCCATTTAACCATCAGTTCGCTTAAGACTGCTAACAGAACTTCATCCCAAAATTGAAAGATCATATTTTGTATAGGCTGAGGAAGCTGGATGTTACTCATTGCGACCACACATTTACAGATGAGGAACGCAACTCGGTTATCATTCCCAACAATACAGTTTACTCGGTACACACAATGCAGGTACACTATACAACTTACGACATGAGGCGTGAATACGATACTATCAACCCCAGGACGCATGCAGATGTTATGGTACTTTCGGGAGAAACCTCACCTAGCCACCCATACTGGTACGCTCGTGTACTGGGCATTTATCACATGGACACGTGGCTCCAAGATGTCGCTGGTCGAACCGAGACACAGCACCTCGAGGTCCTCCATGTCAGGTGGCTTGCACCATTAATATCGTCTGACTATCAGTCAGGCATGCACCACGCTCGCCTTCCCAAAGTAGCATTTGTGGAAGAGTCGGACCGTGACGCGTTCGGATTTCTTGATCCAGGCCAAATCATTCGAGGAGCCCATTTAATTCCTGCATTCGCTTCAGGGCGCGGTGTCAGTTCACTTTGTCACGGAAAATCGCTAGCACGTGCCAAGGAGGAGTTAGATGATTGGGAAGCATATTACGTTGGCATGTGAGTCCAGCATGTCTCGTAGCTCCAATAATGACTCAAGTCATCTGTTGGAGTTAGTTTCGTCGATCGCGATATGTTCCTGCGATATACTCACTTGGGGGTAGGACACCCAGTAACCCTGCGGAGGATGGTCAAACACTGTTTTGGCTTAGATTCAACCCCAGCGGAAGCTATGGACGTTGATGAAGGCGGAATTACTGACGAGGGCCAAAAAGAAAAAGAAGATGACCACGAACAGCAGATGGATGATGATCTTAGTGAGGGGTCAGAAGATGAATATGATGAGGAAGAGGAAGACGACAAAGCATCTGACGATGAGTGTAATGATGACGGGGAGGAGGTCGAGAATGACCTCTCCTTTTGATGTAAATTATGGTTCACGTGTCATTGTCATGACTGACTTGAGGTTGACTTAAGGTTGACTCAACTGGTGCACCATCTGCAAGTCACTCGAAACGATTCAAAATTCAGAAGGCCTATTTATCATGCTAGCCACTAGTCCGATAATGATGAGAGAGAACCTGACGTGCAGTCGACGATAGTCGACATGCAACGTCAAGTTCACGTCCAAGACTAATAATGCATATGTTCAAATAGAGAGAACTCGGACGTGCAGACGACGATAGCCGGCATACAACGTCAAGTTCGTGTCCAGGGCCAATCATTTAATGCACATGTAGAGGAAACCCGACGTGCAGTCGACGATAGTCGACATGCAACGTCAAGTTCACGTCTCCAAGGCTAATAATGCATATGTTCAAATAGAGAGAACTCGGACGTGCAGCCAACGATAGCCGGCATACAACGTCAAGTTCATGTCCAGGGCTAATCATTTAATGCACATGTATAGGAAACCCGACGTGCAGTCGACAATAGTCGACATGCAACGTCAAGTTCATGTCCAAGGCTGATGATGCACATGTTGTTACAATAACATGTAACCAAGAACCCCTCCTACGGAGGTCATCATGACCTTAGCCCCTATCCCACCATATGCACCGTCTTGGAAGACTTACCGACTCAACGGAGACTCGTAGAGACGCTTAGAACGGCCTGGATGCCGTTAGATGACCTAGACCAGCCTAGGCAACATCTGGACGGACCTAGATGGTCCTCGACCCGGATCATGGGGAAGCTCTGCCTCATGGTCAGAAGACAAGCCGCATGCCGCAGCATGCGCAGTTAGACTCAAAGGCATGCTACGCCTTGAGGACAGATAAGAGAGGCATGGTAAGCCTCACGTATAGATAATCGACCACATGGCATCAGATAAGATGCCCTTGTATAGACACACTCATACCTACCTACCGAACGTAGTATTGGTCTGTGCACACGGACGACAGTATATAGAGCAGACAGAATCATGTATATTCCCTACTTGATTCTACTAGGTTTTCATCAGAACTTCCTCTGTGTGATCATCCCAATCACTCAGTCTAAGCCGCACCTTAAGGAAAGCCGACGCTACCTTAAGTGGAACCCCCGAACCTCTCATTCGAGAGAAGATCCCCGTCTCTCCAGTAGCGAGCCCGCTATCAGATTAGGCAATCCGCCTAGGGAGAGCTCGAACTATCCTAGTCCGTAACACATGTTCAAATAGAGAGAACCCAACGTGCAGCCGATGATAGTCGGCATGCAACATCAAGTCCGTGTCCAGGGCCAATTATTTAATGCACATGTAGAGGAAACCCGACGTGCAGTCGACAATAGTCGACATGCAACGTCAAGTCTAAGTCTAGAGTGAATATTACATAATGGCCCATGGTGACGGTCAGGCGAGAAAAGTCCAGTTGTTTGTTGCTGTTGATTATTTTTAGGCTGCGCCAACAAACAAACTTGAACAAATAAAGATCATTGACGCCCATCCCCACTGGATGGACAACGCCTCCAAACAAAGTGTGTCATTATGTAAGCATGGTACTACAGAACACAATGGCAAATATCGACACGAGACCCTCATGGCGTTTCCTTGACTGATAATAACACGCACAAATACAAGCAATGTGATATTTTGTACCTATCTCCCTGCAAGCTTTTTGTGTCCCGCTTTCGTTTTCAAGTGCTGCTATGCGATCTTTCTGCTGGACAGTTGGCATTCCCTTTACTAGTACACCCACTATGGATTCACGGGCGGAGTTTCAATTTGGCTGGACGTTGCCCATCCCCACTTACAGAACATAGTAAGCGCATCGATATCCGCAGTCGAATTGGGGCACCACTGACCAATTAAATTGTTGATCCCTGTTGACAGTTCGTGAGTGTGTTCATCTGCCGTTGAGCACGAGCTTTGCTCACCGACGAGATTACTGATCCGTTGACAGCTCGTGAGTCTCTTGAACCTCATCCTCATTGGAGCTCTAGCTTTGCTCACCAATGGCATTGCTCATCCATTTCCAGAAAGTCAGTGTGCTGATCCTCCATCGAGTTCGAGGTTCGCTTACTATTGAAATCGCGCATCCTTCAATAGAGAGTGAGTCTAGAGCCTTGCTAGTGAACGTCATCACTGATCCACCAGTAGGGCGAGCTTCGTGACGATAATCGTTTAGAGATACGGTCTAGGTTACTCTCTGCGGTATGTCTAATTGGTTACAAATTGTGCACACATTTCTCATGTTGCGACTCTGTCAGGCCTCCGACTAGTGATGGCCAGGTCCGGTTCTGAACCGCGGTTCGAACCTGAACCGTTTCGAACCTGACCGAAGTCCGGTTCAAGGTTCGGGCAATAGGGAGGACCGAACCGTTGGTCCGGTCCGCGGTTCAGGGACTTGCAGAATTGCAGAACCGGTTCTGAACAGGTTCGAACCTGTTTGAACCGATGGCAAGTCAGTATGTAGTTTTATCTTTGCGGTTCTGAGGAGTGGGAATGGCCTTGTGCAGAGGACTGAGAACAAAGAGGTCAAGAAAATGAAATTGAAGTGATAGCGATGACACACGTAAGCTGGTGAGACTCCATTGAAAAAACCATGGGGTACCTGGCGAGCAGGTGGACGTCGTTGGACCGGAGGTCATGTAGCATTAGCCTAGTGTATGTATGTTGAGCCCAACAAGATCTTTGAATGAAGGTGTTACATACAAGGGCCAAGATCTTGAACAAGTTGTATGTTTTGATGAGTACTATACTATTGCCCCCTGCCGCTAGTGACGCCGAGCAGTATTTGGATTTGTTGATTGCAGCACTCTGTGACAACACAGATGATGAGGATGGTGAACTGGTCTAGTAGCATTTAGTATTACATGATGCATCTGTTGTTGGGCATGTTTCAATATAATTTTTCTTGACGAAATTTTTATTAGTTTGGATGGTCTGGTTCTCAGTTTGAACCCTCACTGAACCAGAACCGGACCATTTTCGGACCGAACTGATGGTCTGGTCCACGGTTCTGCTTACTAGGAGAACCGAACCGATGGTCCAGTCCACAGTTCTCCTAATTTCCTGGAGAACCGGACCGAACCGGACTTTTCCATCACTACCTCCGACTCATTACTCTTGGAGAATATCGTTCAGCTCATTTCTGGTGAATTTTGAGGCTAAGTTGCGATGAACCTGTTTATTATCGACCCTTTAGCTGTTGTCATTATCCTCGAACACTCATTCTACATTCTCGACAAGTAGGGAACTGCACGGGTACGGGTAACCCGCACGGGTCACGGGTACGGGTACCGCTGGGGTACGGGTACGGGTCTGAGATCATGATACCCCTACCCCTACCTGTACCCGCGCTGTGGGTATCAGTCAAGGTTTGCACTCTTTGTTTGACGCTTTGGCGCATATGCTTATGTTATATTGTTTGCTCTTGTTAGATTCTAAAGGATGCCACGACACTCAACCGGTACTATCAGACCATCTTCTTCAACACAACACCTATTGTCAAGTCCCACAGCTGAAGTCTATTGTCATGTGAGTTGTCCTTGATCATTCTTGCTTGTCTTTACTCCCTGCTCGTTTTCTCAGACCTCCACTGCACCCTCTCATACATTGCGCGCATCCTCTCATATCCCGCGCACCCTCTTGTACATCCGGCACACCCTCTTGCACCTCTCAGACCTCCACCCTCTCATACATCGCACGCACCCTCTCGTACATCCTGCGCACCCCTCTCATGGCTCCAATCCACCCTCTCGTACATCCAGTGCACGCTCTCATGAGTCCGTCGATCCTCATTCAAGCAAAAGCCATGCTGATCCGAGTCGTTGCCCACTGTTCACAGTTGGTCAGTCCGTCAATCCTCGTTCAGGCAAGAGCCATGCTGATCCGAGTCGTTGCCCACCGTTTGCAGACTGTGAGTCCGTCGATCCTCATTCGAGCAAGAGCCATGCTGATCCATGTCGTCGCCCACCGTTTGCAGTTTGCGATGTTCCCAATGCGACGGACACCATGCGCGAATGCCCAGCGCGCGCCAGCAAATTTGCCCGTGCCTCCACTCCTCCTTCTTGTGCCATCCACATATGTTCGAGTCACGTCAGCATTCACTGACGTGTGCTGGACATATGTGCTAAGCACTGGCGGTGATACCTATGGTACCCACGGGTAAACCCTGCACGGGTGCGGGTACGGGTCTGAGCTTGTTGTACCCGCCGAAAACCCGTACCCGTCAGAGCGGGTACAGGTTTTTGCCGGGTGCGGGTGCGGGTATGGCCTCCAATACCCGGGGGTTTACCCATGCAGTTCCCTATCGACAAGCGGCGCAATGATGATGAGTCCAATCCCTCATTTCGTGTCACTCTCGAGCAGTACATAGCATCTCCGCATGCAGCTACTGTCAGGAATGATGTGAGTGCTGCCGTCCAGGCATATGAGGAAGTTGTGGCTACTACCACCCACGCATGTGAAGAAGCTGTGAGGACTGCTGTCTATCTATATCAAGGAGATCTGCCTGCTTGATTATTTATGCCAAGTGAAGCTTCCAAGTCGCGACATGTTCATTCCGTTATGCAGTTGTGTCTTACTTGTACTATAGCTGTCTACAGTAGTTTGTGCAGTATATCTTAGAATTCATCAATTTGGTTTTCAAAGGAGAGAACTGTCCTTCCTCGCTACCTCTACGTGTGGCTCGTCTCATGTCATTTCTCTCTCGCTCTCGTATATATTGAGATATAACGACTATAATCTAATTCTGTTAGGCCAGCTTGAGGAGACTAGTACACGAGTACTAATGATCCTTTACTAGCTGTGATCGTGCCGTGTCATGAATTTTGTATGAACATCCTCATCGTAGTATACATTTTTTTGCATCCATGGCTGTGTACCAATTTGTTGCAGCCCTAAATAGCTTGGCATTTTAAAGCATTTATTACGCAAAATGGGACTACTCAAAGAAAATGAGACTACTCAACAAGTTAGATATAATTAAGCTGATAGCACAATATCTCAATCTCGCTGCAAACTCTCATACCTATCTAGACTTGATGGCCGTTGCTGATGCCACTTTCTATTGAGTTCTAAGGCGAGCGGACGAGTCACGACGAAGCTAGAACGACAAAGTATATCTCAGTCTCTTGAAAACGGACTCTAACATTGTATGTACCTAGAACGACAAAGTATCTAGGTCTTGTTAGTTTTGTAAACGTTAGGTAGAACTATGTACTCACATCTCAGTCTCTTGAAAACGGACTGAGATGTTCCTACGAAATACGAATCACTTTATGTGCGGACGAAATAGGAATGAAATTTTAGCAATATATTGAAACGTGCGAGCCGACGTCAGGCGTCGCTCATTTTGCTCGTTTGGGATGCGCTCGTACTATGCTCCTTCCTGATCGTCCCGTTCTCGGATTCTTCGGACACATCGGATTGTTCTGCGTCCAATACTCCCCCTCGAGCGCATTCCAGGCTCATCAAGAGTCGAAGCTTCTGAAGGCGTGGGCGCGGGAGGGCTTTGGTAAAGCCATCCGCGACATTGTCATCCGTAGGGCAATACGTGAGCTGGAAGGTGTTGTCGCGGACAAGGGCACGAATGAAGTGATAGCGAATGGAGATGTGTTTCGTACGTGATTGGAACTTGCCGTTCGAGGCAAGCGCGATGGCTGACTGATTGTCGCAGTAAACGGGAGTGGGGAGGGGCGACTCATCGTATAACTCCTCAGTGAGGTACCGAAGGTACAGTAGCTCCCGCGCAACAGTGGCTAACACTATATATTCTGCCTCCGCGGTTGATAGCGCGATTAGGGCCTGTTTTCGTGAGCTCCAGGCAACGGGGCCTCCGTTGAGTAACACAATGTAACCTGACATTGAGTGCCGATGAGGCTGGGAAGCCCAGTCCGCGTCTACAAATGCCTCAAGGCCTCCATCTGTGGAGCCAAGGGTAAGTTCGTAGTCGGCAGTGCCTTTTAGGTAACGCATCACGCGCTTTGCCGCTTCCCAGTGTGGTCTGCCAGGGTTACGCATGAACTGAGAGAGGGTAGCAACAGCAAAAGCTATGTCTGGTCGTGTACTGGTGGCAGCGTACATGAGGGAACCGATCGCACGCTGGTAAGGCACGTCACGCATGGCGTCTAGCTCAGCGTGAGTCGAAGGACATTGTTCTGGGGACAGGAGGCTGCTGGCATCCATAGGCGTTTGCGCAGTCTTTGCGTCGGATAGGTTGAAGCGCTCTAGGACAGTATTAATGTAAGCCTTTTGGGATAGAGTGATGGTCCGTGCGACACGGTCGCGCGTGACCTTTAACCCTAAGAGCCAGTTGAGCTCGCCAAGGTCGGATATTTCGAAGAATTGTTGGAGGTGGATTTTGAATTGTTGGATGTGGGAGACGTGGTTCGAGGTGACTGCCATGTCATCCATGGAAACCGTGATGACGGTATGTTCCTGCGCGTCGTGCTTAAAATAAACGGCCTGGTCAACCTTCGAACGCGTGAACCCAATCTTAGAGAATACACCAGCAAGTTCCTCAGCCCACTCAAAACCCGCTTGCTTCAATCCTGTCAAGCTCCTCTTGAGCTTCAACACCTTTTGCTTCTCTCCCTCTCCCAGGTACCCTGGCGGCGCTCGCATATAGATGTCCTCTTGGACGTTTGCGTAGAGGTAAGCGCTCTTGATGTCCACCTGGTGGATTTCCCAGTCGTGCTGCGCGGCCATCGCTAAGACGGTCCTGATGGTGGCCATGTTGCAGGTGGGCGCAAACGTGTCGAAGTAGTCGAGTCCATATTGCTGCCGTTGACCATTTGCAACGAGGCGCGCCCGGAGTTTAAGCTTTTTGCCGTTCGGTCCGCGCTTGGTGGCCAGAACGTAATGACATGGTATGACGTTTACGTCACGTGGTAAGTCGGTAACTTCCCAAGTCCCAAGTTTCTCCAACTGACTGATTTCATAATCGATCGCTTCTTGCCATTCAGCGCCATCTGGACCGTTGAGCGCCTGCTGCAACGAGGGTTCTGGCTGCACTGCAGCGAGGGCATACTGGTAAGTGACGTACTCTTCATCCGTCGCTGCTAACTCTCCACCTACTTCAGCCGCTAGGGCAGCCTTCTCCCCCTCATTAAGGGCGGAGTAATAGCCAGGTGGAGGGCGTACTCTGGTGACTCGTGGGGCTGCCGGAGGCTCTGGTAGAGGTTTGTGGGTTCTTGGTGGCGTGTTTGGTGGTTGCAGGGGTGTGGTTGTTGGTGTTGCCTGGCCGGATACGTTGGTGGGTTTGCACTCCCCCTCGGCCGGTACGTCACTTGCGACTACCACGCTAGCTGGCATGAAGGTAACATTTCTCTCAACTGATACCTTCCGTTTTGACTGCCAATAGATGCGACAGGCCTTACTCTGGTCATCGACACCCACAAACATTGCCTCCTCGGCTCTCGCCTCCAGCTTACCGGCGTCCAGGACATGGACAAAGACCCTACTGCCAAACTCATGCGCATCCGCAAGGTTCGGTTTCCTCTTCCCCACCAGCTCATATGGTGTAGTGCCCGGTACCGCCCTCGAAGGTGAGCGGTTCTTCAGCCACGTGGCGTAATTGATCGCCTCAGCCCACAGATACTTCGGCAAGTCCTTTGCGAGCAACATGGCGCGGGCATGTTCGACGAGGGTACGATTTAGGCATTCGGCTACGCCATTCTGCTGTGGCGAATCGTGGACGGTGAGTTGACGCTCTATTCCCTGGTCCTTTAAATGCTCATCGAAGGCTGCACTCAGATACTCGCCTCCTCTATCGGATCTCAGCGTGGCTATGCGAGCGCCAGGGTGCTGACGCGTGAGGTTCGCCTCATAGTGCTTGAAAGCGCCAAGTGCTTCGCTCTTGTGCTTGAGAAAGTGGACCTTTGTCTCGCGGGAGAAGTCATCCGTAAAGGTGACGTAGTAGTTGCAGCCCCCCAGACTCGTGGTCTGCGCAGGTCCCCACAAATCAGAGTGTATCAACTCTCCATAGGCAAGTGCTCTCCCCTTCGTTTCTTTGGGAAACGGCTGACACGTTGCCTTGGCCTTCGTGCAGGCCTCGCAGAACTCTACTGCTGATGACGTATCCACCTCTAAACCTTCAACAAGGCCTTCCTCTATCATGTGTTTAACCGCCGATTGTGAGATGTGGCCCAGCACCCGATGTGCTTCGCATAAGGTAAGTCTGGCATTCACCACATTTGCCCGTTCCTGCCGGTGGCTGATGACACTATAAAGGCCGCTTATTTGGGGGATCTCCGCAATAATGTTTCGTTTTGGGCCAGGTGAGAGTATCTTGCACATTTTGCCTTCAAAATGTATGGCTAACCCTGCGGCAGTTATGCGATTCGTGGATATGAGGGTGAAAGCCATCTTTGGCGCATAGAGGGCACTCTTGAGCGTGACAGAGGTGCGTTTGTCTCCCAAAGGTAGGTCGATTTTGACATCTCCACGACCTATGGCACTAATGGCTGACCCATCAGCGGTATGGATATCCTGAGGCGGGATAGAGACGAAGTTGCTGAACTTAGTGCGGTCAGGACAGAAATGCGACGTAGCGCCAGAGTCCATGATGGCCCCACGGCGATTACTAGGTACGTTCAAACCTTCTGCAACGCCTGCCAAGTCTGACGTTACAAATGCGTAGTCATCTTGGCTGCTAGACTGCTTGGCTGCATTCGCGCCTTCTCTTGGAGCGCGTCCACCTCTTCGCTGCGTCTGTTTGGGACCTTGCCCCTCTTTTCCTCCTCCCGCACGCCAACAGTCCTGTTTGTAATGGCCTTTACGGTCACAATTGAAACAGACAATGTCTCCCGTGGTCGCGTTGGAGTTATTCGAGGCCTTCTGTCTGTTATTGGGAGCTCTAGTGGCAGATAGGGCTGAGTTTGCGCCCTTTTTACTCGGACGACGCTCTGTGAGCATTCTATGCTCGTATTCCTCGCTAATCACACTTATTAGTTCGTAGGGGGTGATTGGTTTTTGGGTGACTTTGGAGGCCGCATTTATGGAGGACAAGAGGGGTCGATATGACTCCGGAAGGGAGCCTAATATGATGGCGTAAAAGTCACGGTCCTCGACGTCGGCTCCCATGCCCGCTAGGGACTCGCGTAGGCGCAGGAGTTCACTGAGGTGAGCCTTAGCATCCGTGCTCTCGTCGCATCTAAGATCCTGCAGACGTCGACGAAGGTCGATCTGGACCAGCTCGGTCTTGCCTTCATGAATATCGCGGATCTCCTCCCAGATCTGTGCAGCGCCCTCGAGCTTCTGCACTCGCAGTAACAGCCGATCCGTGATCGTGCTGAAAATCTGCTGCTTCACGAGTGAGTCCTTTTGAAAATACTCATCGATCTTCTCGTCCAGCTCATCCATCTCCTTTTGCGTAGGTATCGAGCCATCAGGCTTCGAGACCACGCGTGTCTTCGCATCGACTTTGAACGGGACAGGTTTTATTGCACGGCCGTCAACGTAACGCATCAAACCTTGGGCACCAATTGCAGTGAGCATCCGCTCCTTATAGGTAATCCAGTTACTGCCGTCTTCGGCTAGTTTGGGGACGTTAAACAATGCGGAATTGGTACTGGGGAGCGTGGAGTCCATGGTCGTGTCAGGGCTCATAACCTATTGAGTTCTAAGGCGAGCGGACGAGTCACGACGAAGCTAGAACGACAAAGTATATCTCAGTCTCTTGAAAACGGACTCTAACATTGTATGTACCTAGAACGACAAAGTATCTAGGTCTTGTTAGTTTTGTAAACGTTAGGTAGAACTATGTACTCACATCTCAGTCTCTTGAAAACGGACTGAGATGTTCCTACGAAATACGAATCACTTTATGTGCGGACGAAATAGGAATGAAATTTTAGCAATATATTGAAACGTGCGAGCCGACGTCAGGCGTCGCTCATTTTGCTCGTTTGGGATGCGCTCGTACTATGCTCCTTCCTGATCGTCCCGTTCTCGGATTCTTCGGACACATCGGATTGTTCTGCGTCCAATACTTTCCACGATAAAGCCTTCAATAGCCTTGTAGGTCAAGACATTAATAACAGAAAACGAGAATACCCAACAAAATTAATGCAAAAGTCTTTCTATCACTTCCTGGGCATGATGGCGCAAAATCGTGATCTCGTCGTGGACTCTTTAATGTAGTCTACATTTGCAGGCATACATGGTCATGTACCAACAACTCGGTTTTTTTGCTGTATAAATTGTTATGTGTAGCACGCACAAAATTAGATTATTCTATAGTTCACACGGCTACAATATCGAGGACTCATGGATTCACTGATGCCATACTCAAGTTTATGTCACATTGAAGATTCTCCAAATCCTCAGAACGAAGACTCGAGGGCAAAAAAGACTTTACACTTTCAATACCATTCCGCCCCTCAAAATTGCCATGCAACACAGAATCGGAGGAAGGGCATAGAGGTTCCTTCTCCCATGGCTCTTGTCGACTTGATGGGAGTGAGTCGTGTCGGACTGGGGAGGAGAAGTTATCCATGGTTTCTCAGGAAAGGAAAGACCGTCAGGTCATGTATCCGATTGTAGCTTCTGGGAGCGGACATCCAGACAACTATATGTTCTAGATCAAAGCGATTTAGTATGCGCGCAACATTGCTTGGCCCTAGCTGAGTACTGAGTAGCTATTGTGCATATCTAGATTCTAGTCTAGCTTTCTAGAATCTAGACACTGCCATGTTACGAAAGAGATCATTCGAAGAGATATTTATAGCTCTGTGGCGTTGACGGTGTGCTGACACAGCCTGAGGTTCTCGGTCGAAGGTTTTGAACTAGTCTCTGCTATTCGAGTTCCAGAAAACACTACTGTAACACTACTAAGCACGTACTGGGACCCTCGGGGCGAAACGGATAGGTACGAAGCGAGGGAGAAACATGGGTAACACGCAAGTCGGCCGAAAGCCTCTGTGAAGGTACTCGTCGTGGTCAGAAATAAGTCATAACGGCGGCTAACAGAAAAGAGTAAGGCACGATTCAGAGGTCACGAGGACCCCGTTATAGATGATCATTCCGTCATGGTCGTGCCAGCACTCAGGCTTGTGATCAATCTGGAAGCCTTAACCTCGCCATTTTTCTCCCACTTAGTAACTCCTAGTACTGGTACTGAATCCTGATAGACGCCTTCAACAAGTTCAACTACCTGAGTTCACGATGAACGAAGATGTATTCAATTCCCGAAGGAGATATTCCACTGGGCCACAACCTCCGATTCTGCTAGTGGAAGCCGCTGTCAGTGATGCAACTGCAGTTGGTGAAAGCTCGGTAAGGAGCTCATTTTTGAAACTGAAACTTAATGCGGGCCTGTTGACTGACGAGGTACTACGTTCCAGCTGACACCCCGTAGTAACACTCGCCGGTTGCTACAGAAGGTCAAGCAAGGTGTAACTAGAAGACTTTCTGTAAGTCGACGAGGAGCCGAATTGTACTAGAATCAATCAGGCGCTGAGATAGTACAAAAGTTCTTCAGACTTTCCCGCAGCTACGACTCTGCCCAAGACGTCAAACCTGAAGGTGCATCATTATCTCCGCATATCGAGGTAGGTGTTTGAACTCGCACTTCAATTTTTGTACTGGCTCTGATTTATCGTGGTTGCTCAACTTCAGGATGCGCATTCTGGTGTGGAAGAAGATGTTGGTTCCCAACCAATAGTCGCGCAGGTTCAACATACCACCTTCGGTGTCGACGAAGGCGCTGGTCTCCAATCGGTAGTCGCGCATATTCACAATATCACCGAAGAAGGATCTGGTCTCCAATCCGTGGGCACGGAACGTCGAGCTGCATATGAGACTACAGATCACACGAATACACTTGAAAGGACTCATACAGAGATTGAATCGCCCGGCTTAGACCGATTTATGAGCCAGCGCCACGATATCTCTACCGCCACATCTTACTCGGCACAGAATACAAAAACTATTTCCTGTGATCCACTTTCCTATCCGCATTGTCTTGACGAGATGGATAAAGATGGTCGTTCAGCATCACAAGCACTCTCATTGAAAGATGATCACATAGTTCGGAGAGACAAGCCCCTCGTACCCAAGGATGCGAATGATGATGATGATGATGTGTATCTATCTGCAAAATCCGGTGATGGAGAAGGCTTTGTAAGTTTACTTTTCTCGTGATCTTCATGATGTGGGCTGAAATCTTCACATTCTTTATCAGACGGACGCAGAAGATTCCCTTCCGGAAAATGATGCTCGTGACCTTGTCCAGTCAATTAAATCGATGTACCGGGTTTTGGACTTGGTCAGTGAACGAGGTAGTGGTGGGCTAGGTGATTCCATTTTCCTTTTCGAGCCTTTCTTCGCTGATTGCTCCTAGTGGACAAAATTATTATTGCGCAGGATTCACTCCGGACATTTATCAATGCCATTTGTCCCGGTGCATATGTGTCTATGACGAATGTCGACTTTAGTGCGCTGGATGGCTTGATCGTGAAGCCCATTGGCATCTATGGGAGCAAAGAGGAAATAGTGCGACTCTTGTCGTCTCTTGGTGCTGTCGATGACCACGTGTGAGTTACTGCTTCCAGCTGCAAATCGACGTCCTCATAAACCTTTCTTGTAGAGCAGCCCAGCTTGTCACGAACCACAGCGAGTCCAGTGTTTCCAAACCAAGCCTTCGGTCTGGACTTTACATTGTTCGAACAAATTATGAAGCTACCTCCGATGAACAAGTGTTCGTCATCTACTGGCCCGAGGATGCCACTTGGGACGACTCAGCTCCTTCATCCGTGAAACGCACCCGTGTCACTTTCATGCGGTGTGTCTAATCCTCTGTGATTTTCAGTTAACATTTTTTGACACAGGATATTAGATACCTTACCACAATATGTGATCAAGTCATGGCACTCATCTCCCCTGAGCATGCACGTTCCGTTGTATGGAGTGGACAGGAAGGCGAAGACACCATGGAAATGGATGAAAACCAAGACGAGTACGACAGAATGTTCACATTCGAAGTTATGAAAACCAACGAGCAAGAAGAAGCCATAAAACCGCGTCCTGGTTTCAAGGTTTGCCCAATCTGTTGTAACTGTTCAGTGCTGACAGCCGCACGTAGGCTACGTCCAGTCACATAACCACGCCCCAGGCTCACCCGGAGATGACAGTGGATGTTGGACTGCATATGCCCTGCTTATTGCACGGCGAGACTACTCAAGGGTTCATGACCAGCAGTTATCTACCTGCCAGGAAGATCGCTGAAAAGTGGACGCGCAAGTCCATTACCCGCCTCCAGTTAAGCAATTGGCTGTGGGTGTCACTCTTCGTAGCCAGTTCCTGTATTTAAAACTAATGCCTCCTCAGGTGCAATGACAGTTTGCGGATAAATGAGAATTTGGATGTCAACGCACTTCATCTTTTACTGGATGCAGGCCTTCGAGATCGCTTTCCGCAACTGTGCAATCAGTGGCAGCAGGAGTCAGCCGATATTTTGTCGAATGTCTGGGCTTCCAACACATTGACAGAGGCCAGAACCAGGAGGAAGTTGGAGGATGACTCGCCCCTTCTTACTCCCATTTTCCATTGGGCATTGGTTGACGCCATTATTCAGAAATTTCCGTGAGCATCCCTCCACATCACTCTCTTGCATCTCTAACTCGATCATTTTAGTACTTTCACCCATGATTCCTTCCCTTACTCTGCTAAAAACGAGCAGGACTGCCCTGCAACTCAAGGTATATCGTCTATGCAATCAATTCGTTTGATAATAAACACTCTGTTCAGAACCCGAACACGCTACCGAGTCGCGCTTGGAACAGCCTCAATCATTTCTGATTCATTCACTTAGTAGCTCTTCCCCTCACTCCATGATGAGCGTACAGCATAGCTCCAAGGTTCAAGGTATTCATCTGTCTACGTGATGAAGTTGCATCATAGTGACGGATTGTCTAGATGAACTTTCAACTATCATTGAGCTATATCCAGAAATAGGGGAAGAGCTTCGTCACACAGTGCAAAAGCTGTGTATCGAGAAAATTGACAGTCGCGATTTCAAGAGCTACAAGCAACGAATTTATGTCGCTCAAAGCCTACTTCGTCAATTTCCAGACATCAAGATGGAAGACGAAGATTTCTTGAATTTCATTCTCGACGAGGATATACGACATGTCAGGGAATCTGTCAGGATGATGGGACGAAGTGCTTCTCCGCATCAGCAGCCAAAGGGATTGATCAACACTGCCTTGAATGGCTTCAATTCCTTCATCTCGTCTGGACAAGACTCCCAGTTCGTCGATAAGACATTCAACGAAGCAGAGGCTGCTGCATCTGCAATCAGTGACACTCAATTCCTCGCTGAGTTGGATGACACCGAGAAGTTACCTGTCCTGAAGAAAGTCGTCGCAGGTACCAGGGCTGCTGCGTTGGCGCACTTCAGATCACTTCTAATGATGCAAACAACAACTTTGACTCATTTGACGCTGCACATACAAATCAATAAGTGTGTTGCCCAGTTTCGTAGGGAAGCGGTCAGCAGTGAAGAAAAACAACAGGCCGATTCACGAAAGAGGTTGATCGTTTCCTTCAATGCCCATTCGCAGATAGATTTTCATTCGTAAGTAATTTTACAGCGTTTCTACTTCACCACATTTATAAATTGGCAGGCACACCTCTCTTATTGATGCCATCGAGAATGGACGAGGCTTATGGTCTCTAGCACCGTCTTCGGTGCAAATAACTGGTTCAAGGGAAAATTTCGAGCAGCCAAAGCTGAAATTTACAGTTCATCTCATGCAATTGACAGCGCAGGATTTGCATTCCTTGCAGTTAGATTCCAGCGTGGTTCCTTCACCCAAGTTCACGAATTCGTTCTCATTCAAGCTACCCTTGGGTCATTCAGTGGTGTATGTGCTCTAGACAATTCGACACCGATATGTAACTGATGCAGAACTCCGTTGATCGCAGGAGAGCGCAACTACTTCCAGGCGAGAAGATCTTGCTTGCAACGACTGATGGGTTTGGAAGCTTGACGATGTACCTGGAACATCTCACTGCTATTGAGGGCGCCTTGGTTCATGGTGGCCGCGGGAAAAAGCTACATAGCAATAAGATTGGCGAATTTGTTCTGGCTTTCGATGAGTCGAAGCATGTGCTCAGCGTTGTTGCCACAGAGAAAGTTCGTTCTACTAGGAATCTGCTGGGATATGCCTAACGAATCTACCATCAGCTCTTGTTACACATCTTCGTTCACGACGATAGCCGTGTCGTTTTCCAGGCCAACGGCAGTGCAATCAATTTGACGCAATGGTATCCTGAAGGGACTTCTATCAAACATGCATGTTTCATACACGGCGGGGAAGAATTGCTGCTCGTTGATACATTGGCACAGGCCAGAGTTTACTCCTTGACGACCATGCAGTTCAGGTGAGACTTTGCGCTTACAAGAGTGAAAGACATCTAATTCGTATATCACAGGCCCGCAACGCTCAATCTCATCCAGATTCCAACGGCAATCTACTCGACTCCGGATGGTTCTTGCTTACTCACGTCTCATGTCCACGGGACTGACTTGATACTAACTGCCTACCACTGGAGCACATTTGGCTCAACGGATGGCATCCCACTTGAGATCCCCAATCTTCCATTGGACCAACCACTACTTCTGACGTCGTTGATTAACCGGAATGTCGTGCATTTGGTCACACTTGACATTAACACACGATCATGTCGATCTATTGCTCTTGACATCACCCGGAAAGTGACAGAGTTCACCTTCAAAGAAAGGAGTACCCGAGGAGAGAATGCAAAATCTGGAAATATCGCTGCCCATAGCTGCCTCATTGATTGTCACGCCGAAGTATGGACACGCTTCCCGGTTCTTACTGCCATCCAGCGGGAAACAATCACTTCTTCAAGTAAGAGGTGTCAGCGAACGTTGGTGTTCGTTACAGAACAAGACTATGATAGATTCATACCGCACTTCCATGATCTTATTTCAACCTTCGAAAGGACGTCAAAGAAGCCTACTGGAAATCTTCTCAAGAGCATTGATGTCTCTTCAACGACACACTCTGCTTTTCGTAATAGTCACCTTGGTGGTGCGGAGTGGAGCGTGTCGAAATTTCGCGCTGGAGAGTGGCTGGCAGAGTTCCTCTGCCTCATTCCTATCCAGATTGCCCTGACAATGGAGAATCGTTTCATCCCGCTAAAGGACGGGGTGTATTCTACTCAGCTGGAGAAATCCCTTCTCGGTGCGGAAGTCAACCGTATTGTCGATCACCTGTCCTTTGGTTGGTATGAATCTTTGTTCCAGTCGTACATGGCCAAAAAGGTGCGGATGTTATGAATGCCCTACGATTTGTTAAACCTATTAACTTCTAATATAACTTCAAGCCTGTCAAAGTCGTGTCATCTATGGGTGAACAATCAGTGGGGAAAAGCTTTTCCTTGAACCATCTTGTGGATACATCTTTTGCTGGATCAGCGATGCGCACAACAGAGGGAGTATGGATGTCAGTGACTCCGACCAAAGATGCTCTTGTGGTTGCTTTGGATTTTGAAGGCATGTCGAGATAGTCATAATTGCGATATAACGTGTTGACATTCTCACCCAATAGGTGTCCATAGTATTGAACGTTCAGCTCAAGAAGATACCTTGCTTGTCCTTTTCAATACTGCAATCTCTAATTTGGTTTGACACCACTTTTATGTTGTAAATGGGAGCTTGACCTCGTTTCATAGGTGCTATTCCGGAATAACTTCGCCTTAAGCCGCGATATCACAGGACTATTTCAGTCATTCCAGTCCAGTGCGACTGTTCTAGACCCAGCAGCCAACCCGAATTTGTTTCAATCAACATTAGTGATCATCATCAAGGTAATTTTCCCCCTCTGACGGTCCCTTTTCGTATCACTGAACTTGGAAACTTTAGGACGTCGTAGATTCAGACACATCCGATATAGCTAAAGAGTTTGTTTATGATCGTGCCCCGATGAGCGCATACTGAAGTTCACACTTAGGTTCGCTCTTAAGTTTCACAAGATTGTCCAGGATGAACAAGAGGCCAACTTCATTTCTCGCCTCCACGCTGGGCAGTTGAATATAATTCCATGGTATGCGCAGTGTTTCTGTGTGTATTTTTACGGACAACTTTATCGTTCTATAGGCCGGTGATTGAGTCGCAAGAATTCTACAAGCTGTTTCCAGCCCTTAAGCGTCAATTGGACAAACAGAAACTTACTCATAATACAGCGGGAGAGTTCCTTCATGTGATGAAGACCTTGATGGCAAAACTGAAGGTACATTTCAGTCATTCGTGAGGGCATTGATTCAAACATTCGCAGGCAAATGATTGGGGCGCTCTCTCACGTGGGTATTCTTAGATTCAGAAATAATCAAACAGTCCAGTTGACGCATGATGCATCACAGAATCGATGGCCTCACATCGAGCACAACTTCTTTCAGTAATGTTACCCAACGCTCTAGCGTTTGGACTGCAAGAGGTTGATCCTTGCCCGGAACCTTTGAAGGTATAAAACACTTCTACTGTCTTTGGTTTGAATAGCGATTAACCTGACACTTATACAGAACCTGGATGATGGTGTTCCAATTGACATGCCTGATACTGCGTCGGAATTCTCATTAGTGGAGGGGCAGCAGTCCTCTCATGAGGCCGCTCTGCACGTCCTGTCTCGTGCTTGGCAAGATTATGATTCTCGCCAGCACATGGCAGACGTTGTTTGGGTTGGAAATTTGACTGCTCATATCGACAATCTGATCGATTTGCGCATCGCTCACGTTCGCGAGTGGATATCATTGAATGTTGCTCGCTTTCCAAGCGGGCAAGCAAGCATTGGCGACCTCATGAGAACGTTTGGCGGTGCAACAATAGACTTGAAGAGCAACTTGCAGTTGTGCAAGCTGAAATGTGCAAGCTGCGAGCTGCTCTGCATTCAAAGTAGATTGCACGATGGACAGCATAATTGCCAGACATCTCATGCTTGCATACATTCTTGCGATTTCTGTGCGTTATTCGGAGAGACCAAGGCTTGTACGATGTCGTAAGTCATTATCTGTACTTTCTTAGTCAATGATTGATAAATTTTCAGAGCGGGACATCCAGGCAATCACATGAAAGTTTTTCTCGTGACTATATCCGTACACGACCTTACATTAGATCACCCTTTCCAGGTGTCTTGTGAATGCGCATCTCTGCGGTCAAACTTGCAAACTTTTTGGGAGACAGGGATGTCTAAATGAATGTACAAAGGCGAGATATATAATCTTCATGGTAAGAAAGCCACTGAACCCGTTATCTAGGTGATCGCGCATGCAGAAGACGATCATCTGTGTGCTGCTACTGTCCATGCTTGCGGTCAGGTATGTTTGATCCTTGAACAGGCCATTTTTAAGTACTAGAATATGTCTAGCCTTGTGAGCTGTCAAAGTTTAGGTTGGCTGACGGATCAACTCCAACTTGCCGCGGTATATGTGGCACTCCAATGTAGGTCACCAGCGATGAACACTTACTCTATATTTAACATGTTTTGTACCGCAGTGACGTGGACCATGACCAACATCAGTGTGATGCTCGACTTTGCTCTTTCCCCTGCCAACTTTGTAAGAGACTCTGTGCGAGTGCAGACCATCTTCACGGCTTGCAAGACGGTGCTATTCATCTCTGCGGGTTTGTCGATGATCATTCATATCATGTGTCTTTGTAATCACATGTCAATAGGGAGGAACACCCATGTCCCAAGCTGTGCACTGCCGACGGCATTTGCGAAATAGAGACTGCGCCACAATCAATCGAGGCGACGTTCACTGGAAAGCACGAGACATTCCAGTACACGAAGGTGGCGTGGTGTGTTTGTCTTGGGTATATTCTCAGCTAACAGAATACCCTGCTTCGCAGTATTCACAAGGTTTGTATGCGAGTTGCTTACCTTCCATGCTGGCATTCACCATTCTCTGAATAGTGGCAAAACGACTGAAATGTTCCAAACCGATACCCCCGGGCCTAGCAGCCCATGAGGGTAAGCATAATCATAGTTTGGACGAAAAAGTGGTGCATTTTTGCAGAGCAAGGTTCGGATCTTCGTTTCACCCCGTGACCATTCCTCACTTTTTCTCGTATTTGAAGGTGTGAGCACTGTGGCTACTATTGTACATTACCGCTCGGTGGGTACTGTTTGATGTATCTCAGCAGTGACATTTAACAAACCATTACGACAGGTCACCCCCAACAAGAACATGAAACCAGACACGGATCCATGTCTTCGTCACAATGGGCAATCGATGGCCCAGATGGTACAAGTCTCGAGGTTGAAGGCCGTCGCTTCTCCTCAAACGATGAGGGTGCACCGATGATGTGCAACATTGTCTGCCAGACATTGGGCAGACACGTACACATTGACTACTGTCGATCGCAGGATGTTACCTCGTGCAGATTGGACCCTGAAGTTCTGCATATATCCAAGAGAGTGTCACCAACCCCGGACCGTCCTAAAGACTTTTTGACACACAATCTCTTCTGGCGACGGAGTGGTGAGTCGGCATGTTATCATCATGTTGGCTGATCTCATGTCCACAGGCTTCAAAGATCCATACTCCCGGGAAGAACAAGCAAACTTTGCAAAGTGGTGAGTTTTACAGTGTCTTGTCCGTGGCACTGACCACATTCCCTATTCAGTGACGCCATGTGCAGTGGTAAGGTTATCTTATTTACTGATCTTAGTTGGTTACTGATCTTGATACCCAGGTCCTGAACACACAACTGCAGAGGGAAATGCCGCTCAGCCCTCTTTTTGTACTTTGCCTCTCTTTCACGTTCCGATGGATCCAAACACCCCCCTAGAGAGCCTCGGATACATCTCCAATGATGGGCATCATTTCTCTTGCAGGAATCCCGTGGTGATGCAGCAAGCGTTTCACGTGTAAGTCATTTTTCTTTTGTTCTATAGCAATGTCGTTAATCTATGCACGCCAGAATCTTTGTGGCAGATAGGTATTGCATGTCATGTGTTGAATATTACAACGCATGTTGATTATAATGATAGATCTCGCTCCATGTGTCGGAGAGATCGGCAACCTCTCAGGAATACACCCACCTCGGACAAAATTATTCGAAGCTCTAACAATAGGTTTGGCGCTGTTCTGTCGTCCTTGTACAGCTTCTGGTCTGCCCGAGCTGCAGCAGTCGCTGGTTCACAAGCAGCTAGACGAGACTCCTACAGTGTCATCCTGTTTGATCAGTCTGTCGTGGACGCCGTGGTCAACGATTTCTCCAGCTCGCCTGACAACTTGCTAGACGCTGTGTTACGTTATCAAACTTCAGCAGGCACAAACTTCACTGCTGCCATTCAACGTGTCCAGTCAGTTATGGAGCAACACTGGAGCACAGAGAGGTAAGTCTCCATTACTGATCGATCTGCGAAGCGTTTACGTGGGATTATACTACAGAACCCCTGTAATAATATTCCTGTCCGATGGCGAGAGCCCTATCGAGGACCAAATCATTCAAGATTTGTGCCGCTCTGCAATCCGTCTTGGGTTTGTGGTTGTCATCGCATTCTTGGTTCATTGATTTTCAGACTTTGAATGTAGAAAACCATTATCCTTCCACTCTGTTTCTTTTGGCCAAGATAAACATTCTTCGTCATTGAGAAGAATGTCCCAGATCGCTCTAGAAGCCCAGAACAACGCCCCGCGAGACCCCTTGGCTCCCGTGGCGGCCACTGTTTTATCCACATACTCAGAAGCTTTAGATACGGTGAGCAATTTCATCTAATGTCAGGTGTAAAGCCTGCTTGACATTTTTTCTTGTGCAATTAGGTTCAACTTGCTGAAACATTCCTCGGAATTGCTCATTCACTCACAAAGCCAAGAGGGTTTCTCATTAGCAACAAGGACACGTAAAATGGGGGAAGGGATACAGAAATGACATGTACACGTTGCGTTCTGATATCTTGGCTAGATGCTTCAGTGCTCAGCAATACTGCTAGCAATTGTAAAGTTGTATTACTACTATAAATATTAGCAGCATTCAATACTGAGTAAGTACGTAAAAACATTCGAGATTCAAGGAGACAATCCGATTTGCCCAACACTGCACACCTCCGCCACGGCTATGCATGCTGAGGCATCAATCAAGCAGCCGCTTGCTGCCTGCCATAACCCCGATAGCCCCACTGTCTCGGGAATATAATCATGTGCTTGGGAGGAAGAGAGGAGACGTTGGACCTTGGCTGATCGTGTCTCTCGGGCATCGATATCCGAGAAAATGTGATAGCAGTCCTGGAATTTCGATGAGTTTTGACGAAGGTATTATGTAGAAGGGGAAATGGCTTACCACGTTTCAAGCTCGACCGTGATTCCGAGTGAGGTCGAAGGAGGTGAACAGTCTTCCAATACATTAACATGTGCTAGTAAAAAAAGCCGATCAGTCATGACGTGTTCTCCATAGTGTACTCATCGAGGTATTTGTTCTGATATTGACTGGTCATCGACTATTGAGCATGATGCCACCTGAGATCCGAGTCAATATGACGCTTAGTAGGCACGAAGAACGAGGCAGGCGACTCTGCCATGAGGTCCAAAAACTTGCAGAATATTGTTCTCGTCCGTCAGTAGAAAAAAGGTGTACACTGTTATGCATGCAACATCCTGGCTCGCATCTCCTTCATCAATAGCTCGCCATGGATTCGTTCATCAGTCCTCAGTACTCGGTCCTCGGCTCACGGAGCAATGTTTAGAGTCTGTCGACCATAAGACCCTGTCATCCATGTAGGTACTCGTTCGACCTCAGAAAGTGTACTTGCAACAAAAATCAAGAACATAAACATACAGTCTTTGCCTGAGATGTGGAAATATCATCGCGCATCCAATCCAAAACAGCTGGCCATGTGAATGGAATAGCCTAGATAGCAAAACTGAATAAGAAAAAGACAACTAGTACCACCGTGGAACTGCTGAGCGGACGTTTAATTTTACGTCATCGTGCAACTCCCCATCCTGGAAAGACGTTCAAATGTGAAATGGAATTCGTTGACTATTCTAATTACCTATCGAGACGGTGCCTGTGCACTGAGTGAACGATGTCCAGCCAAGTCTTTGATCTGTTTCATGTACCCTCCTCGTGATCATAGTGAATTGAAGGACTAGAACATTGCTGCTGCTGCCGGCAAGGTTCGAACATTCCATATTCTACGGTCATCATTCCCGGGTTCATGTACAAAAATTACTATGCTGGACTAGAACAATTTGCAACTGATGATCATGATTGTGTGACGCTCAGGCGGGCACTGCGTGATAAATATATACCAATGCCATGCAAACTATAACCGCGACTCGGATGTGCTGTGCCAATCTGCACTTGATTTGTTCGTGTTTACTCCGTTTCTCTTCTTGGCACCTTCTTGATTGCAGTGATGTGACATAGTACATATAGTCTCTCACTTCAGCATTATTCCAAAGCTTCGCTGAGACTCTAAACTATTCTAGCGAACTAGATTCTGTCCCATCATTAATAAATCCACGGGTCGTACTATGAAAACATAAATTTTCTCTGACCTAGCAGTATATCGGGTCCGGGAGTCGGACATCTCCGCGGCGGCAATGCCATGGCAAGGGCCTGGCCAAGTTTAGCATCATGATTGGCCTGGCAGTGGCCACGGCTGGCAGGTAAACTCGGCATGGCTGGTGCATTCGGGTGGGCACAGTTCGATTCTCAAAAGAGTCTGAGTCTAAGTAAAGACTCATCATGATCTTCAAGTATCATGTAACTAAATTTAAACCCAGGACTTCGGTTCACAGCCGTTCACTTGAATTCGGGCTATGTCCATCACAACCTGCCAAGTTATCTCGCCTCGGGCCGTATCGGCACTGCATCCTTCACATGGTCGCCTCGGTGTAGAGCGGTCTTCCTTCAACGTTCACCTGCGTGCGGTTTTCTGACCCCGCTGCAGCGAACAGAAGGGAGCACATAGTATACCGCCATACTCGTACTACTCGTTCATGCTGGACCGTCATGATCAATCATCCATACGGCGCTGCGTCGAGTTACATGTACGCCAACGTGGTGAGTTTTCAGGTTATTTTAGCACACTCTTGTCAGTCTTACATTTGGGGAATTCTCTTAGGACAATAGTTACAGCCAATCTTATGTGTCGCCTCCCCCAGATCACCTCTACAGCTTCGTACCGGTAGGCTGTCTCACGGTCTTATTTACCCAATGTTGACATTGCAAATCCGAAGAGGTTTTCAGTCGATTCCATGCCATGGTACGGAGCCACTGAGTACTCACCTACTTCAAATATAAACTATAACCGAGATTCTCTACCATTTCGATGGACAGTTCGGGTATGTCTCCAGAGAACTCTGTACTACACCTGTTCAGAATACTGTCTTCCCCAGGAACGTGCTTGTCAGTTGTTTAAAGGAGTGCAGTCGAAAGTGAGGATTAGATGGCGGCCGCTTCATTTACGATCCCTGTTTTTACGCCCTTGTCACTATGATGTCCGTGATGACCCAGGTGAGTTTTATAATGGATGTATCTGGCTCTATATCTCATTGGAGACAGATATCTATTTCTAGTTATTTAACGATGCTCTCGAACTTCTAGGCTGAACTGTCACTGTATCTGCAATATGTAATTTTATGATGACCTTGGAGCGGTGTCCACCTGTGTGCGTCTCATGTGGTCCCCTCGTGCTAGGGCGCAAACGTGAAACCCATTGCACTGCTGCGCCTTCTCGAGGCCGACTACCTTTTGGAACCTCTCTGCTCCGTCTCTTACAACATGCTGCCGAGTTCCCACTCCACAATATAATACGCTATACATCTCAGGTAAAATTGAACTGTGTTATGACCATCGTGGGATATAGATATTGACCACAAGGTTACCGTCATTTCGTATATCTGCAAAGTATACATGCTAGCCTGATCTGAAATTCTGGCACACTCCGGAATCCAGGTTCCATTCTTCTCCCATGCACTTTTCCCGAATCAGTCTGCTTATGCTTGTTCTTTCGATACTCGATGCAACCCGCCCAGCCTCCCATCTGCTCAAGTTTGAACGTGAACGTTCACACCGTTTGGTGCCTGTAAGTTTTCATTTCTCTTACATATGGGACAAGATCTCTCACGCACAACTGAGCTGTACTACTCAATCTCTGTTATAATCATCATTGGTTCGATACACCTGCGTGCGAGTCCCAATTTCTGCTGCACGCAGCCAACGCTTTACACTTGAACTATCTTTTATTTCAATATAGCTCATTCACATACAATATATCATGCATGCAGATGCTGTTTTTTTGCATGATAAGATGATAATCTACAGCATAATGATTGACACTGCAGAACTTCTGAGCGGAAATTAAACAGGAAGCGTCAAAGATCATGCGCACATTATGCTATCCTGCACACCATAGACCCTCGGAAACACTTCACAGATATCATCGACAGGGTTCCAAGAGCTCTGTTCTGTTCCAAGTCCGAACAGGATACACACCACTCAATAAACATCTTCATCGCGTAGCGAAGTCAGACAGCGACATGCTAGCGATACAACGAAGGAAACGAATTGCCATCATTTCCTCTTCACATGCCCGGCCCATGCCAGACAACGAGACACTCTCAGAGTGGAACTGGGAACGAAAACGCACCACATAGAACACATCCTGAACAAGGTCAAATGCTTTAAACCATTGTTCAAACTCATCGCGAACACCAGGAGATTCGAGTTTGCCAGTTCTTCCCCCTACACTGTCATAGCACGCGGTCATTCGCGATAATATCATTGGGAATCTTCCCATACACTAGGATCACGGGGAAGTAATAGAGCAGTACCTACCGCAAGAAGTGCAATTGCCATCAAGAAGTAGTATATCGACCACGCATCATGCCCTTCCTGCAATGAATAAGAGAAGACCGAAGCTGCAGACGCCGGACCGATGATACTTGTTACTGTGACGGCTGCCAGGACAATTCCATTGGTTGCTCCGAACGAGGCTTGATTGGGAGCAGCTGCTCTGACGAATAAGGACATGCAGGCTATGAGTTCTTCTTAGTTTAGCAGAACGCAGGAATTGATGGATTGACATACGGTAGCACATGACCAGGCTAGTAGTCAGCGCAAGCTGGACAGCAACACACAGCCATACCGCCATACCTACTCCATAGGCTCGAGCCAGAGCATTGATGACTGGAAATAAAATGATGATGGGTATGCCAGAGCTAACGCCGGTGATGTGGATAGCTCCTGCACCGAAGCGATCATGTAAACGAGCGTTGAAAAGTAGCTGAAATATGCCATGTGCGACACCTTGTGCCGCAAGCAAAGCGCCTATGCGAGGAGGGTCAAGGGAAAGACCACCAAGTTCAATCGGTGTCGCATAGAAAACAGGTTGGACCGAAGTAAACGCCATGTAAAGCAGGTTTGTGGTAGCATAACTCGCTGTTATCCTCAACACTTTCGAGGTTAACAAGGCATGTAGCGGAAGCGGCTTTGATTGGGCTTCTCCAGGATCAACATTGCTCGATGGCTGGCGAAGCTTTTGGTATGACTCTCGGAAGAATCTTCCTTTAATTAGCTCCCAAAGCGGTGTCCTGGTAGAAGCGCTCTGACAACCATACTTGGTGTGATCCAGATATAAGTTTTCAGCATCACGCTCACCTCTTTAAGACGAAAATACGTGATTAGCCAAGCTATCGACATAAAAAATGCTGAAATAGAGCATGGCAAGAGATATGGATAAGTTTTCAGGAGTTCTGATCGCCCAAAGATGTCAGGAAATCTGTCTGCTGGTCGGGAGAGCGATCCTCCAATGAGTGGTCTAGTAGATGCCGTGAACCTCAGTGCGAGAGAAAATGTACTGTACGCCTACCCAACTGTGTTTCCGATCATCCATGGAATTGGTATATAACCGTATGCCTCGGGCATATTGGTCACGTCAGTGGTGTCCATCACCAAGGTCTCGAGGACGCCATCGCTCGAATTAAATGCTCCGCAGAAAACACGACTGGTCAAGGATATTAGTATTGGTAGTCACGACTACTTTTTGACTGAACACGCTGACCTGGCCAGCAGACCAAGGAAAGTCTTCGACAGCCCAAACGAAAACATCGAAACAATGATTGCTAATAAAGCTGTCAGTATTACAGGCTTCCGCCCGATGTGGTCGGATAGCCAACTCCAATGGAAAATAGTCAGCATATGTGCTGCGAAGTATGATGATTGCTCGAGAGAATATCAGGGACGAATGAAGGAGTAGGAACAATGAAGACACTTACAAGGATGCCGACATAGTAACCAACCTGGGATTCGTCTCCGTGAGTCACTCCAATGTCTCTAATGAGCTTGACAAAGTTCCAGTTGTGGTCAGATCTAAGTCTAGCAAAGGGAAATTTACTCACTTGGGGAATGAACGGGGCAAGGGTCTGAAAAGAAAGAAAACTTGGCACCTCCAAGAGCAGTATAATCCAAAATCGATCCCAGGGCAGAGGTGTCTTAGTTGTTCGCTGCTCTGGTCGTTGCAGGAGAGGTGTCTCCTCGTCATCCTGCGGCGCAATCATGGTGGTACAAGGGAACGACTCGGATGAAAGAGGTAGCCCATTATATTATGTGAATTTGTTCCAATGAGGTGGTTGCTGACAGGCTTGCCATTGGCTAGTTAATCGATAGGGTGTGTAACAGCAGTCCACAAGAACCTGCTTATTTTGATTCGAGGATCACAACTTGCTGGCCACAAAGCGGCGCCTCTTATTTTACCCGCCGCCGGGTATAGCCGCCTGCCACATGTACATTGTACCCCGCACTGTCGACATTGGCTGGCTAACCTCACGGTACCGTGGTCTGCGCCCACGCGAAGTGAGATGGTCAAGCAGAGCACAAAATAACAAAAAGCCCAAATCAATCATCGCAAGCGAAGACAACGGTGTTACTAGCTCAGGTCAGGCACACTGCCTGCGGCGCTGTTGCGAGGACATCCAGCCTGAGGAATCTCTGACAAAGAAATTCACGTAGTACGGGTAGTACCTCATCACTAACGTTCATATGATGGTACAACGAAGAAAGTTTATACACGGAAACAACATAGTAACAGGGACAAAGGCCTGAAAGCCTCGTCTCAAGGTGCTCTGAATGGCAGTGTGTTCTAGCTCACAATCAATTGCAGAGGAAGAGAGCATTCATGCATCATTCACCCCGCGAGTTCCCTCGTGTGATCAAACATAATAAATCGTAGAATACATTGTGATGTAGCCTCGAGCCTTGCAAACATAAAGGTGAGAATGCTACTGTGTGAAACAACCGCCAGTTAGCAATACTTAGTACTTAAGTATCTTGTTGAATTAGTGTAGAGGCTTTTTCAGAGCGAGCCTCGATCGAGCACTTGAAAGGCTTGGGATGGCTGCGAGTGTGTATGTCCAGAGCACCGTAGTGATATTAAGATACGCAACATACCTGATCAACCCGGATGAGGGGTCAATTTCAGGGGTGATTTCAACGCCATTCTCGACAACCTTGGAAACGCCGAACACTGCAAGTGACATTGCGGCAGTTAACCAGATGGATGCATCAGCGAGATGCAGACCTATACAGTCGAAAGCGATCAACGTTAGAAAACTTGTCAGTGTCCTGTCAGTCGTGCATACCTGGGCAGAGCCTATAGAACAGAACCTTAGCGTTTCATTCAAAATGTAACAGCGACTCAACTCTCACCGTCTACCAAAACCGAAGCACAATGTGCGAGGATCGGTCTCAGGCTCTTTTCCATCCTTGGCCAAAAAGCGCTCAGGATTGAATTCCGAGGGGTTGACGTATGTCTGCGGATCATTGAGCATGAACCTGTCACAATTCAAAGCGTTAATATACCATATGCACAAGGAGAGTACCAACCATATGTTAGGGATTATCACGGAGCCTTTTGGAATGTGATACCCATCGTGGATGTCATCCTCAGTTACGCTGTGATCAACTGACATCGGGCACTGTTGGTCAACTAAAGATTACGATAAACGAGGTACGCATACCAGTAGGTATGACAACATTCCAGCGGAGGACCTCCTTAACAAGCGCCTCGATGTAGGGGAGGGAGGTGCGATCGGCGAAGGAGGGAAGACGATCAGGGCCAACAACAGCATCAATTTCAGCCTGAGCCTTCTTCTGCACATCAGGGAAAAGTGTCATAGCCAGGAAAAATGAGTAGATCGCAGAAACAGTCTGAGAAAACAGGCGTTAGCCCCAGCATATGATGGTTTCAAACGGACAAACCGTGTCGGCACCAGCGCTGAATAGTGATAGAGCAGACCACTTCACAATGTGATCCTCTTCCGCAGTCAAAATACGGTCCTTTAGCAGATCTGAAGAAAAAGACTTGGAGGCAATGCCAGCAACCTGTAAAACTCAATCAATAGTGCGTAGCGGAAAAACTTCAAATCTTAGTCACCATCTGATCTTTGACAAACTTGTAGGGTATAGCAGCCATCTCTTCGACGGTCACTCTGCACTCACGGGCTATGCGTTTGAAGCCAGCACCAGGGAACCACTCTGGGACCTTTGCCACTAGAACATAGTCAGGCTATTGAGAGCGAACGCCGAAATGTCATGGCCTTACAGGATGGCAGGAAGTCAACCATAAATTCACCGATGTAAGCGTGCCGCGAGAATTCGTCTAAAGTACGTTCTGCAATGTCAACGAGAGGATCATTATTCTCCTTGACTTCATAACCATAACAGATGCGCAGAATGATAGCGCCAGTGGTGCTAGAAAGTTTCAAGGTTAAGCCAGTAGTAACACTACAGAATACATACTGTCGAATGTGTGCTTGCAGTTGGTCAGGTTTCGCTAGTACACGCTTCAGGAATCTGCGGGTCTCCATCTCCTCTATGGGCTGGTAGACAACCAAAGCAGCGCGACTACCAAGGGCGCGATGGAAATTCTTGCGGAACGAGCGAAAGTGTTCACCGTAACGGAGATAAGGCAAAGTTTGCCCATAGCCCATAAGTTCGCCACTCATAGGAACAACTGGACGGTCAGAGTATATAGAACTCTTCTTGTCCAGCATTTCCACCGCAGTTTTGGCGGAGTTCAGCACGAAGATGTGCATACCTAGAACACTGGCATGCGAAATATCACCTGCGCGCAATGGCATTAAAATGTATGATTCTGAAAAAATGGGAGACTTTTACCATATTTCTTGCCCCATTCAGCGAAGGTGAGCCAGGGCTTGACAAAAGGTATGTCTCGAATGTTCCCAACTAGAGGCAGGCCCCGAGGACCAGGGGGATATTGTGGGTTCTTCTTGGCGAATATGTAGTCGAGAAACACTCCGACACCAGCAAGACAGACGTACATCAAAATAAGAACGGTGAATGTCGACATGGACGACTGTTAGCAGAAGATGAGCAAGAGATGCCAGGTAGAGTGCCCTAGTTGGACCTTCACTCGGATTAGTACCGGTTTGCGACTGCACTTTGGCTGCATGAGCAATTTGTTATTAACGCAATGGGTCAACAAGATCCTGCTGGCATGAGTATGGAAACGAACGATTAACAACACACATTGTGTTTCTTGATACCGTTCATATTACGGTCATGCGCGATTAACGCAATAGGCTCCAGCTGGCACGTCGCTGGACCACAAACCTTGTTAAACTTATTGCCATCAATATGTTGTATCATGGTGTTACATAGCAAGTTCCCGACTTCCGCTTCCGATCATTTTCTCAAACATCACTGGCATGTACTAAGTATCACCTTGTACAATCGATCGATGGGTAATACGCAACACACTTCAAAACTCATGTACACTAGATATTTTATATTTTATCATGTCACTTTTCAACTGCATCGAGTTTACTGAGTATATTGAAGGTGTGAGAACACGGTGTCCATGGTACTTTGCCGCCCAAGCGGCAGCCTGACACCAGTGGCACTTATAATTAGGCTTTTATGATAAGCATCAATACTTTTCTTTGTGCATTGTCCGAAGTTTGCAAGTGCAGCTAGACTGCGCTTAAGCATTTGTGTATTGAGGATGTGCCAGCACTCAGATGGACTGAGCTTGGCTCATAGCATGTGCTTTTCGGACATTGAACACTCGGCGGGACATACAAATCATTCATAGTCATCTTCTAGTACACGACACTTACAAGAATCATAAAATAGAGGCGTTGTCAATGCAATGATGTTCTACAGACTACAATGCCTCCAGACTTCATCTCAGTTTTCCTCTAAATTGTTCAGTCTCCCTAGGTCTTATGATCTTAGAGTAAGTATTATTGTGGTTGACAACGTTCATATCGGATAGCTACATAGTACATGCATACTTCAGATCTTCAAGCTCAAGCTTCAGCTTCAGACGACATGGCCACATAGTACTTATTTACATAGACTTGTAGACCTGTATGACGTAATAATAATCTGAATTCTGCTCCCGTTGCAAACTATCTGATCTCCGTTCTTTCGTGCCTGTTCGTACTAATGCCCACAACACCCGTCGAAGTCCTGCGCGCCTCAGTCGAGGCTCATAATGACACCTTCGAGGCTTTACTAAACTTGATACCTGCCAAGTACTACCTGCCGAAAGATGATCATGATGCAGACGACAATGTGTGTTATTTAAATTTTCAGTCGTTCATTGATGAATCTGAATCGCGTCGTGCGCATCGGACAGGTTCCGTCCAAGTATCAAAAACACAGCAAAAACAAGAAGGCACCCAAACAAGCTGCGAAGGAGGCATCAAAAAAGGCTCGTAGGGATAAGGTCTGCCACTATCATCACTGCCTGATGTTCTCTTTTGAGTCTGAGTTCTTATTTTCCTAGCTGGACCCAGCCAATCAAAAGTCAGTCATCGACCTTCAGAACGAAGCTGCTCTTGAGCTAGAAAAAAACAACTCGAAAGTCAAGGGGAAGCGGAAAGCTGCGGTACTCGGGTCTGATTCTGATGCCGGCGACGAGGACGACGTTATGCAAGTGGATGATGTAGATCTCGGCGATACTGTCGTGACCGCCCCACTCGATTCTATAGTGCCCATGGCTAAACCAGAGAGTATCGCTGCTCTCCGAGATAAATTACATTTGCGCATGGCAGCTCTCCGACGTGGTGGACAAGGTGGTGGAGAGCCGGGAGATAAAGACGAGCTTTTGGAAGAAAGGAGAAAGCAACGCGCCGCGCTTCGTGAAAAAAGACGAAAAGAGACAAAAGAGAGGCGCAAGGCAGAGGCTGAAGGTAAAAAAGGAAGCAAGAAGGAAGTGACGAAGGGTCTTCTTGTCAAGGTATTTTCGCACCTTGCGAGGTTTGAGCTTGAGTTCATCCCTCTGTGCTCGACAAACAGAATCAGCTACTTGTTCCGGACTTGCCAGTCGCTTCGAAAGGAACTGCAGCATCTCGTCATATCGACGGTCCATTGACTAATGTATCTTTTTCTGTGGTGGCCGGGAGTTCGAGCAAAAAGGCTGCATCACTCAAGACGTCTTCTAATCCTAATCAAGCTCTGTCGCAACTCGCTGCGCGGAAGGAAAAATTGGATTCGATGCCGGAGGACAAACGCAAGGCCATAGAAGATAAGAGTCGTTGGGCAAAAGCGGAGGCGCGTGTTGAAGGTGTCAAGGTCAAGGATGACGAAGGGCGCCTGAAGAAGGCAGTAAAACGGAAAGAAAAGGAGAAAGTGAAGAGCATCAAGTCCTGGTAAGCTGTTGATGATCACTTGGTTTTTTATTGATACTTATATTGTTGCAGGGAGGAGAGGAAAGACCAACTCGCAGCTTCCATGGCTGCAAAACAGAAGAAACGATCAGATAACATCGCGATGCGAAATGAGCGACGAAGCGATAAAAGGAAGTCGTCGTCGTCAAAGGGGAAAACTAAAGCTCGACCTGGTTTTGAGGGCAAGGCTTTCCATAAGGGTAAAGGGAAAGCTACGGGCAAGCAAAAGTAGCGCAGGTACTGTAGCCCTGATGTATGGTTAGGGATAACTTCTATCATCTCATTTCAAGTGGGTCATACTTCAGTCAATACATGAGAGGTGCTGGGATTCGGGGTGAATGGAGATATGATAAGGCCAGCTTAATTTCTACAGCAGTGCAGATTCTATTAATCGGCCGCCTCACGCCTTCAGGTGACATATTGTTTGTCACTATTCTGTACAGACTTGAAAATATTTGGGTGACTACACTGAAAGCCTTGGGCCAATTGTCGGCACTTGGCCAATTCAGTACGAGGAAGGACTCATCCATGGCTCCGCGGCCAATACAGTATTGACTATCAAATTCAAAGGGGTTATGACGTCTTCGAATCAAGACAGTTTATATACCGCTTGCATGCCTACTCTCTAGTCTTCTCCGACTTCTCAACGTTCAACACTCGCACTCAACACTACAAAACTCACAATGTCTTCACCTCTTACCTTCGATCTTTCTAGTACGTCGCCCCAGGTCATCAGTCTAATTCTTCCTAATTCTGCGTGCAGGGAAATGCATCATAGTCACTGGGGGTGACTGCGAAATTGGGCTTGCGTATAGCATCGCTCTCGCTAGGGCTGGTGCCCGAGTAGCAACCATCTACAGGTCAAGCTTAGCTACTTTGATGCTGCCAATTCCTAATTAATGTGTGGTTAGGAGTAACGAGGACGCCACTGAAGTCGCTGAAGATCTTAATGTCAACCAACCTCGCTGAAATGCCGTTTTCATGCAGACCCCTATCCTCCTGCACAGGCTTACAAGTGCGACGTCACCAATGCTAAGCAGACACTTATCGCTTCTTGGACCTGAACCAAGTGGCACCCCGGCTAGGACCCCGAAACTCAAAATTTCAACATCGCGCTCAACAGCGTCAAGGCTGCCAAACGGCGCCTTTGCGCAACCAAACTAACCCATATAGACCGCTCTCTATCTAGATATACATCAATAAACTCCAAAAAACAACTAAAACAAGTATATAACTCAAAAACAGTACTAACATGCCCACAGGAAGGCAAGCCCCCGGAAGCGGAACAGGCCCTCCCAAATCCAATTCCCCGATCCCAAGCAACGGTCCCAATACCCGGAGAACCACCAGAACTAACATATCACTCGAAGAGATCATCGCAACACCCAGCAATGTCATGGACACAGACAGCGCCGAGAAGTTCCTCGCCTCCAAACTGTTATGTCACGAAGGCCAACCATACACGTTGACACACCTTGTCTCCATCCTCTTCCACATCACTCAGATGTCAGCTGTTACCCCGGTACCGGTTACTGCAGCAATTAGGGCCGTTGCCTTCATTCTGAAGAAACAAATTGCTTGCGAAATAGCGGACGCGGCTGCTCAACGTCTCGCTGATACCCTCACCAATTCCTTGTCTGAATCAATAACTTATCGCTTAGTTGACCACGCAATAGCAGCCCTCGCGCCTCAAGTAGCGGAGGTACACACCGCCTCACAAGCCCTAGCCAAAACGGCCCAACAAGCGGAAAATACCTTGATCTCGTCACTCGACAAAGCCGAACGCCTACACCGCATTGCAAGAGACGAGAGAACAGAACAAGAGGGTGGAGTTTCCATAGCTGCGGAACGACTGGAGGAGGCGGCAGATGCTTTATACACTTCGGTCGTCGACTGTCAGAACGCCATCAAAGTCCTCACCCCATCGCTAGACGTCACGCAAGACAGAATCAACCATCTCTCCACGCAAATGTTGTCGACCCCACCACCTACGCAAGTCCATACTCCGCCAACATACAGCACAGTGGCAGCAGCGCACCTCCCACCTAAGGTAGACCAAGCAGTAGGCCGGGCGGCTATCAGAGCCCGCCAAATTTTACTCGACCCTAACCCAGGAAAGCCTCCATTCCCTCCCACCGTCACTAACAAAGAGATAGCCACGCGAATGAAGGAAGCATTAGCTAACATCCGCAACGAGGACACCCCGATGGGAGACATAAAGGCGGTAACAGTACTACGTAACGGAGCCATCATCATAGAATTAGATTCAGAACCCTTAGCCTCCTGGCTATGAGACCCCACAGGACGCACCTTATTTGAAGGACAGTTTGATGCCACAGTATCGTTCCGCTTCCGTACATACGCTTTAGTTCTGGAATACTTACCGATTCAGTTACAGCTAGGAGATGAACAATTCCTCCACCGCATTGAAGACGAAAATCAACTACCTACGGACTCCCTAACATCCATCCGTTGGATCAAACCCCCCATTCGCAGGACACAACAACAGCGTAAGGCATTTGCCCTCCTCCAAGTCGCTGACGCACCTACAGCCAACAACATCCTTCGTGACGGTCTATGCATCGACAACGAGCGTGTAACTGTCCGCAAGGACAAAAAGGAACCAATTCGCTGCGCGAAATGCCAACAATATGGCCACATAGCTCGAAATTGCGCAGGAACAGCCGATATTTGTGGCACTTGCGGCGACCAACACCGCACCACCCAATGCAACGCCTTCACCCACTCCCAGCAACGCACCAGGTCCATCACACTCATCAACGCCAAACTGGACACCAACTCGTGGAAGCAAATTCCATTCCCATCTTCCGACATAGTGGCCATCCAGCTGTCCGGACACTACGGTCGCTGCACGATATTTAATATCTACAACGACGGCACTCACCAGAACACACTAACCACTTTTGATTCCTTTTTAGAAGCTAATATCGAGTCACTTAGAACCAATGAGCACGATCACATGCTCTGGCTTGGGGACTTCAACCGACACCATCCCCTGTGGGAAGATATCCGCAATCGCCACTTATTTAACTATACTGCCGCTAATCCCTTAATAGACCTCATAGCCGACCACAGCATGCTTCAATTCCTCCCGCAGGGCACCCCCACCTTACAGTCCACCAGCACCGGTAACTGGACCCGGCCGGATAACGTTTTTGGAACGGAATCCCTAATTGACGCCATCGTCTCATGCGAAACTGCCCCGGAACTATGAGGACCAAGGACTGACCACGTGCCCATTCTACTAACCTTAGACTTAGAAACTCCTCGCGCCCAAACCGATCCACACCGCAACTGGCGGGAGGTAGACTGGCAGAAGTTCAATGAGCGCCTCAAAGGACTCATATCGACTAACCCAGCTCAACCTTTAGCGTCAGAGGTCGAGTTTCAGAACACCGCTCAACACCTCACCCAATCCATCGTATCTACCATGGAAGCATGCGTACCGTACTCGAAACCTTGCCCACACTCCAAAAGATGGTGGACAAAACGTCTCTCAGACCTCAAAACTCGCATCAAGAACCTCAGCAAAGTATCATATCAAATGCGCGGGATCCCACTTCATCCCAGCCACGAGGAACTCAAGGCTGCCAAGGATCTTTACGCGAACGAAATCACGGCAACGAAGAAGCAGCATTGGTTGGACTGGCTAGAGGATATTGAAGGTAATGATCTTTGGACTGCTAATAAGTACATATCTTCAGAACCCCGGGACGGTGGCAAGACCCGGGTACCCTCGCTAATCACTTCAAGACCGGACGGCACCAACTCCGAAGCGTCCACCAACCAGGAGAAAAGCGAGATACTGGCTAAGTCGTTCTTTCCTCCTCCCCCTGTAGCTGACCCCTGTTGGATTATCAAACCCTCGCTACTATGGACACTCGGTACCGTTTCATTTCTACCTACCTACAAATACCATTTGTTCCCGCGCCTCGTAACTACCCTCAGTTGACTTCGTACGTTGCTGAGGTTAGTACCGTCCTTAGTATCTAGTACCTATGTAACTAACATCAACTGTAGCTATCTGCTACAGGTATACCAATATGACCTAGTTGACTTCGTACGTCGCTGAGCTATCTGCTACAGGTTATGAGCCCTGCGCACCATTAGTGAAAATTTCAAATTAAGCGCACGAAGAAAAGACTCACAGAAGGATGTCAACCTCGAACGGAAAACTCGGAGAAGATTTCCTCCGCATCCCGAAGCTCGCTGCCGATGGCGAGAATTGGATGATGTACAAAGAACAACTTCAATGGTCCGTTGATGCTCGGGGGCTGCTCGGCCATTTGGATGGCACCGAGACGAAGCCCGTGGATCCCCAGACGCTGCCTAACAGAGGACCGTCGTGGGTACCAGCTACTCCGGATGAAGTGAAAGAAGTTAGTACATATAAAACAGAATTCAAGGAATGGCGCACCGGGCAAGCCATAACAAAACAGCAAATCGCGGGAACGATTCCCGATTCGTTATTTATCCAAATCAAAGCATTAGCAACGGCGCACGAAATATTCGCGCACCTTTCGAGCCTCTTCGAGCAACGCTCGCGCGTAGTCTCCGTTGAGCTATTGCGCAAGCTGCAGGACCTAAAATGCCCCGAAAAGGGAAATGTACGTGAGCACTTTGACAAGATGCGCACCGCGAAGGAACAGTTATCGTCGTTGGGCCACGCGCCCTCGGACGAAAGTTTTGCGGCCATGATTATGAGCTCGCTCCCAGCATCCTACGACCCCCATTTGTCTGCGTTAACAGCATCAGCCAAAGTATCAAGCGTAAAGCTTACCTCTGATACGTTGATGTCGACTGTCGTCGACGAATACGACCGCCGGGCCTCGAAATCGAAGAAGACCGGCTCCTCGAATGACGACGCTGCCTACAACGCAAATAGCAATCAGCGCACACGAAAGATCAAAGGAAATTGCCACAATTGTGGCAGATACGGCCATATGCAGCGTGACTGCCGAGGAGCCGGTGGGGGAGCATCCGGAGGAAAGGGAAAGGATAGGCCCGACGCAAAAGGCAAGGACAAGCGTGCCGAAACGGCCGCAAGCGCAAAAGACAAAGACAAAGATGACGAACCTGAAGGGGTATGGTTAATGCACGAAACCGACACATCAAATGAACAAACATCATTCACTTACGCGACGTTGGCCGACTCGAGCAAAAACAACCATACTCAAATCGAATTGTTTGACTCGGGTGCTTTGCGCCATATGTCATCATATCGAGAGCTATTCCACGACTTCGTCAGTATCAGCCCAAAGCCTATCACAACCGCGGATAAACACACCTTTGAAGCAATCGGCAAAGGAAATATAACGATCCTGCTGCCAAATGGGGAGTCAAGCACTCGAATACTCCTCAAAGACGTTCTCTACGCACCTAAGATGGGCCTAACCCTCGTGTCTATAAGCCGCCTTGCCGCAGCTGGCTATGCCGCGCTATTTCGTGAAAACTCTTGCAAGATTTTCAACGAAAAGAAAAAGCTAATGGGGGAGATCGCGGTCAGTAGAGGATTGTACTGCATAAAAGGGTCAAAAGGAAGCTTTGCAGGAGTCGCAGGAGTGAAAGAGACTCTAACCATGCGGGAAGCCCACGCGCGCCTAGGCCACATGGCGCCAAGCACAATTGCACAAATGATCCGCGACAGCGTGATCACCGGAATAAATCTTGATGCGACCGACAAGTCGATAGACAGTTGTGAGTCTTGCGAGTATGCGAAGGCTACTCGAAAACCTATCAGCAAGGTTCGCGACCCTCCGCGTCGAGAGAACTTCGGCGACGAAGTGCACACAGACCTCTGGGGACCTTCCCCAGTGCAAACCCCTGGACATAAAGAGTATTTCACGTCATTTACAGATGACCATACTCAATTCACGCACCTGTATCTCCTTCGAACGAAGGATGAAACGTTCGATGCCTACAAAACGTTCGAGTCCTGGGTGAACACACAGTTCGACGCTAAGGTCAAGAAGCTGCGTTCGGATCGCGGAGGGGAGTTCACTGGAGAAGAGTTCTCACGTCATCTTCGAAGCAAAGGTACTGAGAGAAAACTCACCGTCCACGACACTCCAGAGCACAACGGATTAGCCGAACGTCAGAATCGTACGCTCGTAGAGCGTACACGCGCGCTTCTACACGCAAGCGGACTCCCCAAGTTCTTGTGGGGGGAGGCAATAATGCATATAACCTGGCTCAAAAATAGAACTGCCACCCGGGCGCTGAACGGCATGACGCCGTATGAAGCGTTGTACAAGAAGAAGCCTAACATGGAAAACTTACCGGAATGGGGCTGTCGTGTGAAGGTCCATTCGCCGAACGGATCCAAGCTCAACATGCGAGCAGTCGATGGGAGATGGGTAGGATTCGACCATGCCAGCAACGGTCACCGCATCTACTTACCGGAATCCAGGAGAGTCGCCGTCGAGAGGAGCGTCGTATTCGATACGGCGGAGGTGGAAGTCCCTCTAGAAGGAGGTAACGCACCGGCAGACTGCACGGTACGAATCGATGATGTCGGTTCAACACCTAAACAACCAGTTAGCCGCACGGTACGAATCGATGATATCGGTTCAAAACGTACCAGTCCACCACCAGCTCCAAACGCCAATCCACCTCCTTCTGACCACCTAGGCCCTCAATTCGAGAATGTAGCACCGCCGCGTCGATCTGGCCGAGTGAGAATCGAGTCAGCATATATAAAGAGCCTGCGCGACGGCACAGGCACCACAGATGGCAGCAGTACAGACTTACCTCGCGGGATACAGCCTGTGGGTGAGTCCAGTCATCTAGCTGTTGAGCTAGGAATGGCGGGGGAGTATGGTGAGATAGATGAAGACGACGAGGAGGTATTTGCAATGATGGCAGGTGTGGAAGCTGTGGAAGGAACAGATCCCACGACCGTCAAAGAAGCAAGCGTCCGAACCGACTGGCCTAAATGGGAAGGCGCGATCAACAAGGAACTTGACGCGTTGGAAGACGCACGCACCTGGACTGTCGTCGAGCGCCCAGACAACGTGAACGTTGTCGGCTGCAAGTGGGTGTTTCGGATAAAGCGAAACGCTGATGGAGAAATTGAGAAGTACAAGGCAAGATTAGTAGCGAAAGGGTACTCACAAGTCTACGGCCTCGACTACTATGACACCTATGCGCCAGTGGCGCGCCTTGCTTCCCTTCGCACGATCCTCGCTGTAGCAGCACGACAGGATTGGGACATTGACATTTTCGATTTCCATAGCGCATTCCTAAACGGGAAATTAGACGCTGATGAGGTAATCTACATGGAACTCCCACCTGGCCTCAGCATTGACGACAAGTTCAAACATCCCGTCGCTCGTCTCCACGTCGCACTTTACGGATCGAAACAAGGGGCGTTGAAGTGGTACCAAGAGTTGTGTCGGTTGATGAAGAGCTTAGGGATGACGCGCGCAGAGTCTGACTGGGGAGTTTTCTATCAGCATATCGGCGCGGACATTCTAATCCTTGCGTCACATGTGGATGACTGCACAGTGACTGGTAGTAGCGACAAGCTCGTCGCAGAGTTCAAATGAGACGTAGCCTCGCGCTACAAACTAACGGACCTTGGCCCCATAGCATCCCTTCTCGGCATGAAGGTGACGCGCGACCGAGTCGCGCGCACCATATCATTCTCCCACGAAACCTACATCGAGTCCATCCTGGCCAAGTATAACTTCACGGACCTCAAGCCGTGCTCCATCCCCATGGACCCAAATGCGCCGCTCACCCAGTCTCAGTGTCCCAAAAACCCAACCGAATCTACCCTGATGAAGAACATACCGTACCGCGAAGCCGTTGGCTCGCTCATGCATCTGGCCGTTGGCACACGGCCAGACATCGCGTTCGCAGTGTCAACCGTGGCGCAATATGGCGCGAATCCAGGATTAGTGCATTGGGACGCTGTAAAGAGAATTTACAGGTACCTGGTAGGAACAAAGAAGCTCGTGCTCACCTTTGGTGACGGAAAGCGCGGCCTTGAAGGTTTTGCGGACGCAGATGGTGCCTCTCAAGAGCACAGGCACGCTGTTTCTGGGCATGCGTTTATCCTGGATGGCGGGGCCGTCAGCTGGAGTTCGAAAAAGCAAGAACTAGTCACCCTATCCACGACGGAAGCAGAGTACGTCGCAGCTACGCACGCTGCTAAAGAAGCAATTTGGCTTCGTCGTTTCCTCACCGAAATATTCCGCCCGCTCATGCAACCAACCACGCTCTACTCGGACAACCAATCTGCCATCGCGCTCGCTAATTCTGGCGCATTTCACGCGTGCACGAAACATATCGACATCCATTACCATTTTATCCGTTTTTCCGTCGAAAAAGGTTCTATCTCTTTAGTTTACTGTCCTACAGATAGCATGATCGCGGACACTCTCACCAAAGCCCTTCCTAGTCTCAAAGTTAAACATTTTGCCTCCGCCCTCGGACTGCGCTCAGTTTGAGGGGGAGTGTTGGATTATCAAACCCTCGCTACTATGGACACTCGGTACCGTTTCATTTCTACCTACCTACAAATACCATTTGTTCCCGCGCCTCGTAACTACCCTCAGTTGACTTCGTACGTCGCTGAGGTTAGTACCGTCCTTAGTATCTAGTACCTATGTAACTAACATCAACTGTAGCTATCTGCTACAGGTATACCAATATGACCTAGTTGACTTCGTACGTTGCTGAGCTATCTGCTACAACCCCACCTCCATAGATATTATATACCCGACCCCCGTAGAACGACTCCCCCCCATCACCAAGGACCAAATCAAACGAGCCATCAACAACCTCAGCGGCTACAAAGCCCCGGGGCCGGATGGGATATGTAATATAGTGTTTAAGGAATGCTCCGACACCCTCATACCGTACTTACTCTTTCTTTTCAACGCAGCCTTCTCATATCGCACATACTTTCAACCTTGGAGAGAATTCTCCACCATCGTCCTCCGTAAGCCAGGCAAGCCGAATTACACCATCCCCAAAGCCTATCGCCCGATCGCACTACTCAACACCACGGGCAAGCTACTATCTGCAGTAGTGGCCGACCAGCTCACTCATACCCTGGAACGACATCAACTCCTACCAAACACGCATTTCGGAGGCAGACCGGGCAGATGCACCACGGACTCGCTTCATCTACTCGAGGAAACCATCAAAAACGCCTGGCGCACGCACAAAGTGGCCTCAGTACTTTTTCTAGATATCGAAGGCGCCTTCCCCAACGCAGTTACGAAGCGACTGCTTCATAACATGCGCATGAGGCGCATCCCTACTGAACTAGTACAATTTACAGATCGGCTGCTCACACATCGCCAAATGCAACTCAAATTTGACGGATTCACGTCCGAATGGTTCCCAGTAACTAATGGTATTGGGCAGGGTGATCCCCTCTCTATGATACTGTACATTATCTATAGCTCTGGCCTCGTCGACATCGCAAAGCCCCGCATGGGACACGAAGCGGTAAAAGAGATGACCCTTGCATTCGTGGACAACACGGCCCTCATCGCCGTCGCCGAAGACTTCACCGAGACTCACGCTATCCTCACAGATATGCTCGAACGCACAGGAGGAGGATACGACTGGTCAAGAGCTCATAATTCCCGTTTCGAAACTAACAAATTTGCACTAATGGACTTTTCTATGAACAGACGAAAACACCGCCCGGACATGCACCTACAGGGCTCCATCATCCATCCCTCCCCTACTCACCGCTTTCTAGGGGTCATCCTAGACCAGGAATTATGCTGGAAGGCCCAAGTCGACAACGCTATCGCGAAAGGAACCACATATGTACTACAGCTACGTCGTCTTTCCTCCTCTGCCAAAGGATTACCTCTACGTCTGATGAGACAGCTCTACCTAGCAGTAGCCCTGCCGAAAATAACCTATGCTGCGGACCTCTGGTTCTCCCCCGTGTACTGCGAAGGCTCAGACACCCTGCAAAGGGGCTCTATCGGGATCGCGAAACGTCTCTCCGCCGTCCAACGTCTAGCCACATCAGCCATCACAGGAGCTATGAGAACGACGGCAACAGATGTCATGGAAATTCACGCTAACCTCCTTCCTATCGCACTCCACCTCCAAAACGTTTGCCACCGAGCAGCTCTCCGAATGGCCGCCCTACCCAGCACCCATCCGTTACACACCCCAATCCGCAGAGCCGCCAAACGCTACGTCGGTGCTCACCGTACATCCCTACACCGTCTCACCCATCGATTCAACATCACACCGGACATGATCGAGACCCTCACTCCAGCAAGACGCCCACCATCCACCACAAACCCTTGGACCGTCAGTGTCGCTGACAGCAAGGAGGAGGCTATAACGGAGCACGAGCTTCTCACCGACCAAATCCAGGTATATAGCGACGGTTCGGGATACAAAGAGCAAGTGGGTGCAGCGGCGACACTCTTCAGAGCAGGTAAGACACCCAGGACGCTGCGGTATCATCTAGGTACAAAGGAGGAACACACAGTGTTCGAGGCGGAGGAAATTGGACTAACATTAGCAGCACATCTAATAGCCACAGAACGGGACCTCACCTTCCCCCTCTCCATCTCCGTGGACAACCAAGCTTGTATCTATGCCGGTGAGAGTTTCTATGCGCGCCCTGGTACCTATCTAGCAGACCACTTCCGCAGAATCTTGAAGAATGTCGCGAAGAGACACGAGGACTTTAAAGTGACGTTATGCTGGGTGCCGGGACACTCGGGCGTCCATGGCAATGAAGAAGTGGACAAGCACGCGAAGCTTGCAGCAGAAAGCGTCAGAAACAACAGCCCCAACGCCAAATTACCATGCTACCTCAGACACGCTTTACCACTGAGCATATCAGCGCTCCGGGAAACCCAGCACAAGTCCATCGAAGAACGTTGGCGCCATTCATGGCGCCACTCCCCCCGCTTCCACAAACTCAATCGCATTGACCCTCTAGTCCTCAAACGCTCCTTCACTAAGTTAACCGCAGCATTCCCCAAAAAACTTACTGGACTGTACATGTTCCTCCGCACTGGCCATGCCCCACTCAACGTGCACTTACATCGCATTCGCAAATCGACCACCCCCTTCTGCAGTAACTGCCCAAACGTAGAAGAAAATGTACATCACTATCTACTCGCCTGTCCCAAGTATCAACGAGCACACCACTCACTGTCCAACGCGTTGGGCCGTCACGCTGCATCCCTCTCCTACATCCTAACCGACCCCGCAGCTACCCCCCACTTGATCAGATACGTTAACGCTACCGGCCGCATGAGAGCCATCCTTGGTGAAATCCCGCTTCCCCGCCCACCTGCCCGCTGACACCCCATCTGTAGAAATTGCACATAGCACCTTCGTAACCACGCAAGACTCAACTCCCAAAAACCTTAAAATCCAATTTAATACCACCACACTAATCCAACCTAATCCACTCGCCTACACGGAGTCACCCTCGTTCAAAAATGGCCTAAGTCAGAAGGCAGTTGAAGAACCTCACCCGTCAATCATGTACTTCAACTACCAAACCTCCTGCACCCACAAATGACTCCTGTACCAGCCCGCGCAAGCGGCCGAGTACGCGTTCTTGTTTATTCACTTGACAGACACATACCTCGTACCATTAGATAAACAGTCACCTCATCTTCGACAGGTTGCGTGTCTAAAACGGCCAGCGGGAACGGCGGACCGATGGGAGTATGCTTCACATCGGGGCATTCGTGAACCTAGAGATGTGTCGGGGACACTGGGGGTCCCCTAGACTAGATAGTATTGTCCTCCATAGAGTATAACTCTCAATAGGACAGAAATTGGAATAAAAAATAAAAAATAAAAATAAAAAAGCAGACACTTGAGATGTTTAAGTTCATCTGGAATGAGCTTGACCCTGTCACAGGTCTCATTGCAGTGAGTAGATTCATTGCCGCCATATTATTTCTTGAAACAAGCGGTTTGATCATAGCATGCTGGCGTTTCTGTCGTGAAGCCTGCTCTTGCACTCACCACGGAGGACTTCAACTACGTGTATAATGTCAATGTCCTCGGCGTATTCAACAGCGCCGTGGCTATTGCAAAGTAAGCTCTACCATGTATTTTGTGGAAGGCAGGACCTGACGAATATGGCAGGCTTTGGAAAGGGACAAACCTTGAGAACCTTTCCATTGTGATCTCGTCCCCCATCAGCTCGCGGATCATTGACCAAGCTGCGACAAACGAACCCTTGACGCAGGTCTTTTACAACTCCTCTAAGGCCGCTGTCTCCAGCTTTACCAAGGTGTTGGCTGCTGAGTGGGCTCAGGCTGAACATAACATCAGAGTGAACGAAATTGCTCCTGAATATGGTCAGTATTTTTTTCTATGGCTCGAGCACGACGTACTAAACATATATATTAGTGAAGTCGGACCAAACTGATAATTTACCGGACAAAATCAGACAACAAATGGACGACCATCCCTGGAGAAAATTCGCTACGGTATGTACTGTGTTTCATTTAGAATTTACTGATTCACTTATTTTATGAATCGTCAGATCGCAGACCAGGCACTTTTCCTCTTGTCTGAGGACTCCAATTACATTACTGGCAGGGGGCATCGCATTGACGGGTATGTCTCCCAGTTTCACACAGCTGGTAAATTCGCTTGACGTCTCAAAAGAGTTGTGATCAATGGTGTGACTGGAGCTCAAGAGGGAGTAGTTCATTACAACGGAATGTGTACTCAGTCAATGCATGAGAGGTGCCGGGATTCGGGGTGCATGGAGACATGATAAGGCCAGCTTAATTTCTACAGCAGTGCAGATTCTATTAATCGGCCGCCTCTGACACACTGCACTATTCTGTACAGACGAAAATATTTGGGTGACTACATTGAAAGGGGTTAATTGTCGGACTAACTGTCTCCAGCGTGCCAGTCCAGAAAGGCAATTCCAGATTATAGGGACTCATCCATGGCTCGGGCAATACAGTACTGACTATCAAATTCAAAGAGGGGACCGTTATGACGTCTTCGAACCACGACAGTTTATATACCGCTTGCCTCTATTCTCCTCTCTAGTCTTCTCCGACTTCTCAACAGCCATCTACATTTGCACTTAACGCTTATACACTACAAAACTCACAATGTTTTCAAATCTTGCGTTTTCTGGTACGTCGCCCTGGGTTATCAGTGGCAGTCGGTCTAATTCTTCCTAATTCTACGTGCAGGGGAATGCATCATAGTCACTGGGGGTAATCGCGGAATTGGGCTTGGGTTTAGCCGCGCTCTCGCTAAGGCTGGTGCCCGAGTAGCAATCATCTACAAGTCGAGCTTAGCTACTTTGATGCTGTCAATTGCTAATTAATGTGTGGTTAGGAGTAACAAGGACGCCCCTAAAGTCGCTGAAGATCTTGAGAAGGAATTCGGCGTCAAAGTCAGGGTATGTAAACCAACCTCACTGAAATGCCGTTTTCATGCAGACCCCTATCCTCCTGCACAGGCTTACAAGTGCGATGTCACCAATGCGAAGCAGACAGTTGAGATGTTCGAGTTCATCGACAAAGAGCTTGGCCCCGTCACAGGTCTTATTGCAGTGAGTAGATTCGTTTCCGCCAGATTATTTCTTGAAACGGGCGGTGTTATTACAGAATGCTGGCGTTTCTGTCGTGAAGCCTGCTCTTGAACTCACCACGGAGGACTACTACCACGTGTATGATGTCAATGTCCTCGGCGTGTTCAACAGTGCTGTGGCTGCTGCAACGTAAGCTCCACCATGTGTTTTGTGTTTGTGGAAAGCACGGCCTGACGAATACGGCAGACTTTGGAAAGGCAAACACTTGAAAAACCTTTCGATTGTTATCACGTCCTCCATGAGCTCGCAGATCATTAACCAAGCTGCGACAAACAAACCCTTGACGCAAGTCTTTTACAACTCCTCGAAGGCTGCTGTCTCCAACCTTACCAAGGGGTTGGCTGCTGAGTGGGCTGCATATAACATCAGAGTGAACGCAGTCTCTCCCGGATACGGTCAGTATTTTTCTTTCTATGGCCCGTGCACGACATACTTAAATTATGTATTAGTGGAGACGGATCAAACTCATAATTTGCCCGACAGCGTCATCCAATATGAAGCGGACCACATTCCCTTGAGAAAATTCGGCACAGTATGTACCGTGTTTCGTTTAGAATTCACTGATTCACTTATTTCACAAATTGTAGCCCGATCAGATCGCAGGCCAGGCACTTTTGCTCTTGTCTGAGCACGGCAGCTACATGACTGGCGGGGAGTATTTCGTTGACGGGTATGTCTGCCAGTTTCGCACATCATCAAAAATCTGACGGATTCCTTGCCATATTGCTTTAGCGGCCAGCTTATCTACTAAATTCATATGTCGAGCGCTCGATGGTGGTACTCAGTGGAGCCTCAAAGGGGCTCAAGTGGAGCGCGCACATGGCGTCGACGCCATATTGGAAATCGCTTTGTGCTTATACTATGTAGAAATTCGCTTGTCGTCTCAAAAGAGTCGTGATCAATGGTGTGGCTGGAGCTTAAGAGGGAGTAGTTCATTACAACGGAAGAATGTAATGTGTGTACAATAATTTCAGAGAATTCCAGTGCTGCTGTACAAAATAAGGAAGAATTGCGATGAAAACGACTCAATCCTACATGCCCAATACAACGATGTAAATGTTTGCTGAGACTTTGGATATTATCCAAGAAGTGAGGCCAATCAAGCTGTGTGGAACGATGAGATGGTTGTGGTGCAACTAATCCACAATCTTCAGGGTCAGGCGCCCGCGCCCGTCCGTGTCGAGTTCGATACACTTTCTGTGTGACATGTTCACAGCAGATATGAAGATGAAATAAAGATTACAGACCGTTTCCATCATTGCGCGGTAAGCCATGCCACCTGTGGCGTGGCCTTCCCTTATACTAGTGAGGTTAGGAGAGAAAGGGTCAAACAAGTAAAAGTATCAGTAACAGATCACCTACACGGGCTTGAACACGTTGCCCAATGATGCTGGCGATGGCCATGACGGCTGCGCTTGCCATGAAACCGATAGCGACTGGTACAAGCGAGAGTAGCATGAACCGCGGTTTGCCATGAGTATTCTCAATAATGTAATCGACAATGCCAACGGCAAACAGAATAGATGACCAGAGGGCGAATATGACAGGGCTGGCGACCGCAATCGCAAGAAAAGTTGGGTTGATGTAATTGCAACCTTTCACTAGCTCTGCCATGTCCTCGTCCGAAATAGAGAACGCCTGGATAGGAAAGTACTGAACAATGAAAAGACCGCAGACGCTCAACCCAGCTGCTCCCAGCCAAACAGAGAAAGCGAGAGGGGGAGCGGGTGGTGAAATCGCGAGGATAGCCGCACTCATAGTGGCGAGGAACGCGAGCTGTACAAACATGAATTTTGTATGATGTATTAGTGGAGGTCGACGACTCGTTTGAGCATATACAGCTTACCGTGTTCGACACTCTATTCCACTCTGCTTGCTGTTCCACACGCCAGCGATTGACAGCTTGTAGGCCGTCTACTTCAGCGGCATCGGCAAATTCATGAAATCGGGCAAGATAAGTGTGACCCATTTGGAACAAGAGAACATTATCCAAGATTTGGAGACACAACAGATATAATTTGGAGAGGAGACGAAACATCATCTGGAGGCTGCTGATATAAGGTGGTCAGACTTGAGGCGGAATCAGACTGCTCGAGGGCTCATTTCAGCCATGTTTAGTATATGGAACGTGGAGAAAAGCATAAGCGACTTCCACAGCATGCCACACCATGACCAGCGCTATGTCGTTTGATATTGATCCAGAATATCGCATCGATGATTTGTGCAAAATGGTCTTGGGAAAGTCAGAGTATCAGCAGGCGAGTGGTCGTGGTGAGTCTATAACAAAACTCTGAGTCAGTGACAACTTTACAAATCATCACCACCATAAATATTATCAATTTAGATTTAGATGGGCTCACTCCCGGCACTACATCTACTGTCAAAACCGCCGCCTCGAAATATGGCAAGGCACTAATACACAAACTGGAATTGCTCAAGGACACTCGATTCTCCCACTGGCGTCACGAGTTCATCGTCCTTACTCTGACTTATGCAAATGAAACGCATCTGCTTTACTTGGAACATTCTTGGCATGGCACAGGACTAGGAGAACGAATACCTGTGACTCTTAGCAGTCTTGTTGGCAGTCAGAAAGGCAGCGCAGATGAAGCAATGTTCTATAAACCAAATGACCCCCATGAAAACCATCGGAGGAAATGCACCATGACTGTCCTCGAAATCCAGTTTTCTGATCATAGCCCTGGAGTCACTCTTCATTTTATTGCTCGGATTCTAAGGCAAATTGGGACGAAACATAAAGCCTATGCGTTATTCAGCGCCAACTGTTGGGCTTGGTCTCGAGGCATTGTTATGGCCATTGCCATAGATTCTAGTAGTAACGTCGAGATAGTGACCATGTCAGGGAGGGATGTAACATTGGACCAGCTCAAAATTTACCTGTTGACCGAGTATGGTGCGTTTGGCGGTCTGCTCTTGCATTGCATAGGTGTGTCTCGTACATCTCAACGCACTATCCTGGCTGATAGCCTGAATTCTCAGAGAAAGGGAGGCATGACCTACGTTGGCACGAGTATTGTACTCTGCGATGTGTTTGCTTCCTTTGTGGCTTCATTGGTCTCGGACTTTGGTTCAGACATGTCATTTTCGGTCCTCTCAACTGGGCACTACGCATCAAGGAACTTTGCATTTACAAGGACCGGACAGCCAACACGAATGGTCAAGACCACACATACACTATCCTGCCGCCCGACTTTACAGATTTAATCCCCACATTCCCGGGCATTGCCACACACCTTCTGGGATACAATTTCTGCGGGCCAAGTAAATATCTATATATCCTGGTTCCCCCGATTGCAACCTCTGGAGCAAGAGTCACATCAGTCCATATATTTATCTATGGCGCTGTGGAGTTAGAACCAGGCCAGGAACAGTTGGCCTCTATTACCGAGAGCACTCTCAACAGAATGGAATGGTTTCGATGTGCTATTCTTCGCCAAACGCAGGACGGAAGACTCATCGAGGTCTCTGAACCCGCTTGCTTTCCACTCAGTGTACAGTTTCGGAACGAATCGGGGAGGCGATCGTACGGCGCTGTACATGTCATGGAACATCATCACCCATTGACTCTGGGGTTACGTCAAGGGGACTCGATAGCAATATGGGCCCTCGGAAGAGCTGGCTTTATCCACAAACCAGCAGGCGCATGGATTAAGGTAGGTCACTTCATATGCAAATACTTACTGGCGTGAACGAGAGGACACACATTTAGGTCGTGACAAATCACCGGCTCGGATTTTTGGATTGGCTGGTTGTGACCAACGTGGCGAGAACGATTGCGGGACTTATCATATACCCTCGCGGTCATACTTGGCCAGAGATTGTCGCAAGATTTTGCCATGAACTGAAGCACCTGTTTATCGAGATTCCATGGTGCTTGAACAGTTTGTGAGTCAAGCTTCCTCACAATGTTTCCTCCGATGAATTGTTTCCCTATGAATCTAGTTGTAATGACTGGCCTTGGTCAGCAATCAACATGGCAGCATCACACTTACTTTCCACTGTCACACCGCTCCAGTTACCTGAAGATGACGGTGACGAGCACCCAGTCGAAGTGTCATTGTCCAACTTCATAGAACAACTTCTCTCACCCAACGGCGGAAAAGGCTCACCATTTTGCAGCGCTATAATACGCTCCATCTCTCTTGGACAAGCTGAGATTGATCTCTTCAAGATCATCGTTCTGCTAGTCACCCTCGATGACGTGAAGTATCATGTGCATATACGTCATCCCAAAGATGAGGAGTCTCTCTGGCACCATTTTATCACTTCCCTGTGGAGTTATCATGGGTTCGTGCATGATACAGTAGTGATATATCGACCAGGAAAAATGCAGAAAGCCGCTTGGGACGCCTTGGATGTCGATTTCACAGCCGAGCTGTCTGACAGTGACACTGCAGCATCGCAGGATATTCTCTCGGTCGCCTTGCGTTTACGCGACTTCCGGAACAATTACTGGTGGTATTTCTGGCTCAATGAAAATTGGCAATGGCCTATATCTATCGTGAAGGCGATAATGAAATGCGCTAGCCACGTTGTCCGTGTTCAGCTGCAATGTGACGAAGAGCCGCTGCATATTGACAAGTGGGAGCAAACTGACGACTTGCTGGGAGAGAAGGTGGAAGGGTGGAAACATGCGGAGGGGAAAATATATGGTGAGTGTCCCCAATGCCAATGATATTTTGCTGATCGCAGAGATAGGGAATGGAATGAAGGACGATGTGCATTTTTTGTTTGCGCATGCACGAGCGCGCTTCTTGATAGGGTCGATCATACTGATATCTGTATTTCTTCATGTTTATTATCACTTCTAATCTCGTCAGGTTTTTGCGCCAATGACACGGCTGCCAGTATGATTCCAGATGGAGAGATGGGTTCCTCGAGTCTTCCCGGTCCTTTCTGCTGCTTAGTCAGTAAGTAGTTTTGGCGTTAGCCGCAACAACATTGTCTACTCGCCTCGGGGCTTGGGCTTGGGGTTGCCTGACGGATCACTGGGACTGTGCATACAATCACTGCAGTTAGACTGGTCACGAGCCTAGACTGCAGTGGTCACGAGTCTAGGCTGCAGTCGTACAGCTCCACAGAGCTCCACATATCCCGATTAGGTCGGGAGAGCCTATATATAGATGCATCCGCTTCACCTGGTCAACTTCTTCAGCTATTCTATCAGCCTATTATACAAAGTTGATACAAAGACATGTCAGCCTACCGAAAGCTCGCGCTACGTGCACGCTCCTTATCCTTGATTGATGTGAGTACCTAGTACGACTCAGAGAAAGGCAATTTCACCGAGGTGGTTATGACGTCAGTTTCTGAAGCTCAGAATAAAAGATCTGGGACCTCCTCGCACCTCTCTTTCGTCAACACTACATATATCTCGAATCATAGATACCAAACCTCATGGACGTATGCAACATACCATGGCTTCAAAAGGTTTTACGATCGACTTCTCCAGTGCGTGATTATGCATATGTCACCTTTCGCTTGACATTGTTTGCCTCGCCGTAGACAAATGCATTATCATCACTGGGGGCAACCGCGGGATTGGATACGCTTATAGTCGCGCTGTTGCCCATGCTGGTGCACGAGTGGCTATTATTTACAGGTTAGCTACGAGTCGGGCATTCATCCATTTTTTTCTGGAATAAAATGTGTATTTCAGGAGCTCCAAGGACGCGCATGAAGTAGCTGAGAACCTTGGGAAAGAATTTGGCGTGCAAGTCAAGGTTAGTGGAATGTTGGGCGGTTGACCTATTGCATTAACCCTCCCTGTTTGTGTACGCAGGCTTATCAATGTGATGTATCTGATGCACAAAAGACAACGGAAACGTTTGCTCTTATCGACAAAGATCTCGGTCCGGTTACAGGACTCATAGCAGTAAGTGGAATGTTCTTCGGTCATGTCATTTCTTCGAAACGAGGAACTTGACATCACAGAACGCTGGTGTCTCCGTGGTTAAACCTGCACTCGAGCTGACCAGCAGAGACTTCCATAAAGTGTACGGTGTTAACGTCCTTGGTGTATTCAACAGCACCAAGGCCGCGGCAAAGTGAGTTCCATCATGAGGTAGTATTTTGGAAAGCGTGAGCCAAACGGATATGGCAGGCTGTGGATAGACAAGAAGTATGGCGGTTCGATTGTTATTACATCCTCCATGAGCTCTCGAATCATCAACCAAGTTGCGCCAAATAAGCCATTGACTCAAGTCTTCTACAATTCATCCAAGGGTGCTGTGTCCATCCTCATGAAAGGGTTGGCAGCGGAGTGGGCCACTCATGGGATTAGAGTGAATGCGCTGTCCCCTGGTTATGGTCAGTATCTTGCAATAATTCCGTTAGTCCTAACTTGTTAAACGTTTGATATCAGTGAACACAGATCAAACCTCGGGTATGGAAACTTCCGTCCTCGAGCATCAGGCAAATACCATACCGCTCGGACGCTTCGCCGAGGTATGTATCAAATAATCTTGATCTGGCAGGCGCTCACCACCTCAAAAGCCATATGAGATGACAGGTCAGGCGGTCTTACTCTTGTCCGATCATGCCAGTTACATGACGGGCGGAGAATATTTTGTCGACGGGTACGTGTGGTATGATTATCTGATGCACATAATTAGGTTTTGACGCCTTTTTGAACTATAGTGGTCACCTCATTTGGTAAACTCCGATACCCTCGAGGGTTGTGCATTTGAGTGATAGATTGACGTCGAGAGCAGTGCGTTAGGCTCATATGATATCAGCCCGTTAGTTATTAGCCTAGTTACTTATATCATTCCAAGTGGTTCTACCGTTCAGGCCCAGGGCCTGGCTTCAACATATGCATGAAATTGGTCGATATAAGTGTGACCCATCTAAAACAACATCATTCAAGTATGTGGAAATAGAGAGGACGGATTTTAGAGAGGAGATCATAACCCGAAGAACCGCGGCATGAGGACCTCGGACTGGAGGCGGAATTCGAAGGCACACTGCAGCCAGGCCCATATCTATATCAGTGGAAAATGTCAAAGAGGGAGGATTTTGAATTTGTGTTAGCTTCATGGTACTTATGGAACTGGGTGTCGCTCCAAGTCCATGACTTGCACTACTTTACTCATCCTTGTGGACTCTGGGATATCTTTAGCATGTAGATTGCGGTAGTGGGCGAGTTTAAAGGTGGCCTAAAGAACAAACTCTAGTCTGCAAAATTTCCACGAGGGTGATTGATCATTTTGATCAACTTGCACGAAATATTTAGAATCTGCGTGATTCCGGACCGAATTGCATTTCAATTCAATCAAGCCCTCAGAAGCTTCAGGGACCAAATCAAGTAACACTGTCGAGGAATCTTGATGGTCTTACCGTTGTCTTATGGGTATACTGCATTGGTACATTGTATGGGAAGTCCCTGCAAACCCCTCACCGTCGGAGAATCGAAGATGGTAGGACGTTCATCCATGCTATTCAACAGTGTCTCGCCAAGTCTATGACTACATGTGTGGAGTTATCTATAAACCACACCTCAGCTCAACAGACAGCCATTCCTTTCGCTGAATTCTTGGTCAGATTAATAAGTTGCAAATAAATAAATGGCAAATACACGGTTTCTCCGTTGCTATATCACACAGAAAGAGCCGAGAAAGAGCCCTTTGTATGTGAGCTTGAGATGCCATTCTCGATGTCATCCGGTAAGGCGTCGGCATGAGTATGTACAGTTTGCTGCAGCGAGACCTGAACGCCCCCATACGGAAATGGCGCAGCATAAATCGGCGGCTCGCTATTGGGTAGCCTGGAACCCACACGTGTCATCCACTGAACGTTCCGCGAGGAAGATATTGTGCCATTGGCGCGATGGGAATCACCATGAGATACGCCCAGACCGACGCGGACGATAACGGAAGAGAACTGGAGGGACGATGCACGTGAGAAAGGGAGGAAGAAACAGTCGCGGGGAATCGACATACCACGATGCCCTGTGTCAGACGTAGGGTGAGCAAATTGAGAAGATAAAATACACGAAACTCACGATGATCGGTGATATCTTGATCAATATGCTGTTAGTTAAAGTCTTTTTGAAGAGAATAGCTAGACTTACTGAATTCAAAACGATGAACATGGCTGGGGAGCCAGAAGCACATGTTCCAATCATAACCATGAGTAAGATTGAGTACACAGAACCTATCGGTGCATGAACACATATCAGAGAAGGCATTGCTAGAATTTACCAGATTCAACTATGATTGGCACCAAACGAGAGACCTGGTCCCCACCGCTTTTTGCGAAGGATGTAACTGCTTTTTGGATCTTTGAAATCTTGACTGCAATCAGTACTGAAATGCGAATTCAGTCTAGCCCCGGATGTAGAGTAAAAAACAAACATGTGCAGACCACGTTCATGGCCAGAGTAGTCGAGTAGAATATCTTGACGCGAACAGAGAGAGCATCGGCAAAGACGTTTTCACCCGGAACGACACGGCTCAAAGTGTATACCAAGAGAACACCCATAGCTATATTACGTGTCAGCCGTAGCAGATGGATGGCAGAAGGAAACAAACCAATGTCCGCGATGAATAACAAGAAAGGGAAGGCGGAAATGAGGTAATTCCTACCCCATACAATGAATGAGCGATATAACTGCAGAGATGCTCAGATTTTGATAACGGCAAGTTTAGGATGCGTACAATGAATGCGTCGGACACCAGTGTAACAGCAACATACAGAATAGTCTTTAGAATGTTCTGCCAAGTGTCAAATGTGCCATAATATATGGTTGGATAATTTGGCACTGCCTCGTCTGCAGTGAAAGCCTGTATATTGCGCAGGATGTCAACGACAACGTGCTAGAGAATTATCCATAAGATACGTCGACAGTGTTGAGTTGACGAGACACGCACTGCCGTGATGAAGATGAACAATGAAATTGCAGTCCCGACCAAGTAATCACTTGGTCGCGATTGCCTCTTCCTCAATACAAACATGCATTGATTAAACACCATCAGATATACACCTAGGCAAGGATTAGCATGGGACACATATAGAGATGGGATGACAAAACCGTATGCCAATGACTCCATATAAACGCCAATGAGCTCAGCCTTCGGGGTTGACAACGCCATGATACCTCTGGTTGCCTGCAAGTCGACATGTGGTAAGTGATATTTAGGGATACAAAAGGCATACTTTCGTGTTAGCGTATCTGATCAGTGAGTCTGTCGCACACGCCCCGAATTGTTACCACAATGAATGTTAGTAATCCCTTGTGGAGACACAAAGCAGAAAGGTGAATCCACTCTGTATTAAAGCATTTGATTACGATAAACAATCTTGGGTCCAAAGTGTGAAAAGCATATTCACTTCCGGCAATCCCACGTACAAGCTTGCGAGCAGATACTGCGGTCATGAAACACCCCTTGGGAAACATCCGCCAGATCATGACATTGCTGGCATCATGATGACAGGCACTTGAACGACGTTATTGTGATTATCAGTGATTGCTATCAAGCAGACACGATGGCATCAATTCTGGTACTAGCAAGTAACAAACACTTACACTTGTTGTGGTACTACTGGTACAACCCATATCTCCTTACGATGAAAACATTGTAAAGACTTTAGTCAGCATAAATGATTTCCAAAATTATAGTTCCCACGGCTACATCGCTAGTTCTCCATCTCTTCGGCGCTGCACTTTTATGCTTTTGCATCAATACCAGTCACTCAATGCTAGTGAATTTTCTACTGAAAACTTGAACTTGAACGTTCAACGTTCATCTGATGGGTATATCTCCCGCACGGCACCGTGCTAGTAAGTTGTGCCACAGCAACGGCATGCGGTAATTGACCAAGGTTACAGGTACAACTTCAATGGAACTTCGGAAGATTGCGACAAGACTTGTCACTATGGCATTCGCAATGATCTAGTAGGTGAGTCCTGTGCCATTTCTTATCAGATGTATACACAAATGTAGCATCATGCAACCTAAATCTGTGGATTATCACCGCCGGTCGAACGTATAGAAGATCATCTAATTTCATTTAACACCTGCACCATACAATTGCATTTCCTCTTCAACTTAGCACGGCCTTGGTAGTTCCAAAGCCTCGACCCATCATTGTAGTTCAAGACGGCTGAAAAGTTACTGGGTTATCAAGTTCAGCCGTGCTTTTCTCTGCAATCACGAATGGAGTTTCTGTGGTCGGATAAATCTCTGCATCGCCATTATTAGAAGCCTTTTGGTCTTTGCCAACGAGTTTCTTTCCAATAATCCCAATGTCGAGATTCGGGGGTTATCGTCCACTCGGGCCGTATGTCCCATCTTGCTGTGACGTCCACATGTCCGCTTTTTTCTTAAAGAAAAAAGTCATTGTCCATTTGATGTATGCATTTTACTGGTGGATATCTGCTACCCCACGGGGCTATGTTAACACATTTCGATTGGGTGTGGGCCTGTCGTGTGCAATATGCATGTACTCGGATCGCCAAAGCATATGACTGCTTGAACATGCCACGTCTGCACCATTCGTGGCACATAAGTACTTGATAAATTCGAGAATCCCAAAAGGCTTTTGAGTGGCTACTCAGATTATACACTGTGAAAAGACTTGTCGCTGTCCATGTTTGATTTCAAAGGGGTCTTCGAAGTCGCATCGGGTAAATCCGACATTATGGGATCTTCCTTGACTTGGTACTACGATGTCGATTGCCTTCGAGATTCCAGCCAAGCGTGTATTGTCTAGCACCCAGTTAACTGCATTTCAATCGTCTGCTACTTACAATACCATCACATCGTACATCGAGGTTCTGAATGCTTCCGTGGTGGGTGTGAAGCTTACCGACGCGCACCCGGAATCTCTAGTGCGTTTCCTCCTCGAATTTCATCCTTACATCTAATCCATTGTTCTTGCGTAAGCTCAGGGGATAAATGCCATCCTCCGCTTGTTAGATCGAATAGAGCAACTGGCTCATGAGACTCCCCCGGTGGAGAACAAGGCATCAAGATTTGGCAATCCGGCTTTCAGGTCGTTCTACGACAAAGTCCAAACTGTAGGTCTTGCAATTCTTCTCCCTTCGTTTCTCATACTTACTTCTATCGTATTCAAGCTGGCACCGTCGTTGCATGCTGACCTTCCCGGCCTAGATCAAAATGCTACGCCCGAATTAACTACCTATTTTTCGCAGGCTTGGGGGAATCGAGAGCGCATTGACTATGGGAGTGGTATGGAATTGAATTTTCTTTGCTGGCTGTAAGTCTTTTTATAATTTTGATTCGCTTGGTCCTTATCACATCTCACAGGATATGCCTAGATCGTCTGCAGGTCGTTACGGCAAGTGATCACACCGCGCTTGTTACTCTCGTGTTTTGGAGGTGCATTCTCAAAACATTTATTCTGTTCATCGCTCATCGCTTTCAGATATATTCAAATCATGCGCGTACTTCAGTCAACGTATTGGCTAGAACCCGCTGGATCTCATGGCGTCTGGGGTCTGGACGATTATCATTTTTTACCCTTCCTCTTTGGTTCTTCACAGCTACGCGGCACGTCGCAATTAGTTATAGTGTGCAACGAGTCCTGACATTTTCTACTGCAGGACACAAGTTTGTACGACCGAAGGCCATACATGATCCAGAGATCGTAGATGAACTATCAAAGGATTATATGTACTTCTCTTGCATAAAGTTCATCAACTCCGTTCGTATCTTTTGCATTGCGTGCCTATTTGACATCTCAAGATTTGGATATAGATCAAGACGGCCTCACTTAGATGGCACTCACCAATGCTGGATGATATATCAGCAGTGCGTGTTGCGGCCCTCGGTACATTGACCCATCTAACTTGTGTAGGTGAAAACTTGGGAAAAAGTCAACTCCGGAATGATCAAGATGTATCAAGCAGAGGTCTTAGGGAAGCTGCCTGTCATGCAACATTTCCTGTTTGGATCCATTCTTCCATACGAAGGACCGCCGCCTCCATCTTCCGACGAATCGCATCACGGAGATGGACATGCACACGAAGGATGGGGTGATTGTTGCGGTATACCCGTACCAAGTGCATTTGCGGCAGCCCAAATGGAGCGAGAGCCAGGAAAGAGGATCGAGGGTCCAGGCATCCGTCCTGTGCCGTTTGATTGAAGCGGAATTTGTGAGGATGGTTTCCAAGTCATGACAGTGCCTCCATCACGAACATCAGTAGGTTCAATACTATACATTACTCATAAATAACCTGGTCGGCGCTCGCGATCAGAAGTTGTAGCTTTCGATCATTTTCCAAGTTGGGGCCAAAACTATTTCAATGGATGTGACACCACGTCGGCTTGATTTTGTTGTCTCTATTGCCATACGGCGTCTGATCTCATCAGAGTCATCCGACTACCATCCTGCCTATGATTGCTTTTTCTGAACTGGCTGACTCAAAGACTCTCAAAGAGAACAATGCTTACGAATTAGAGCAATGTTATTGAACTACAGTAACACCAGTATGTTGACTTGTCTCATCTTTCGGGAATCGGAAATAACCTCTTGGGTTCGTTCGCAGGTACTGTGCGAGCAATAGCACCAGGGACCAAGTGTAAGGATGGCCTATCCTCTACGCGCCGACCATACTTCACAAAACGGAGACACTCGAACGGATCATACGTTCGAGGTCGTCCACGTGATTCATTTTGATGCGAAGAGTGCAACTCTTCGCATCCGAATTGCGTGGATACATTCCTTTCATTTCTCCTACTCTTTCGTTATCTTACCTTGTGCTCAGACTTCACGATTCCCGTTTCTTCACCGATATCTTTCAACTCGCCATATGCTCCCTGTTCTTGTTCCGGCCTAGTCAACTACTCGAAAACGTATATATATTGCTCATGTATACTCATACCTACAGTGAATTCTATCCTAAGATCCCCGCTCCAAGTACTTCAGAAGCCTCCTATAACGTGTCCGTCTCAAGCATCTCAATTCTCGTTCCTCTCGTCTCTTGTCTAAACTAACTCTGTTCACAATTCCCTATCGAACTCGACGTCAGCCTTACATATTTTGGAGCCCACCGCGAGGGAATTGTTTTGAACAAATCCCGACGCACCGAGTATTGATTCGTGGGTCTATACTGACCTACTAGTCAAACTCTCTTTTCTAGTACCCGGTCTTTTGACCACCTCCTTTCGCCATTACGAAATATTACCATCCCAACGCGCAGCTAAGCCTCGAACAAAAGCCATCTGCGCTGGCATCGTCTAGCAGTGTCACTCCCCAAACGAAGGGCAAGGGCAGAAGCCGTGCTCACACTATCGACGTTCCTCGTACACCACCCTTAGCAGAACTCGCTGATCCACCCTTCCTTCGCACCCCAAGTCATCACTACCGCGCCCAGGTCAGCCTAGAGACATCGGAAGACCCATCAGAATCCTCTCTCTCGGACGACGATACTATAAATCGCACACACCGCTCAAACTCGCCCCCTTTTCCGTCACTCCCTCCTCAAAACGTATTCACTCTCAGACCGGCCAGATTTAATCCAGAAACTCCTATCTTTCCTTCGATACTCCCTGAATCTACCAAGCCAGCCCCTTCAGCACTGACATTACCTCCGATACCCCAGCCAGAATTCCTTAAACCACCTTCACTTCCGCCCAAACAGTCCAAGCAGTCCGCAAGCTCCTCTAGCATCCCATCAGTTCAAATTGTCGCTCCCAATTCCTCGATCCAAACGCCTGCTATCGCTACTGCGCCAACACAGCCTCTGTATGCACCACCATCACACAACACTCAAACGCCCACCTTTTCGACTATCCCCGTCATGTCCAACGCAAATAAGGGAATAGGAGCCATGCCCGGCCCCGGATCCAACAAAGCTCCGTTTTTCAATGGAGAAACGTCGGAGCTTCTAGAATTTTTCGAGTTTTTTGAGGACCTGGCAGCCACATACGCACTCACAGACGCAGACAAGTGCAAAGCTATTGTCCGATACGTCGACTTGCAAACGAAGCGCTTCTGGCTAACCTTGACCGGATACGAGAGCAAGGACTTCACGCTATTCAAAGCCAGCATCCTAGCGCAGTATTCAGGAGCAGCCAAGGGACAACGATACTCTGTTCGTGATCTTGAACGAATTGTCGTTGCGAACGTCGAGAACGATATTACGACGGAAACTGAGCTAATACAGTACTATAAACAGTTTCGTCCAGTTGCTCTCTGGCTTGTGGCTAACAGCAAGATTTCAGCGCGGGAAAGGGACACTTACTTCTGGCAAGGACTTCCTACCTCCACTCGTCGCGCCATAGACCGACGTCTGGAACTCCAAAACCCTAACTATTCCAGAACAGAGCCCACGGACTTTGAGAAAGTCCATCAAGCCGGACGTTTTGTGTTTTCGGACGATGCCTTCGACACTGATCTCAATGAGCCTATCGCAGCCAGGATCCGAACCATTCGCGAATCCAGAAGCCTACCTCACAAAGGTCGAGCGAAAGTTCCCATACCGATAGAGGACTCTGATGACGAAGAAGAAAAACGAGACGTGAGGCAAGAGGTTCAGACCAAACGAGTAGCGTTCGTGACGCCCCCACCTGCCAAGTCCACCATAGATGAAGTCGAGGAGCTCGCACGCAAGATGCACGGCCTTGATATCGGTGATATAGCTTACTCAGGATGTTATTCAAGACTTGCGTACATCGCTCCAACAGTAGCCCAAGTCTGGCCTCCTCCTAAGGCGCTGCACCTCATCAGTACAGCAACTGCTCAGCCCCCGCTATCGTATCTTCCCCTTCCTCCTCTCCCAGTCTCAGCTCCCTTCCCCTCGAACTCGACATGTTTCTTTTGTGGAGGGTCTCATGTAATGCGCGTTTGTCCCACAGCTGGTGAATATTTACGAGCCGGAAGAATCATTCGAAATGGTCAATATTTTGCTTATCCTGATCAGTCACGCATACGACGTACCGGAAACGAAACGTTCAAGCAAGTAATAGATTCCAGATATGCTATGACGACTCTTCCAACACCAGCCACCGGCTCTAATGCGATCCCTGTGGACACCTCCCCTCGTGAAACTACGCCTCAGTCCTCCAAAACCTCTGAAATTCCCTCATCTGCTTTTATATCCGAGTCGTATTTCTTACAGTGCGACCTAGTAGCGGAGAACCACGCTATCATAGCCACGGTTGAGGAGGAGAGCAAGGAAACTCCAACAGACGTCAACGCCATCACACGATCAAAAGCTAAAGGAAGTCCTGTCACCTCCGACTCAAAGGAAGACCCGTCCCCACCACCTCTTATCGAAGTCACCCCCAAACCACCCAATATAGTGGCAAAGAGGCCTCCATCCTTCTCCTACGAGTCGAAGGCAGCTGCGCCGGACGCCATTCACCGCATCTACAAGTCCATCCTAGATATAATGGTACCCCATGTGACTGTGTCTGACCTCCTTGCCATTAGTCCTGAGCTACGAAAGGAAGCAGTGGAACATTGTCGTACGCACCGTGTTCCTGCGCCTACAACGGCTGTCTCAACGAATGCCCTCGCCTCTACCATTCCTCCCCTTCAGATTGAACACGCTACACCTCTTCGAGAGCTCCGCGTCTTACTTAATGGCGTCCATTCAGAACTAGCGCTGCTCGACGAAGGCTCGGAAATTGTCGTTATACGGGAAGACATCTGGAGAAAGACTAATGCACCTAGGAACCAGCAAATTCGCATGAAGATGCAAACTGCGAATGGAGGAGCCCAGGAGATGGGAGGATGCGTTGAGATGTTAGAAATAGAGGTCGAAGGGATCAAAAGTTGGGCACACGCTTATGTCGTGCCAGATGCACCCTACCGCTTGCTCTTAGGACGACCCTGGCAGAAGCTTGTTCGCCTTTCTAAGGTTGAGGACACGGACAAGGTACAGATTACGATTCAAGATCCCATGAACAGTTCCAACACTCGTACTATTGAAACTCTCCCCCGTCCTTGGCCGCACCCATCCCTTGCTCTCACCACCGCAGTCCTATCAATTCCAATCCGTCAGACAGCCCTATCTACGCCGACAAGCTCAACGGACATTTATCACGCTGTTCCGCAATCAAGCCTTCCAGTTTCTCAAACACCCATTCCCATATCCCGTCTCACTTTCTCCTCCTTTGCCGAGTTCCTCCTTCAGGCGCACTTCGAAATCAACCCAGTTAGCCGCACCTTCGCCTATAAGAAAGTCGCCAACAAAGTCAGACCTGTAGCCACGACCATGCCGTCCCATGCTCGAATCGTACGACGCTTCCCAGAGGATCCACTTCTCTCCCTCCCTCCTCTATCACCAAATCCACCCGAATTCCATTCCGGCTCCCGTTTATCTCAAGAACGAATGGATGAGCTAGGAATCTTCAAAAATGAATTTCTATGGCCTGAAGAGCGCAAGTTAGCAGCGCACGTACTCATGAACAATGAGTCAGCTCTTGCTTGGGACGAGACTGAGAAAGGACGATTCCGTGATGATTATTTCCCGCCCGTCATAATACCTACCATTGAACACACTCCCTGGGTCCATCGCCAACCTCCCATACCCCCCGGCATTCGCAACGAGGTCATAACGCTCATCAAATCAAAAATCGCCTCCGGAGTCTACGAAGCATCTAATAGTTCGTATCAATCTAGGTGGTTCTGTGTGGCCAAAAAGAACGGCTCAGTGCGTATCGTACACGATCTCCAACCCCTCAATGCTGTCACAGTCAAAGACGCAGCCTCCATGCCATATGTAGAGTTATTTGCGGAGCAATGCGCAGGACGCGCTATATATTCTATGATGGACTTATTCGTAGGCTTCGACCATCGAGCCCTTGCAGAGGAATCCCGCGACATCACCACCTTCCAAACTCCCCTCGGCACATATCGTCTGACAGTCCTCCCCCAGGGATGGACCGACTCGCCAGCTGTCTTCCAGAACGATGTTGCATTTATCCTACAAGACGAAATCGACGTTGCACCAAATTTCCAGGATGATGTCAATGTTTTGGGACCCTGCACGCGATACGAGCTACCTAATGGCTCATACGAACTCATCTCCGAGAATCCTGGCATTAGAAGGTTCGTTTGGGAGCATTGTGTAGATGTGAATCGGGTCCTGCATCGTCTCAAGCATGCGGGAGCTACTGTTTCAGCAAAGAAGTTGTTTCTATGTGTTCCTGAGGTTCTCGTCGTCGGTCAACTCTGCAATTACGAAGGACGAATCCCGGACAAAACCAAGGTTTCAAAAATTAGAAACTGGCCACCCTGCACAACACGAACTGAAGTTCGTGGCTTTCTCGGAACTGCAGGCACTGTTCGCAACTGGATCAAAGACTATGCTCGCGTTGCACGACCTCTCACTAACCTTACCCGTCTCGATACTCCATTCACATGGGACTCAGCTGCGCAGGGTGCCATGGACTACCTCAAAGACGCAATCATCCACTCTCCTGCAATTCGCCCCATCAACTACTCTTCTTCACTCGAAGTCATATTAGCAGTAGACTCGTCTCATATAGCATGCGGATGGATTCTCTCTCAAATCGATACAGAAGGTCGTCGTCGTCCCTCCAGATTTGGCTCCATTACTTGGAACGAGCGGGAGTCTCGCTATTCCCAAGCCAAAATCGAGTTATATGGCTTATTTCGAGCCCTGCGCGCAGCAAAGGTATGGCTCATAGGACTCAAAGGTTTCACTGTCGAAGTAGATGCGAAGTACCTTCGTGGCATGCTCAATAATCCTGACATTCATCCAAACGCCGCCGTCAATCGTTGGATAGCCGGCATCTCTCTTTTCGACTTTACCCTTAAACACGTCCCTGGAAACAAACATGTAGCACCAGACGGCTTGTCTCGACGACCCATGACGCCTGGAGATGAAGAAAATTTGGACGAAACGACAGAAGATGTTGAAGAGTGGATTGAGGAGATACTGGGATGCGGAGTATGGGTGGCGAAAGAAGTTGATGATGAATGGCTTGCTGAAAGAACACGAAGTGCTCTTACCGTCACACCAGACTCGCCTAAAGATGGAATTCCTTCAAATAGCGTTGCCTCTCGCTACGATGATGATTTACGGACTATCCAAACTTACCTCGACACTCTCTCCTTTCCTTCAACCATCTCGAGCAAGGATCAGCTGCGTCTTGCCAAACGTGCACATCAATTTTTCGTACGAGGAGGTCGTTTGTGGCGAAAAGAAACAACAGGACGCCATCAACTAGTTGTGTTTGGAGAACATCGGCTGCAAATGATGCATGAAACTCACGACAAACTCGGACACAAAGGTTTCTACGCTACTCGACGAACCATAGCGGACCGATTTTGGTGGCCATCCCTAGACCGCGATCTTCAATGGTTCCTCAAAACCTGTCATCAGTGTCAAATCCGCTCCGTTGAAAAGGTAGTCCTTCCTCCCACCATATCAATTCCCGCGACTCTCTTTCGAAAAGCCTATACCGACTCTATGTACATGCCCGCATCTCATGGATTCTCCTACATTGTTCAAGCACGATGCTCGTTAACCGCGTGGCCTGAGTTTAGAATGTTGAGGAAAGAAACTGGGAGGACGTTGGGTGCGTTTTTGTTCGAAGATGTTCTCTGCCGGTGGGGTGCTGTAGAAGAAATCGTAACGGATAATGGGTCTCCTTTTGTCGCTGCGCTTGATTGGCTCGCGCACAAATATCACATCCGGCACATTCGAATATCCGCCTATAATTCAAAGGCAAACGGCCTCGTCGAACGTTCTCACAGAACCATTCGGGACTCTCTCGTTAAAACTTGCAACGGCGACATCACTCAATGGCCGACCCTCACGCACCATGTTTTCTGGGCCGATCGTGTCACGACACGGAAGTCTACCGGCCACACTCCCTTCTTCATGGCACACGGCATAGAACCCGTCTTACCTTTCGACATCACCGAAGCCACATTCCTCCTCCCTGATATTCCTGCTCAACTCTCCACGAGCCATCTCGTCGCAATACGCGCTCGACAATTAGCTAAACGAGAAGAAGATTTGGCTGAAATTCATGCCCGCGTGCTCAAAAGTCGTTTCGCATCTATCAAAGACTTCGAGCGGCGATTTTCTCGAACTATTCATGACTATGATTTCAAACCAGGCACTCTCGTCCTAGTTTTGAACAAGAAAATCGAACCTGCTTCTAACGCAAAGTGCAAGCCAAGATATTTCGGCCCTATGGTCGTGGTCTCGCGTTCTCCAAATGGTCCTTATCGTCTCGCAGAAGTTGATGGAACTCTGTCGAAACTCAAATTCGCCGCCTTTCGACTCATACCTTATCATCCCCGTTCACCCTCGTCCATCGAAGTCACGCAGTACATTGATCCTCAAACGCTCGTAGATGCCGAGCCAGAACAAATTTAGATGCGCCTTTCTTTTTTTTCTGTCTTCATTTTCCTAGTCTCGTTTTATTCTAACTAGTTCCATTTGTTCAAGTACTACGATACATTTTTTTTAGTTTAGTTGGAAGATCGACCGAGGACGGTCGATATTCAAAGTGGGGAGGTAGTGTAAGGATGGCCTATCCTCTACGCGCCGACCATACTTCACAAAACGGAGACACTCGAACGGATCATACGTTCGAGGTCGTCCACGTGATTCATTTTGATGCGAAGAGTGCAACTCTTCGCATCCGAATTGCGTGGATACATTCCTTTCATTTCTCCTACTCTTTCGTTATCTTACCTTGTGCTCAGACTTCACGATTCCCGTTTCTTCACCGATATCTTTCAACTCGCCATATGCTCCCTGTTCTTGTTCCGGCCTAGTCAACTACTCGAAAACGTATATATATTGCTCATGTATACTCATACCTACAGTGAATTCTATCCTAAGATCCCCGCTCCAAGTACTTCAGAAGCCTCCTATAACGTGTCCGTCTCAAGCATCTCAATTCTCGTTCCTCTCGTCTCTTGTCTAAACTAACTCTGTTCACAATTCCCTATCGAACTCGACGTCAGCCTTACACAAGTATAGGCTTAGCCAACTTGGATCTGCCCACCCACTCGGAATTCGGTCACAACTTTGGTGAGGTTTGTACTCTTCAACTTCCTTCCAGAGTTTTTTGTGTTTGTGTGAAGTTGTGTCACCCAGGTTTTGAGGTGACTTCTGACTTGCACTTACGGCAGAAACTGCGGTGTACAGGTCCTCCCACAGCCTGTCTACCCTTTGCTCATTGCGAAGGTTGAAAGCATCGTTCGGAATGGTCCGACAGGGAATGTATTGATTTCGCTGCCTTGCGATAGCTCAGTACACTGGAATACCATTTACTTGGCGAGCCTTGATACCGGGGTAGTTGTAGGTATGTCATTAGTTATGACGATCGAAGCGTAGCCTAGAGCTTAACCGGGGCCTATCCTTGGACTAGTTTCTATGATGGCGTAGACGTGTGTAGATATCAGCGACAGCTGAGCCTCAACCATGGTGTAAGGTCAGAAGGGGCCGGCCGAATAAGTGACGTTAGTTGCTGAGACCAGATGTACGTTCGGAGTAAACCATTCGTTCTTAGCCATTAGGAATGCTGGTCGATCTCGAAAAAGATCAACAATAAATCATCGGCCCTTCTTGGTGTAGCGACCGAGATACGTGTAAGTCCGTTTGTCGTGATTGTGTCATGCATGTCACGCTGGGGGAAGATTAACAATCTCTCTCTAGACTGAGACCAACCTCAGGACGAAAAAAGATTTGAGGGGCATTAGTGGGTAAGAACCATCCGACCAACTTTGTTAAACAGGACACCCCTCCAGATGGATTGCAACGTAGTGGAGAATCCGCTAAGAGCAAGCCGCGTTACGACACGATGGTCAGGAGCCTTGTCACCTCCTTGGATAGCTTCGCCGCATCCGAAGTCTGGTTTCAGCCGCCAGTATAAGATTGTCACGTACGAACAAGGCCCGAGTCCGTTACATGAAGTCTGTGGTTAGTACGGTTGTAAAAAGCCGTGCGAGACGTAGAGGGTTGGGTCCGGATTAATGATCTGGGGCTAACCCAACGGGAAACGATGCTTTGCGCAGTGTCGTGGGCCGTAGCGGTGTTTATACACTGGCTCGAGAGTACTTATCCTACGTCGGTCTGTTGCTAAAACAGGCTTAAGTTGATTCCCCTCGGTTGTTGGAGGTGTCTCTGCGGTGTCCAAAAGCACGGTTGTGGAGCGATTGAACCGGAGTGGTTACCCGGAGAGATTGCAGAAGCAGCTAGAAGACCGGAATCTAGTGTACGTCGGTGTGTACTTCTTGGCTGAAGATAGTACCCCGAGCGGAACGACGACCGGTTGGCTTTGGACCCTGCGGGGATGCATTTCCACAACTGGGGGAATTTACGAGCAGCGGAAACTGGACCAGACCCGACAATGTCTTTTGCACATCACACACGCTAGATTCATTCACTCTCTGCGACACCACACCTGGACGCCGACCACCATGCACTGACAACGTTCCTATATATAGTACCCTAGACCTCGACATATCCCGCTCAACCACCACCACCACCTTCAACTACCGCGACGTTGACTGTGACAAATTCCGCGGCAGGCTACAACTACACCTATCGGTATACCCCGAACCGACAGCTATCACCTCGGAAGAACAATTCCAAACGGGCCAACGGCCGCAGCAAACTTCCTCTGCAACTTCCTTCCAATTCGACAGCTGACATATCCCAGTCCGAACTACCGGATAAAAGAAGGTCATAGATCATGAATGTTCCTCAGGGTGAGTCAACGTTCAGGGCTTCACGTTACTGTGCAAAAGTTCATGTTCCTCTTCCTGATATATGTTGCCTTAGCGCGCGTCACAAATGCGCAACACGTTTTCGCCCATTTTATGGCCAGTCTTTTAGACTCTCCGGCTGTATATCCTGCTGCTAATCTCGTTGTATAGGCACAACACTCGTATTCATATGCCGAAAGTGATTGGACGAATGAAATGACAACAGCTCAGAACATTGGCATCGATGGCTTTGGTACGTCTTTCTTATGTTTCTCTTTCAAGCTTTTAGTCACTCATGTGCGGCTCATGCTTAGCATTGAACATCGGCGCAAATGACTATGAAGTTGACAGGATTGTTGATGCATATGCAGCTGCAGAATCTTTAGGCTTCAAGCTCTTCTATTCCTTTGATATGACAGACACTTGGAAGCAGAGTGACATGGTCAATATCGTCGCCAATCACTCGTCAAGTCCAAGTACATTTCTCTGGAATAACACTATACTTGTATCAACATACTCAGGGGAGAGTTACGGAGAAGACTTCTGGGCTGGCTTCAAGAGCGCACTTCAGAGCCAAGGCATCCACATCACACTTGCACCTGCGTTCACAACTTACCGTGACCCTTCGAGTGCTGCTTCACTCGTATCTACGTTCCCCTCAATTGATGGGTTTTTCAATTGGTGGTCCTGGTAAGCGATGTTGTAAAGAGTACGATGATCCTCTCACAAAATGTATCGCTAGGCCTGCCGATGTTGGTGCAAATTTAACGACAGCCACGGATTTGGCCTACCAAGCAGCCGTCTCATCGCTCAGTGGACCGTATATCATGTGTGAGTAGTTTAGTCCGAGTTTTCGTAGCTTTATTGACATTCAATCGAGCTGTCTCGCCTTGGCAGTTTAAGAACTTCGGTGGCGCTAGCGATTGGGTACAATACAGTGATACTCTCTGGAACTACCGCTGGCAGCAAGCCGTGAATGACGTGAAACCCGACATCGTTGAAATCAGTGCAGTAGCCTTATTATTACCAGTGTTGATCGTAGCTCATCGTGCTCTAGTAAGTTGGAACGATTATGCCGAGTCTCATTATATTGGGGATATCAATCCAAAAGTAACCCCTCATACCGTTGTTGAAGTCACGGCTCGAGTTGACATGCGATTCGTAGGTGTACCTTGGGACACAAGCCCCACTTTACGTCGATGGTTTCATACATGCTGCTTGGCGAGATGTAGCTCAATACTATATCTCATGGTTCAAGACCGGTTCTGCACCGATTATTACAGTGAGCCATTTGCTGAATCGCTCTTCAATTTGATAATCTTGATTTTCTTTCTCCGTATAGAAAGATGAAGTCGTCTTCTGGTATCGTGCATGGCCCAAAGCCATCAAATGCAGTACCGGAACCCTACCACGCAATGCTGCATACCCTGAGGATGCCGTTTTTGCACTCGCGATGCTCAAAGACACCGCAACTATCACACTTGCCATAGGTAGCAACACAGTAAATTTCACCGCCGGTCCGGGTGTGACCATGGGTTCTGTATCGTTCGCTCCAGAGGATTCACAAGTTCCCTATATCGCGATCAGCAGAAATGGCGCAACAGTTGCCGACACCCATGGATCGATGTATGTGAATCACAGTGGATGTACGTACTACAATTTCAATCCTTTCGTTGGGAGCATCGCCGAGTGATGTGCTAGTTATTATAATGTAGTCGCAGACCACTGTATGTCATGCAAACTGCAATTGAGTGAGATCAGGGTGAATACACACGGGACAAGCAAGAAATCAGGACCAGCTTCTGGCTGGTTGCAAGTCTAGAATACAAAGGGAAGTTTACGTGATCACCTCGGTGTGGGTCAATATCAGAATGTCTTTATGCAATTTCGTAACTAAAACACATGCGGGTTGTAATGCAACGTCCAATAAAAAATGGAATATGAACCCAACAGCAGAGCAAGTAAAGAACGTCCTATGGTAATTAAAAGAAAGTCAAAAGAAAGAGTAGGCATTCCCTGTCGCATAAGTGTAGGTTCGTAATTAGATCCACCATTGAAACATAGCGTTCTGATCGCGTTCTGGTACTATCTAGAGAGTCTGTCCGTCCGTCTCGTGTCTAAATACCACCGTCCCATTTCATGCTTGTCTAAGTAGCACCCGGTCAATCGCGGCATTGATCGTCCCCTTTCGTGACGTCAAGTCCATCCCAAATCGTTCTTCGAGCTGACGCCGTATCTCGCGCTTCGTTACAGAGTTGAGATCGGCAGTGCGGAGGATCTCATGGACGGCATAATCAAGCTCAGCATCACTAGGAACACCTGGTGCCAAGTCCATATCCTCATGACTGCGCGTGGTCGGTAGAGGCATTTCAAGATAATTTGTTGGCGGCCGCGACGGCATGGGTTGGTACAACATGCCAGCGTCGCTCATGGGCCGCAGCTGTGACATTGGTGTATTGCGACCTGATTGATATCCAGGAGGTGGGATCATGCCAAATTGAGATGGCGCAGGTGAATGACCGCGTGGCTCGTAGTATGTCTCGCGCCCGTATAACGACGCAGTAGCTGATGCGGCATATCCCTCCTTATGGAACTGATTGGGAGGTGCCCACGAGCCAATACTGTGGTTTGATTCCTTGTCCCAAAGCTCGTTTTCCTGTAAACCAGAAATCAGTAGCGTGTCTACAAAGGACCGAAATTACGCACGTAATCATTCCAAGACTTGAGAGGAATGGCACGCGGGTCGAACTTGCCTTCGTCCTAAAGAAACTTCATCAACATCGTTCCAAACAATAAGGACCAGAAAACACGTACATGAACAATCATCTTCTTGCCAGATTCACCCAACACAACACGGGTAGCACCCCAAGAGAAGTCATCCATACGCCAGAACGAATAGAGCGGAAGCATAAGAGAAAAGATCGGGATAGCCAAAATGTAGAAGACCATCCATCCAACCATGTCCCACTTGCGCCGGAGGATAAACACAAGGGCTTGTAAACCATACACGGCACCGATCATGACAAGCGAGATAACGGGGAGGGTCTCTTGCTTGGTAGAAACTTCCACAATGAGATACACAATCTATAACTTCAAATCAGAATCAAAAAAAAAACCAAAACAAAGTAGACGCACGTAGCCGACAGTGATAGGCTGGATGATAGTGGAAACCAAATCGATCATGACGACAAACCGCATGGAGAAACAACAGAAACCACAAAGCTGCTCCAAGAACATCAGCTCTCCAAGGTTGTGAACCGTCGAGTTGATCCAACGACGACGTTGTGAGAGCAGAATCTTCCAGTCATCAGGCGCTACGGTAAATGCATGGGCATCGCGAACGAATTGGGTCTTGTGCAGCGGGAAGTGTTTCAGGAGGAGCGTGGTGAGGTATCGATCTTCTCCGAGATGCAACAAGTTCTTCATATGCAAGGTATCGACGCGATTCTGCGAGTAGTCCTGGACCATCTGGTTGGAGATCAAAAGTGGTTTGTGGGTATCGGGAGTCCGCAAACGATACAGGGTGAAACAACCAGGTAAACAGGTAACAGATCCGAACAAACTCTCGAAAGCCTTAGCCATGTGATGCGAGATGAAGTACTCGTAGACCTAGACATCCATTAGAATTTCCAACCACTTCATCAATCTAAAACAAACTTGCCTGCATCATGGTGATAATTGACTGCTTCGCGTTCGCTAGCTCAGTCTCGCCGCAAACACCAAGCACCTTCTTGTCATGAATACACCTACAGACAAACAGACATTAACCCAAAATCCCATAGTAGCTAACAACGACTTACGCAGAGATCAACCGGTTGACAGAATAGGGCTCCACCGTCGTATCAGCATCGACCGTAAACAGATACTCAAAGAACGTCGGGTTGACACCAATCACATTCTTGATCTGATGGTACATCTCCAGCTCGAGTGGGTTCATGGGCGTACTAAAGTGAACCTGCGCAGCTCGAGTATAAGCGCTAAATCCACCGTTCTATGACAGACTCTCACCTTGTTCAGGAAGTGCATGATCACCATTTGAGAATCACGCTTGCCACGGTTACCAGGCCGCGAACGCTCAGATGGCTTGCCTATCTTCACCACGACCAAGTAAGGAACGACGTGCCCAGCGCACTCATACAGACCAGAGTAGACCTTGCCCATGTTATGCTGCCTCGCACCCTCACCCAACGAAACGAAACTGAGTGGCTCGGGGTCGAGATTGGGATCAGCTCCTAGGATGTCAAGCACGATGCGCGGCGTGGGACGGTCATTCCCAGAACCAACGATATTCCCATCACAGATAACAAGAATAAGTTTCCGCTTGTCGTCATATTTGAGCTGCGCCAGCGAGTCGATGGTTTTCCGCAATGAACTCTCGCCTTCCGTATAACAAGGAACCTGGCAGATAACGAACTTGTCGTGGTCTTCGGGTGCACGAGGAGACGCAAAGTTGATAGAAGCGATGAACTTGAATCCGATGATGCTGACCATCAAAATTGACAGTGCGAGCAAGATACCCTCTGCGAATTGGCACTGTGGCGAATTACGGTTGTCCACCATACCGATCAAAAACAAGTTGCGGAGACAGGTAAGTTGGCTCTCCAGCAAAGCACTATTAAGATTTAGAGAATCAAGTTGCTTCGTCAGATCCTGCCCTGAGTTGTACTTGAAAAGGTCGACGACAGATGTGTCCATGAATTCAGTGTCGATGCCCGTAGGAAGCTGCTCGCCGTATGGAGCTTCAACGGCAGGTCCGAAGTTGACGTAGGACGTAAGGTCGTAGATCAAATCGTTGTAGATGCCGAGCGAATAACCAGAGTTGGCCATGTCACTGATCTCCTGTGGTGTGTAACCCATGTATCCGACGCGGTTGTTCCATCGCATAATGGTCATACTCTCAAAGTACCAATCTGGACGAGAATCGTTGGTGTAAGCGCGGAAGTCGTGGTAAATAGCATTAGGATCGGTGTCATTGGCAGAGCTGAGGGTAACGTATGGGCTGACAGAGCCAGTCACGCCATTACACAATGCAGAGACCTGAAAATTGGTTAGAAAGAATCAACTCGTGAACGAATCCTTCTGACCTGAACGGGGAAGATCGCGTCTGATGCAGTACCGCCATACGTCTGAAGGATCGTCTTGACAGGCACAACACTGACAACGCGCTGATGCGTGGACGCAACAGTCGTAAGATCGAACACCTCCCCCCGAATCGAGGTATACACGTTATTTGGTGAAGCCGTATATGAATGTGACGCCAATTCGGAAGTGCTGAAAACATGCTCCGTAGGACAAATGATCTCACCCAGGAAGACGATGACGAAAACAGCACATGAGCAGAAGAACCAGATGATGAAATTGATTGCGAGCTTTTCTCTCCATGCTTGTCGGATATCTTCACGCTTCATCCGGCCGATCCACCTAAGGAAGAGAGAGGGCATCCACCATGTCAGAGCCCAGCACACCGCGACCCAGCGACGACGTGCAGAAGATTCCCTAAGCACTTCAGTCGTCTCGCCGTCTCCGATCTCACCAGGCAGTGCTTCTTTCACCATGAGACCCTCCTTGTCCGCGTTCTGGAACATGTTGCGAGAGGGCGCATAGGATTCAGTGCCGTAGTTGGAGTTGGAGTCGTCTCGGTTACTTGTGAGGCGGCTGCGGTTGTCAAAGTCGTCGCTGCGGAAAGACTTGCGCTCGTCGTACTCGTCGTCATACAGATCAGCGCGCTGGAAGGGAGATGCATTGGAGACGAGAGGAAGGGCAGGGTCCGAGAAGGCGTTAGCGAACGGCGAGTCCTCACCATTATTAGCACCAGGTGAATGGTAAGGAGCATAAGGGTCGCCGAAGCCACGGATATCAAGTCCAGCCTCAGCCTCAGCATCACGAACACGGTTACGTTTTTGTTCCTCAACATCCGATGCACGAATACGGTCCTCGAGCGAGTGGAACGCCGTTTGTGATAGGAAGGCCTAGAAAGATATTTAACACGTGCCTGAGCTGCGTATTCAATTCGCTTACCTTGTATTGCCCAAGGACAACATCCCGCTCCTTCAACGATAACGCAGTCCGCGTCTGCTCAACACGCTCCCTCGGAGTTCCCTCCGAAACGCCCAAAGCCAAAATCGGATCCCTATACCTCTGACAAAATTCTTCCGGCGTCATCCCCACCTCAAACACATTCACATTGCGCTTCGCGATCTCCGCTAAGCCCAGACTGCGCACCTGGCCCTTAACAGACCGACCCTCGAGCTGATTGGGTAGCTGCGAGTCATTCGGGTTAATGCAGAAAACGTACCAGTTCTGCGTGTCTTCTAGAGTCTCGAAGAGCGTGTCGAGCGCGGAACGGAACTCGCCTGCGACACCAGGTGTGCCACTCCCAGCGGACGCAGTGATATCGTCGTCTTCCCGATCCTGTTCATCGACGCCATTTTCCCGCAGCGTGGGCATGCGCTTGATTGTCCCCTTGCGGCGAGTGGAGGGAGCACGCATGGGCTTGACGGGCTGCTGGGCAGCAACAATGGTATCTTCGTTTTTAGGGTGGGCTTGTGTTGCAATAGCCTTGCCCGAGAAGAGGCCTTTGACGAAGGGGTTCATTGATCCAGCACCCTCCGCGCCATCGGAAATGCCCGAGGCTGAGCCACGAAGAAGGGAAACGAAATCAGGGTTAAGAGCATCGAGGTTACGGTCCAAGAAGCCTTCAGCGGAGTAGGCGACGGGGCCGTTGAAGTGATTGACGGTGAACGTGGGGAAACCAGAACGATCTATGACACCGACTTTGAACGACGAGTGGTTGCCCCAGCGCTTGCCAAAGGCTTCCACCATCGAGTGATCAGTCTTCTTATGCGAGCGGCGAGCCTGGTCATCCATGATGTGGATAAGACCACCCGGCTTGTTTTGAAGCAGCCGCACGCACTCAGAGTTGTCGAAGTAAGAGACAGTGGGAACAAAACGTGAGATACCCTCATTCTGATATTCGTCCACGTGAGCCTCAAAGATACGTTTCTGGACGAAGTGCTGTAAGCGTTCATTGGCAAAGTTGACGCAGAACTGATCAAGGGAGTTGGGGCGACTGGTCATGTTCTGTGGTCCGGGGAGGTCGAAAAGGCCAATGAATGTGTCGAAGTCTTCACGGCACAGCCGTTGGTTGATATGCTCGTTCAACCATGCGAAGAGAAGAGAATACAGCGTTTTTGCGAGGTCATCTCGGTTATCAGATGCACCATCGGGGTCAAGGAAGACGGTGCAGAGCTCCTTCTTTACAAGCTTAGTCTTGTAGGACATTGCGCCCTCCAAAGCACCCGCTTGGACACCCAAGAATTCGGCAACAATGCCAAGGACATCTGTGTTACGCACGACAGCAGCGTCAACGTCACGACCACGGTCAACGGTGAACTCAAGATTGCCGAGGTGGAGAATGGCAGCGAGAAGTTGGCAAGTCTGAGCGACGTGTCGCTTGGACAAGCCAATTGTCTTGAGAGCGACCTTGAGCTGCTCAAAGCGGTTGGCGTCATCATCCCGAACACCGTTTTGGCGTGCTGGGATAGCACCACGCTGACCGAGATAACGGTATTGGGTTTTATCCAAGAGGTGGAGGTGCTGGCGCTCTTCCTGAGTTGCACCTGCCACGAGGTAGTAGAAGATGTGGAAGTTGCGCTCTCCGGATGGCACGGAAGATACGCGGTTGCGCTCGAGGTAATAGTCGAGGGTCTTAACACCGGATAAGCGCCCACGGTCAGTGAACTGCAACTCTGTGTATTTCCCGAAGCGAGAAGCATTCGGGTTGAACAAAGTGCGGGCGTTACCGAAGGACTCGATGACAAACTCTGCGGCGGGTAATTGGGTAGCGAGTTTGGAGCCTTTCTTTCCTGGATTGGAGACGGAAAGCTCAAGAATGGTCTTTATGGCGAGTCTGCGGTTCTCTGATTTTCCGCTGCCAGTCTCACCGCTATAATGAAAGCGGTTTTATTTTAGATGATGCAATGCATGTGTTGATGGGGGTTACTTACCCGATGAGAATAGACTGGTCCTGGGCAGTTCGTTTCATGTGGTAGTAGGCATTATTTGCGAGCTGAAAAATATGAGGTGCTAATGGAGACTTGTTTTCCGTTGTGTCGCGATAGTCTGAGGCATATTTTTGAAGGACGGAGTCGCCGTTGGAAGAGACATACTTGTGGGGGTTCACGGCGACGAGGGAATTGGTACCGATGTTGGTGTAAATTGATTCAGACATGAAACGCTCACGAAGACATGAGACAATGAGATCCTCTGATATGGAAGACAAGCCAGAGAGGTCGCTGGCGGCCTCAAGCCTCTGGTGAAGTGACATGCCAGCAGACGGGCGGCTCATGGCGAGCGCGTTGTTAAGCAATTACCCTGCTAGGGAAGGAAGTAAGAAGAATTGGGTAGGAAAGAAAGGAAAGAAATGCTCTGGCAGACAGAGAAAGACGAGGTGGATGGAGCAGGGAAAGAAGCGAATGAGACCCGTTGAACGGTTTGTAGCTGAGCAAAGGGAAAGTGTCCTATTTCCAGCTAGCCTATGGTTTCGGGTTTTCTCACGACGGGCACTGCTCAACTCACATGGCGACACGGTATCACACAGACTAGAATAATTGCTTCAAAGTTGTCGTCGTCGTGGGTAGTGAACTAACAATCATTGCAGTGCGCAGGAGCATAAAAATATTTGATTCAAGTCTTTCTCAAATCGAGTTTGTGTAACAGACACCATGTGGACCATCAATATCCGTAGGGGAGCAGTGACTAGCAGATCCTCACCATCCCATCCTCAGTCTCCGCACTGGCCCCCTGCAGCACACTGGGCTTCCTCCCTTCACCAGCTCTCGCAGCTGCAGCACGCATGCGCTTATGTTCCTGCTCAGCGCGTAGTGCATGAGACTTGGTCACATATCGGGCCAGCACAGGAGGAATGCCACCCCTCGGCGGTTGCCCATACCCACAAGACACCCGCGAATTGGCTTTACGCTCTCTGCTCTTGCTCTTCGCTCCTGTGCGTTGACTTGGGGCCAGTACGACTCGTGTTCGTGGAAGCTGTGCAGGGGGATGTGTTGGTTGATTTGATGTAGCTCTCACGTCTGCTGGCCGCGTGGCTGGGTATGGTTTGACATGCACCGGTTCATCAGATGCCCATGGAACGCGGTGCAAGGTTGAATTTGGAACTCTTGAAGAGCACGTCAGATTTTCGTAACCGACCTCGATGTCTTCGTAACCACTGGGAGGTATCCATCCAAGCATCGGAGAGGCATTCCGCTGTATGGGTGAATCTGGCTGAGTGATATCTTCCCCATCTTCATCAAAGTAGTTGAGGTAAACATCCATATCCTCGAAGGGTGCTAGCGGTGGCTTCTTGATAAGTGCATCCTTCACGACCTACAAAGTACTTACCAGCAGGTTCATCCCAGCTTGACACCTCTATCCCAGTGTACTGCGATGATGGCGCAGAAACGTTGCCCTGGCTCTCTTGTTCCGGAATAACTCCAGGATCGGAGCACAAGATGTGCGCAAGAGACATTACGTTCGGCCGACGCAAGGGTATGGGCTGTACGATTGTATGCGCTACAGCTTTCGCCATGACCTTCTCATTGGCCTCATACTCTCTCACAATCTCCGCCAGTTCATCGAAGCTCGAGGAGGAAGTAAGACGCGCTGGCGAAAGTGTAGTACGAAACGATCTCGAAGCTAAAAGAGTGGAAGGGTTTAAGGAGTGCATAATATAGACAGTGCTGATCGTTAAAGAGAAGAATACTAGAGCCAAAGCCCAGTACAAACCGATAGACTTTAACATAACTCGTTAATGTCAGCCCAATGTCAGCCGAGCCATGTCTGTTGCCTGAACAATATGTGTCATTATATCTGGACATACATCAAGGCCTTGTAGTCTAGAGGTACGATACTTGCTTTGGGTGATCACAAGTGCAAGTGGCCTGGGTTCGATTCCCAGCAAGGCCCAGATCTTTTTGACAATCTCAAATTCTCGACGCACTCCCACCCGTGATTTTCGTCTTCTGCAATCAATTTTGTACTAGTTCCTTATAATTAGTTGCTTCATAATTAGCATATTCCACACATTCTATTATTATATTCCAAACAAATCTGTTGGGAGATCTAATCTAGCTCATATATATATATGTTAGATACTTAATTATGTGTTTTCTGCGTCACTTGCCGCCACTGCCGACGTCGGATATTGAATTTGAGCAGCAATGTCAATTCGTGAGCTGAGACGTTCGCGTCTGCCGAGCGGACTGTAAATTCAGTATTCTAGCCTTCTGAACTTTACTAGCGCATGCCGTGGGCCCCAAGCAAGGTAAGTAAGTTTGAAAAAGTTTTTGGCACTGGCCGGAGGTTAGGTTAATGTTATCATGAGAATCTTCAATCCGCTCAGCTGCGGCTGGAAAACAGTTTTAGTCCGTCTATTGACGGGCTGGTCGCGAGTCCGATATTTGAGAACTCGTGTAGTCAATCGGGTGTCGGCCCGGACTAGTGACTTCTAACTGGCTGCGTGCCAGGTCACTAGTATCATCATAAGATGTTCGACACCGAATCAGACAAGCACAGCTCACCAGACTGATTCAGACGCACATTTAATATCATCTAGACATCTAATTCTCATTCCTACTATCTTATTCCATCCCACTTGACATTGTGATGATGGAAACTTTCATCACAAGTGCCAACTATGCTGCCGGTGTCGTCGCAGCCGCATTCGTAGTGTTACTCGTTATGTTTTATAAGATGTCCCCCTTAGCGGGTAGGAAGGGCATCCCGCTTCCTCCCGGGCCTTCCGCCCGTTGGTTCTGGTCCAACGCCTTACCTGCTGTGAAGTGAGTTTCTATCCGAGATATCAGAAGCTGATGCAGGTCATCCACTCAGCATTTGCCATGCACTGACCGACATGGTTCGAGAATATGGACCAATTGTGTCGTTCCGACAAGGTAGTCAAGTGATAATTGTTATTGGCAGCATTGAGGTATATTGCCCATACCTTGAGCTTCCTCCGACAGTGACCAGACATCGGTCCCCTTAATAGGCAGCCATAGACATCATGGAGAAAGAGGGTGCGTTACTGGTAGATCGACCCCGGTCGATTGCCGCGGGTGAGATGCTCTCAAATGGAATGCGTGTAGTCCTGGCTCGTTACGGAGATCGATTACGACGCCTTCGAAAAGCAGTACACACCCATCTACAACCAAAAGCAGCAGAGACATACCAAGATATGCAGCGCGAGCACGCGATGGGTTTTATATTGGACATGCTGAATGACCCGAAGAACCACCAGAAGCACGCACATCGGTACGTTATTATCAAGACCTTCCGTGATCTTTTCATAGATATGGTGCCCAAGGTATGCAGTATCAGTCATTCTTCAGGTGGCTTATGGAAAGTCTGCGCCTACTGCCAACACCGATCCAGAAATTGTCCGTATTCGCAGAATCACTGAACGTTTCCAGGTTGCAATTCGCCCAGGAGCTTATCTCGTCGATCGTGTACCCCTTTTGCGCTACTTGCCCGGTTACGGAAAACAACTTTATGAGTGGCATACTGAGGAGCTAGAGTTCTACAGGCATCAACTAAGCCGCGTCAAGAGTGAAGTGGTGAGGAGCTCTTTGTCTCAATAAACGTATGTCACTTATATCATGTTGTACCCAGGATCAAAACATTGCTGGCTCATCTTTTACCAAGACACTTTTGGAGAACGCAGAAGGACACCAACTCTCTACAGATGAGATGTCGTATCTTGCCGGAACACTCTTTGCGGCGGGATCTGATACAGCAAGTCGGGTAACTTATAATCTCCACGAGCTTACTCATTTTTTGTTGAGACCGCTGTTGGAATAACCGCTATTATCATGGCTGCGGCGTGCCATCCATTGGCTCAGGCAAAAGTACACGAAGAGCTCGATATGGTCATCGGGTCAGACAGAGGTATGCCAAAGGGGTATGAAGAGGTTGATTTTTTTAATCAATTTTGTGTGGTAGCGCCAACGTTTCAAGACTCGAGCTCGCTCCCTCAATTACATGCGTTCTTGTTGGAAGCCTTGAGATGGAGACCTATCGTCCGTATAGGTGAGTTTCAAATTCGGCACATATCTGCACGATGCTGACATGCGCCTCAGGATTTCCCCACCGTGCAACTAAGGATATTTTTTGGGTCAGTGTCTGGAATTCGTTATAATCCACGTTCTCATTCTAGTCTGTGTGTGATCAGCAAGGATACTGCATTCCAGAGGGTGCAACAGTCTATGGGTGCCATTGGTAAGGTGTTGCTTTGCGGTGCACATCGCTTCACTAAGCGCACTTTTCAGGACTCTTTCTCGTGATCCTATCGCCTTCCCAGATCCTGATGATTTCAATCCCCAGCGTTGGCTTGATTCAGAAGGCCGCCTGAAGGATGATATGAAGTTCATCGTATATGGCTTTGGTAGACGGTAAGTCATGCCTACTTTTTTTGACACTGATCAACGAGGTTCATGCGTCATTGAAAGTGTATGTCCCGGCATGCACCTCGCAAATCACTCATTGTACATCAATCTCGCCCTTCTCTTGTGGTCTTTCCGCATTGCTCAGCGACCTGGCGCCCCAATCAACACACACGCTTTCAGTGATGCGGTTATTGCTCATGCAGCGCCATTTGAAATTGATGTTATTCCCCGAATGAAAGTTGCGAAGCTGAAAGAGATGACGACGACAAATGGGCGTATGGATTAAAGATATCATATGTATAGGAATTTGTCTCCGATCCCCTCGCTTTTTCTTCTTCTGAGGACCCCGTCTTCAGGAAAATTACTCCTTCAAAATTGTATAGTCATTGTTCACCAATATGCTCGGATAGGTAAATGCGGTTATGTCCATTTTTTCGCGGAGGCGTCAGAGTAATGTGGAGCTCCAGTCTGTGACAGGGGGCTTCTGAACCTCGAGGGGATGAAAATCGACTGTTGACTTTAGTGCGCAGGGAATGTACAGTACTCACTCGAATGAGTTGGGCCCGTCTTTAAGATCAATTATCAACATCGATGTCAAGCCATCAACTCACCATTGCAAGAGAAATCAGCGACGGCCTGGAATAGCATTAGTCGCCATCTCGATGAACCAATATACTTCAGTTTCTCACTACTCAACACTGCCTTTCTTCCTGGACTCTGGCTGCGACGAAGGACAGTGCGCCTCACGATGGACGGCTGTTTTAACACGGTACGACTCGGTCGGACAATCATCACGACTCGCGAAAGTCTAGCGATACAGAGCAATAAAACGTAGATCCAAGCGTTGGAAGTACGAACAGCATGGAAACATCCATTAATACACTGGAGTGGGCTATGCCTGCTCTCGCACCGGATACTACTCGAGGAAGGATGGGATCCGACGGATTGCTCTTCCCACATAACGCACTCAACTCTCTACCGGCAAACTCCACTCTAAACACCACTAAACACTGCAGCAACCCCGCTTACGCCACATATTCAAAGTCAATCCACGTTGGTTTACCGGCGAACACTGACTCCAGTGAGAATTTTTCATTCACCTGCGCGTCGGTCAAGATATACTCTTGGGGTAAACGTTTCGACGTGTTCCCTCCAGGACCTGCGAGCGACATAAGGATCCGACACCGGCAGCATAAGGCACAAGGCTTACCAGACGAACGATACTCTGCGAAGTATGCAGTTTTTGGAACAGACGTTCTGTCATAAACAAGTTAGAGATCGGTGTCATTATCTTGCGATCGTGCTTACTGGCCGGACCAGTGTACGAAACCATTAGGATGAATGCTCTCATCCATATATGTGCGCAAATATACGGTGATAGCTAGGGGATTCCACGGGCGTCCTACATAGAGAAGAAAGTGACCTTAGTACTACAATTAAAGTGTGTTCATTTCTAGCTTACCGAGGTAGCATCGGCTATCAGTGACGGTGGTGCTGTTTGCATCTGGGGACTGAATAGTGAAAAAAAATCAGATCAAGAGATCACCAGAAAAGAAAAAACTGACCCGAATGATTTTCGAATCGGCAATGAATGCCCCATTCCTGGTGCCTTCTGTACCTACCCATGCTACGATACCACCACCACAAGCTCGATTGGCCAAAATGACGTTTTGGAACCAGCTATTCCAATAATTATTCAGGGAGTTTATACATACATTGATGCATCCTTACGCCATGCCAGATCCGAAAAGATCTTGCCGCAATGTTAGCAACTGCAACACACAATCGAGGCCACATGACTCACAATCAGTTTGACCGTATATTATGGTGTCAAAAGCATACGAGTATGCGTTGACACCAGTGTACCATGTATCCTGCCAGCTGGCAAAAGTGCAGCCATAGAATGAAACATTTGCATACAAAAAGGAGCCAGCGAGAGCTTGAGAAATCGAGTACTTGGCCTGAATCGCTAAGATTGTACAGATGTGAGTCAAGAAAGACGTCAAAGCTTACAGCACGATTTTCGAAGTCGATATTATACGCTTTGAAGTCAGCGTTACCTGACTGCTGTCCAGGGAGAGGTGCAACGGTGAGAGTTGAAGTGTCCTGGTCTGTCATCCCAGGCAGGACGTATAAATTGTACCAAATGTGAACAAGGTTGCGCTGAGAAGCATTTCCCGCCGGGTCCCGAGCAGTGTTAGGATCAAGTTGGCCCTATACAGAAATGTCTTGGTAATTAAACTTCACAGATAAAAAGACAAATACCAGAAGAGTGAGTGGCGCGGACCGCGTAACATTGACCTTTTCAAAGTATTCTCCCGCTCCAATCAGAATTATTGCGTCGCCCGTCTCTGGTCTGTGAATATCAAGACATGAAACAGGACAAATTCTGGCTGGTACCCACAGGGACTCCACAGCAGCTTGGACAGTTTTAAAATGTGCTCTGCTATCTGTGGGTGACACAAACAGCGTTCCATCTGGGCACCCAGTCAAGGGGGAGGTTTCCGCATTCTGTTGTAATTGGCATGCAGAATAGTTCGGGGAGAGGGCATGAATCTCTACACCAAAGCTGGCCAGAAATGCGTAGAGCACTGCAAAGTGTGTCAAATATGGCCGCATTGGTGTGATGTTCAGTGAGGGAGTAATGTTATATGCCCGCCATCGCTCGCCGCACTTATAAACTCTCATCAAGAAAACACTCACATCAATTTCCAAACTATGGGGTGAGTTTAGTGGTCCTTTGTCCGACACTGAATCCCTACGCCAACGCAGCGCGGGAGAGCATTTAAGTCAAGATCTGGGCAGACTCATTACGAATGAATCGTCAAGGGGCCAGTCTCCCAAAGCAAAACCGACTGCCGAATAGTCATGTATTGAGCCAACCCTGATGGCCTGAAGGGCCGCCGTTACTACTCGGGCCACGGAAAAATTGATGATGAGGTCAAACTCGTGGTGGACCGCGTGGATCAACTATCACTATGATCGCCGTTATGATAATGTATACTCACACCAAACCATGCCCGCCAGTCCGCGGCAGATGCTAATAGTAAAAAGCGGGAGAATGTAATAAGATGATAAATCCAGCGTGATTTATTGCGAGAAAATCGTTGACAACTACTATACCACCATATATGGTAGTACTGAGATCGGCGGCAACGAAGTTTGGATGCTCGAAAACACACGAGGACGTCGAGAACGGAACGACTATACATCCGTAACGATTGATGGTGCCCTCCTGTCGTGAAGGTGCTGTCGCCTCATATATCATGGCAGGGCTACGCCAACAAGAGTCAAATTCTTCACTCACAACTGTCTCCACACGGACTCGTGTACCATCAGTCTTTGAGCTGCAAAGCTCTTTCTTTCGCTCTATTAATGCACCGCAACAACGTCTCTTCCGAGATTGCGCCGCCTGACTCAGTAGTACTGATAAGCTCTCCTCGGTCATCTACGATAACTGTCAGCGTGACGTCCATCAGGGGCTCTTCGAATGCAGTGGGATCTGAGAGAACGTGCGATCTAGGAGTAGAGGATTAGTGCATAACTTTGAAAGAGCGAGAAGAGAACGTACGTGTCTAACACTCCAAAAGACGTCGAAGCAAAATTTCGAGTCAATTGTACCGGCGATCGAGTTTTCCGCGAACACGTCGTGCGCCCAGTTTCTTCGTTGTAGGTGGCTTTAGGCAGCGTAGCTAGTTCGTGTCATCAATTATGTGGCATGCCTCTAGCACGTTGAACTCACTACTTCTGAGGGCGCCCAACATGGCTAGCAGTGCCGCGTCAAACGCATTCCCATCATAATTTATACATGTGCAGTCCACATAAAGCGTCCAAACAGCTTTTCCGGGGTGGATGCACAACGAAGATAATGAAAGCACGCCTGAGCTGTGTCAGGAAAGAAGAAAAGACAAGAGTTCAAAGCCAAACAAACACATAGCGCGATGACCTACGCGACGAGAGCTTCGTTTAGTCTATCAGAAAGGACTTGAGCTTCTTCTGTCGGAGGACCTGGTTTGAACTTTGGAGAACAGATTGCAGGCAAATCGATATTGGGTACTACACAAATTTCGAACCAATCAGCTCCTGCTGTTGTGTGTAGAAGGAAGGAGAGGAAGAATCACCTAAAAAACCTTGTTCAGGGTGATCGAGCTCGGGCTCTGCGATTTCCGCCTTGACGCCACAAACAATCGTAGTGTCTCCCATACGCACAAGAGCAGAGCCATCAGCCGTTGATATCGATCCTGCAGCAAGCACATCATGGCGTAAGCACCAAAAAGTTGGATAAATCACGTACCGACATTCACAGAAACGTTGCGCCATTCATCGAACGTTCGTCCATCTGGCCTGATTTTCTCGGCAATAAACCTTTCGAGATAAACGCGAGGGTGTAGTCTCTGGAAAATTTGAGCGCGGAGGGTTTCATCCGCTGCAGAGGGATTTGTGACCGATGAGGAAGACATGAAGGCCGGAGCTACATATATCGATTTGGAAATTTTCGGAACAGGTCAGAATCACTACGGCAGCTTCACTCTATTGCAACGTAGCTAGCCACTGTACTGTACAACATGTAAATCCTTTGATAGTAACTACAGTACAGATGAGTAAATAAATGATGGTGGTAGTACTACAAATGCGTAGTCGTGAAATGTCATTTGTGCCCAGTCAATAAAAGCAGATAAAGAGAGAACAAACAAAAAAATACAGCGAAGGTCGAAGGTATAGCTATCACGGCAGTAAGTTATCATAGCCGTTAGAACACAAGAGAATGCAATGGCAAAAAGAAACAAATACACCAGCTAGCGAGCCTTTACTCGCTAACCCATTCCCCGCCATTCGCAAGTCTAGCGAAGATGCCTTTGCCCGCCACGAGACTCTCATACGTGCCTTGCTCGCGCACCTGGCCATCCTCGACGACAAGAATACGGTCGCACATCTTCATCACGGGAACCTTGTGTGTCACCATGATAGTAGTCCGCCCAACCTTCGCAGCTCGTATTGTCTCCAGGACAGCCGTCTGGTTGGCAGGATCGAGCGCTGAAGTACACTCGTCCAAAATTAGGATCTTGGCAGGTCGTGCGAGTGCACGTGCGACTTGCAAACGTTGCGCTTGTCCACCTGAGATGAGAGACGCGTTCTCGCCGATGAGTGTGTCATAGCCCTGTGGCAATGACATCACGAATTCGTGGACGTTCGCTGCACGAGCAGCGCGCTCGACGTCTGCGTCACTCATTCCATTGTCCTCGCCGACTCGTCCGTAGGCAATGTTTTCTCGAATGCTGGCGTCGAAGAGGTTGGGGGTTTGGCTGACGACGGCAACATGGTCACGAAGATAGTTGATATCCGTTGCACGGAGTTCACTGAAGCCCACCGAAATGGTGCCCGAAGTAGGCTCATAGAGACGTTGGAGGAGCGACGCAATGGTTGACTTGCCACATCCAGAAGCACCTACAATCGCTACGCACTCTCCATCTGCAATGCGCATCGACATCTTATTCAAGACAGAGACATCAGGGTTGGTGGGGTAAGAGAATGATACATTGTTGAAGATAAGATCGCCCTCGATCCTCGGACGGAGGATACCCTGAGACTCGGAGCTCGTTGTGTCTAGCTTGATGAGCTCGTGCAAATCGTGCGTGGCCAGAACGGACTTGGCAATCTTTTGAGTAAATGACATGAGTTGGGAGCCGATGGAGACGGTGAAGACGACAAGGTTGAGGACTTGACACATCTGGAGGTATGTGTACGTGCCTTTGGCGATGAGCACAGCGCCAACGTAGAAAAGAAGGGCCTCTGCTAAGTATATGAGAGCGCTGGCGACACCATAAGAGCACCCCTCGACGAAAGCGCCGCGGACCCCAGTGGAAAGGCACTGTGAGGCAGCCTTGTCGAACTGAGCCTGAAGAACAGGCTCAAGAGACATAGCACGGATGCCACGGACGTTGAGAACAGACTACACAACAAATAAGGACGAGAATCATCGGGAAAAGACAAAACTTACCTCGTAGTACACCCTGGCAACCTCCTCACGAGCCCGCTTGTTGCGTACCTCGCATTTTGCCACAAGGTTAGTCTGAAGACCCATGACTCCAACAAACACAGGCCCAATAGCGAGCCCAACGAATGTCAATTGCCACCCCCAAGCCATCGCCCAGATGAGGCCAACTATCATCATCGCGCCAACAGCAACAATCTGGCCTACCACGACAGCAATCAATGTACGAGCGTCATCGCCATCCTTCACGATGACTTGAGTGAGTTTAGCTGCGCCATTCTCGGGACGGTCAAACCAGCTCTTGTCCTGACTGAGAACACGCGAGAAAGCGATGTCGCGGAGGCGAGTAACCCAACGCATAGCGGAGGTTTCCATAAAGAAGAATTTGGAACCAAGAAGAAGCCCATCAAGGGCTGCAATTCCGAGGACGAGACCGCCGTAGGAGTTGATCAAGCTGGCATCTGAACCACCAGCCGAGACTAGAACAATGAGTTTGGAAAGGAGGAATGAAAATATGGGCGTCATCGCCCCGCTTAGCAAGCAGATGGTGAGCCCGACGAAAACGATTGGCTTGGTGGGAATGGTGGGGTACACAGCGCGCAGAAGGGCGAAAAGGCCGGGAGCTGGTGAAAGGTTAGATTGGTTTTGGGTGTCTTCATTTCCAGATGAAGGCACGACGATACTCTGTAGGACGCCATGGTGCTTGCGTTCTCTGCGCTCTCTCCTGTTCGCAGCTTCCTCGGCGCTGCGCTTCAATGCCTCCTTCTCAGTCTCGAATTCCTCATCATCTTCGACCATGCATACCGGCTCAGGGAAAGAGAAGCTCGGGCGTGAAAATGTCGGGGAGATAGGGGTGAACTGCAAGCTAAAACGATGGCCGCCGTATGTGCGAGGGGGAACCGTGACTTCGGGAATGAATATCGACATACTGCTCGGTCTCCGTTGTCTCCCTGCTGCACCACCCTTGAACTCCGGTATTTCTTCTATGGGTAACGCACTAGGGGGGATAAATCGACTCATCCGCCAGTCCTCGTCTTTCTCTGCTGCTGTAGGAAGAGGTGGCGGTGTTGTACTCGATTTCGTAAGCTCCGCAACAACATCGAACATCCAGTTGCCAAGCGTTGCCGTGACGGGGCGCATGCCACCCAATGTCGGGGCTATGCTCATGTGTCGTTCGTGAACTGGGAGCTCTTCCTCTTCTTCTTCCTCCTCCCCTGCGAGGATCGCTGCGACTGCATCGTACCCAGGAAGCTCGTCTTCAACTGCAAGCCCGCCTGTACGAAGCATGCGAGCAAATTCGTCATCTGCATGCTCGAGGTCTGATCGAAAGCCTTGTTCGACCACGGAACCTTCCCGCATGACGTAGACAAAGTCAGTCTCTTCGATTGCAGCAACATCATGCGTAATGATGATTGTCGTGCGGTCCTGTCGCCATCTCCGAATAGCAGCCAAAATAAGTGCGCGAGTCGGGGGGTCTAATGCGGATGTCGCTTCATCTGAAACAAGAGAACATAACTAAGAGACCAGATAAACGAGAGAGAAATGCAAAACTTACCAAGAATCAATATCTCAGGGTCACGAATCCGCGCACGGGCAATTGCGAGCCTCTGACGCTGTCCGCCACTCAACTGAATGCCTTCCGCACCAGTACCGCTCAATAGCGTATCGTAGCCTTGGTCTAAACCAACCACCCAAGACTCGAGCATCGCAACTCTACACGCTTCTTCTACTTCTGCTCTACTAACGTCCTCCGATCGCTTGCCTTTTCCCACTGCGCCAAGAGCCACGTTCTCGTGAAGGCTTCCTGGGAAGACAGGTGCAGACGATGCGCCCTGCGCTACGCCGGCTATGCAGCCCGACACGTACGCGGCGTCAATATATCGCACATCCTGCTCGTCCAGACAAACGTAGCCAGAGTCCGGATTGTAAACGCCCATCAAGATTGCACCAAGGGTGGACTTTCCGGAACCGCTTGATCCAACAATAAATGTTGTCTCATGTGCGGGGAGGTACATGGTTACATCGCGGAGTACTTGAACGTCCGGTCGTGCGGGATATGCGAAGCACACGCCAGTCAGGCTTAGTTCGCCGTAAAACGACTTTGGTTGTATTTTCCGGAGTTCTTGTAAACGTCGTGTCGAGGATGGTTGATGTGCTTCGGAGATCATGCCTGTGAGTTCTGCAGCCGCGATCTTGCCTTTCATAAAGGTGATAAGAAGGGGTACGGCCATTTGGAGGTTGCTCGTTGCGATAAGGCATGCCCAGAACACGCTCATGACTTGACCAGGTGTGTTCTTGCCTTCGCGAACAAGGTGAGCTCCGAACCAGAATCCTTGTACAAACATTGCCATTGTGACAAACTGGCTCAAGCCACATGTGAGGCCCCAGATTCCTGCAAGTCCATTCGCAGCTGCGCTTACGCGTCCGAGCACACGGGAAAGTACCCGAATCTCGTGTGTAGCTGCGTTGAACGCTTTGATGGTGGCGATTGCAGACACGGCACGCTCGACGACGGTAGCGGCACTTGCAGTAAAGGTGCGCTCACGAGTAAGGAGAGGACCCGCTAGAACTTGAGAGAATGCCTGAATGATGATTAATGCGGGGGCGGCTGAGAGAATGACAAGGGTGAGGAGCGGTGACCAAACGAATGCGAGCACAAGGCTCGTTATGGTGGTGGTTAGATATTGAAGCAGCTGGCCTGCTGCCAGTGACGAGGCTGCGCGTACGTCGTCGGTTTCTCTGTTGGATTTATGGAAAAGACACTCAGAATTAAGGGCTCAGACAGATAAAAGAATTGCTAACCTAGCAAACTTGGCCATGAGGCCGCCAGCGCCTATGGGGGAATCTTCGGACGTGTCTTGCACTTGGCCCGCAGGTGCAGACCCGTCGACCCCCATTCGGAGATCGAACCATGACATCTCCTTGTTGACAACAGACTGATACACGAGCCGTCTAAGCTCCACGACATTGTGCTCCCCAGTAGAAATCCACAAGCTACTCGTGATGCTACTCATGACGAGCGCACTAATACTGAGTGCTACGAGTTCAATTGCTGCAATGCCCACACCGTGGAGTAGCGCATCCTTAGCGGATTGCGGTGGGTTGGGTGTCAATGGGAAAGCGGCAAAGGCGTTGAATGACTGCCCGACGGCATAAGTCATAAGGGGAGCGATGGCGCCGGTAGCGACAGAAGACAAAATGGCCGGTGTTAGAAGAACCAGCTTCCTTCGCGGAGTGAGGAATGAGAACAGCAGCTTCGTTGATGGAACAGGTGCTGCATGACTGTTAGGAATGTCGTGAATTGATGTTGTCTCAGAGACACTGGAGTCATTTTTGATATCAAGTGTCGACGAAGAAGCTGAATGAATTGTTGACCGAATTGAAGGATCTGATGTTGGATCATGGTTCTTCATCGTCGTTCTACGCGATAAAATCGCCTCTGCAATCGTCTGAATGGTATAAGGGAGAGAAACGTCGAAAGCCAGTCTGCCATTCCCGCATTTTTGTTGTTTCAATTGTGGCTTTAGTTCCGCTTCACTATTGTCTTCCCACGTGGGAAGACAATCACACAATGGACGTTGAGACAATAAAAATATTATGTAATCAGGTACAAAGCCTTTGCACAACAATGGAAAACAATGGCCTATTACTTTCCATCACCATACTGCGCACTGCGCTCTCAGCTCCCACTCATTGTGTTCCAAGTATGCGATTATATTGCAGCTGAGGACTTTGATCCAGTTTTATCTATTATTGCGAGTGGCAGATCTCTCAAACAGGAGGCCTTTTCATCTTGCGCCATGAGAGCGGTGAAATATCGATTCTGCCGTGTGCGGACTGATGGTCCATATACAAAGTCGCTGAGTGGGTACGCCTGGCTGGAATGGAATGCACACCACGAGCCAACCCCCTTGCTCAAGGCTTGATGATGTTCAATCAAAACCTCAACCAGGTGGTTTGTTCAAGGAGACTACAACTTGCTCTCAATGCGCAACTTCATCACGTGATGATAGCGACTCAGATGAGCTTTTAACTCATTGCCCTCTTGACTGCGAACCACCCGCGAGGCTTCGTGCTACACGCATCATTATTTCGAACGGTGGGGATGGATCGAGCCCTCGAGTTTGGTTGCGTCTCCGGATCTCTGTAGATTGTATTCGTGACTATCGAAAATTCTTTCGATAGCGAAGCATCGTGCGTCTCTGAAGATCTTCTACTTCCCTTCTCATGTATTTCCTTGATCGTTATTACCTATACTTGCACTAGTTTGTGAAAATTTCACAATGAATATTTACGGAAAACCGTGCGCTAATTCTCATCCTTCGGAGGACAGCGTAGGTGACGATCGAACTTCTCATGAAATAATCAGGTACAACGCCTTTGCACAACAACAGTCAACAATGATTTCCACCAAAAATGTTCACACTTGTATCATGGACTCCAATATGTATTAATCTGCAGGGACCTATCTCATCGCATGCAATACATTGCGGTCACCTACCTCTCACTCGTCGTCATAGTACATTATAACAGTCCTGATTTGCTGAAGGACAGATACACTCCAGTGGTCAATACCAGCGTTGAGCAGGAGGATCGATAACCGATGCAGCAGTGAGCACCTGGCCCAGTGTCAGATAGAGTCCGAGTGAAGGTTGTATTCCATTCTATGGGATCTCACGCACCCATGGCCAATAGCCACAAGGCTGCCGCAACATGCAAGAACGTGCTTCTTTCATGTACTATGTGTGAAAGCTTTGCTTGCAGTAAAAACGTGGGTAGTCGCGCTGAAACTGTCTACTTCCCCATTCATGCCATCCTTCTTCCATCTATGTCCACCACAGCACGAATAACGCACAACACGTCCCCGCAATCTAGTCCCGTACCTGCAGATACCGACCTCCCGAACAACGAGTAAGTGGCAAGTTAGACTCAGCTGACCATAGATTTATAGACACACAGGAACACGATTGACATGAACGCAGTGACTGAGGAACCTGCCGTGTCTATCAAGGTCGACCTTAATAAAAATATATAAGTGTCGAACAATTGGCATGGTATACTCGACATCTGACTCTGTTGTCTCAAAGGTCAAGCACCCTGGAGCAGATCCGGGATCAAATAATGCCAGATAACACCAGCGAGGAACGTGTGGTGTCCAGGAATATGTAAATGTCAACCAACCAGCAAGGCAAACTTGACGTCTAACTACATTGTCTCAAAGGTCAGACACCCCACAGCAGACCCCGGACAATGGGATGGAGTCGCATAACGTGAAGGAAAGTTCTGTGGTGTACATCGAAGGAAATCTTGCTAAGAATATGTGAGTGTCAACTCATCAGCGCCATGCACTTGACGTCTGACTATATTTCCTCAAAGGTTAGATACACTGGGGCACATTCTCGAAGTCCTTCGAAAATCTACTATCGCTGGAGAACATGGCAAAGATGATAGGTCAAAGTTCTGGGCAAAATACAAGAAAATTTCGAATGAGTATTCCTCAACCGAGCGGAAGGCGATATATTCGTGATCCTGACTTTTGTACGTTCGTTTCTATATTAATCAACACAAATTTCACGCTGGATATTAGAGACATCGACAGACCCATCCATTGTCGAGGCTGCGGTTGCGATGATACCTTTCGTGCAGTGGTCGCCGAACCTTGATGCTTCAGCAACCTTTGCACGTTTACGTGATATTTTCGTGTCGTGTCAGGACAGGGAAGAGCTATGTGTGAAGTATGGCAAAGCCATGGCCCATATTTGCATCCAGCCGGTGAAAATAGACGAGGCGCTTCTAAAGCTTTCTTGGAATGATAAATTTCAGGGAAACCGAAGTCATTTCATTCGCAATGCGTTCATGGCTGGACGGGATGCCTACCATCAGCTGAAGAATTCATCCAAAGTAAATGATATACTGAAGCATCGGGCTGATACACGCACTGCTCTCAGAACGATGCTTGTCCATGGACAGTCTGTCGAGCTGTCACGTCCGGACGATGAACAGTTGATTTGGTCTGGTGATATGTGCTGGTATCACGGCGACGGGTGTGAGCCCAACTGTGAAGAATTTGATTGGCTCGTTGATTACCTGGCGAGTGACGCAAATACAAACTATGAGACACAAGGCGACGCTTTACTTGCACTGAGCGCCATGCAGGAACTGGGGAGCCCTACTAAGCGACTGTCCTACATCAGCTCGCTTATTCGCTGTATGGGTTCCACCAGACCTCGCCGAGTCCGTCATACTGTGCTTAGAGCTGTTTTTGAAGCCCGAGAAGAACTAGCTTCCATAACCAGTGTATCGATGCCAGAGGGTGTCGATGTACACATCCTGGATGAGCTTTCTCGCGCTGTTTTAACTGCTGTACATCCAAATGACGATGAAGCAATCCATGACACTGGACCTGACGCCTCTTTCCACGAAGATCGAGACTATTGCTATATCCGCCTCATCTATACCCTGACACAGAACGACGAGTGGAGGCAACGTCTGACCCGTGATGGCCATCTCGACCGATGTATTTCCCTAGTTAATGGAGTGTCTCAAAAGGGCCATTCGGATGTCGGATTCTACCTTCTTGTGATATTTGGGCGCATCAAGTCCTCAGGCAGGGATCTTCCTTTCAGTCCTGCCGAAGAGAGATGCTGGCCACTCCTCAAGAACCCATGGAACTCGGTGAAATATCTCGTAGGAGAAGATGGCTATGTCGATGAAATGCCAGCCTTCGTGACAGCGACGAGGCTGAATTTGACTATCTTGGATGATGGTGTTCCGAGAAAGTGGTTCACAGAACTCGCTGAAGATGTGCATATGACTTTGGTCAATTTGCAACAGAGCCAAGCAATCCTTGTGGAACATCAGTGAACTGGTGAGGAAATTAGAAGATCGTATATAACAATATATAGTACACAATCACAAACATCAGCATAATCCTGCTATGGACCATCACATTGTCGTGTTTGACTTTGTAGAGGAAAGGAGGCTTCCTGATTTTCCTACACATGTTTGTGATCGGGAAAAGACTCGCACATTTCTCAAACTCACACTCGACAGGAAGGTAGTGCAAAAGCTACTGATCGGCACCATCAACTGGAAATGCTTGAAGATTGTCATTTGTATTATAATTGTCCAAGTAAGAATGAAAGACAATATCCTTCCGATGAATGATGATATTTCGGTGAGTGAGTGAGGATAATATGTGTTCACCAAGTGCGTGACAATCAAATTATATCTCGCTTCGCATATCCACGCGACCTCCTGTATTTATCAAATAACCGACAGTTGTAGTTCCCTTTGGACAATGCCTCAAGAGGTCGTGGCCTTGCGCGAATGCTGTATCATTATGATGTAGTTCATTAGCGCAGGACTTGATAGTAGTGGGTCATAGACCACCCCAGTGCATCACGTACCATTTGACGGGCATAGCATGTATTGTGTCATGGTTCAGGAGAATTGCATGTGTTCGCGCGCTACAGGAGGAATTTTGTATGCATTCATTTCGGCCCTGAATGCTTTAAGTTCTTGATCCTGTGACTATGTTATTATTATGCAACAATTCATATATTCAACGAATTCTTCAAACCGCTAAGAAACATTATACAAAACCTAACAAACAAACAAAAGCTCAATGATTTTGAGTGTTGTCGGTGGGGACGTTGAAGTCGAGATGTCATCCAATCATGTTCATTTCGCAGGTCCAAACCGTTCTGTCGTGTGATTAGCACGATGATTAAAACTTACAGAGATGACCATGCTTGCGCTACAATTCCTGGATTCACAAGACTCCACTGTCTACTCTAGAATTCTAATGTTTGTCTGGTAGTTATCAATTGGGAATGCGTGTGAAAAAGCTTTACCTTTGTGCAGTAGTCGAGATATGTTCACTGAGTGGGCAAATGATCGATTTGTACCATGGTTCGGGTCTCTAAGTCATATTTTTTGCTTTACTAAAGACTGGCAGAGGCACATCACTTGCGACTGCATTCAAAGAAGTCATAGCTTTGCCTGGACACCGTGGAGTTATCACTCAGTACCTTGACTCAGAATTCCACAGTCAAGGGTCATACACCACCACGGTACGTTGCCCATAGTGATGTACAGGGCCGGGCCTCAGGCCCTCGAGCCCTGAGGCCAAGCCCTATGTAGGCAGGGCCAAGCCGGGCCCAAATGTCAGGCTTACTAGGGCCTAGGGCCTGGCCTGTAGTTTGACTGGGCCCAAGCCCTGGGCCTGGGCCCCAGCTTTTGACTTTGTAAAAAATCTGCAGCCGTCGGCCGATGTCAGAGATATAAACTATACAGTTTTAAATTTTCTCGAAAAGGCAAGTACGTACCCGTACCGTAAGTTGGTCACGTTCATTAATCATGTCGATCGTCGTATCTGACGATGAGTCCATGTCAGGACATGTTGTGTCTCGGCCACGACGAAATGTGACACTTTCGTCACGACTCACCGATGCCAACAACGATGCAACTCCAGAGCTCTCAGCCCACAGGAACAAGCCTCCTGTGCCTGCCATCAGCGCCCAAAAACCAGTACCAACCGGCAGCAAACGAGGAGCAAAGGATGTGGTACTAGACGAAAGTACATCTGACGAGGAGGGTGCTACTAGTATGGAAAATGGACCGCATACAAGTAAGTTTTTTTGTACATCTCATCTCAGGACCACTCAGTTCGAACGTTGCAGGCAAACGGCTGCGCCGCATTGCAAGCGCTGATGGTGAGGCGTCGTTTACAGATGCTTCCAGCCCATCTCAGGCTGCAATTGATATTCCAGGTACGTATTTACATTATCATGTTCTATAACTACTTGTCAATGCTTCTAATCAACAGAAGATACTCCGAGCACGCGCAATGTAACATCCATGGACTCCGAAGGTTTTTTATCCGACATCGATGTACAAGACCTATCCGCAACCCCGACCATTCGACGTGAGGAAAAGAGCCGCGACGTTAGCGCTTTTTTCGGCAAGCCATACGCACACAAGGCCAAGGATGGGAAGACTCGTACAGTTCGAGACTGCAAGCCATGCAAGTAAGTAAAGTCTTTGATTTGCTACCTCCCAACTAACAGATTCATAGAAAAAAACATTACCCATGCCAGATCGTTAGTGACACTTCAACGTGTCGCCGCCACATTGCCTTTCGGCATCCGGTAAGTTTAGTACTTGAATCTTGACGCTTCATTTGAGTATTAACGTTTATATCAATGTTTATAGGACGCCTATCGACAATGGTGCAAAACTAACAACTTCGAGTCGATGCTACCTCAATATGTCAAGGAACGCAAAACAGCAGCCGCAGTGCTGAACGCGCAGCAAACAAGTCTTGACAGACACCTCCAAGAGATTCCCCCCAACAACGTAGTTATACCTTATACCGATACACACTTCCATGAGGCTGCCATTGAATGGCTCGTATCTACTAGCCAGGTAAGTATTCATTACTTGTATTTAATATGATATTTAACCCGATTTTACAGCCAATCCAAGCTGTAGATCATCCGAGCTTCAAGAACATGATCAACATAGCATCCCGTGCTACGAATGGCGTGGTCCTACCAAATCGAAACGCTACGCGCCGCGACATCATGGACTTGTTCAAGACACAGCTTACAAAGTTAAAGGGCCGGCTCAATGTAAGTTTTCGTTTTGTCTGATTATCATCAACTGACATTGCAAATAGAGCAAGCTTGTATCCGGCACTGTCAACTTAACATGTGACGCGTGGCAGGCAAGTAATGCAGATGGATATTTCGCTACCACTGGCCACTGGATCGAGGAGACATCACCTGGTGTTTGGCAGCTTGAATGTGCCGTCCTGGGATTCACGCAACTCAACAACTCGCACAATGGACAACACCTTGGTCAAGCATTGTTTAAGATCGCGGACCGAGTGGGTATTGCTCATAAGGTAAGGTACATTGGAATACCTTGTTATGTTGTACTCATGTGGGATTAGATTGGCTATATTACGTGCGACAATGCTTCAAATAACGACACGATGCTTGATGAACTGGCACTTCGGATAAAGCAAGGGACAGGTATGACGTGGATCCCAAAAAAGCGACGCATTAGGTATAGTTAACTAACTATTTGTTTCACCCTTGTACTGATGTATACCTTGCAGGTGTTTAGCTCACGTCATTCATCTTGCGACACGAGCTATCATTGCCTCGTATAGCAGTGCCCCGTACTATAACCCTGAGCTTCCAGATTTGTCTATCCCTCAAGTACATGGCCGTCGTGATGAAGTTGGCCTCGTGCGAGCCATCGCAGTCAAGGTATGTCATTTTCGAAACATTTTAATATTGTTTGACTAATGATACAAGGCACGGTCTTCTGCCCAACGAAAACAACTTTGGAAGGATATCCAGACCCGTCAGCCTAACCTGAGCCCTGTTGTCTCACAACTACTACTTGACATGCCCATCCGGTGGTCCTCGACTTATGTTATGCTCGACCGTGCTGAGAAGAAGAGAGCCGTGAGTACCCTAATATAACTAACAAGTCTAAACTAACTGTTCTTTAGTATGTTGATACATTTGTCTACGAGCTCGGCCTTCGTGAGACTAACCTTACAAAACGTGCCAGAATTGATCAGTTGAAGTTGCGTGAAGATGAATGGGCTCGCATTGCATTATTCACGTCTCTTCTTGCTGTGAGTATTAGGTTGTCTTTTTGTCATTTTCGACACTGATTATCACTTCAGCATGCTGACAAAGCTCAGCAAAGCTTTTCGTCGGACAAAGGAGCATCCCTTCACCTTGCTTTGCCAGCTCTCGAGGCCCTACATAAGGCATGGTCGACACGTTCTGAGAATCCCAAGTACGAGCAATTTCAGGAAGCCTTACAACAAGGTGTTGCAAAGATCCACGAGTATTACAACCGAAGTTCGGAGTGTGATGCATACATCATCGCAATGTGTAGGTGACGTGGCTTGTCATATTATTAATACTAACTCCTGGGCCTGTTGTATCTAGTGCTTGACCCATCACAGAAGGACTCCCACATCAAACGCTTTTGGGGCAAGGTCACACATGCCGAGGCTCTCAAGGAAGCCGAACGAATTGTAGGTTGTCTGTTTTCGAGTGAAAGTATAAGCTTACATCTAGACTAGTTTAAGGAAGAGCACATTAAATTGTATGGTGAGCATGGTGTTCCGTCGTCACTGAAGAAGAGATCAGGTAAGGTATATGGACTTCTCCGAGAGCTTTCCAGTGATGATGAGAGTGGTGATGACGAGCCGGAAGAGTCGGAGGTGGATCCACAGTTGCCATGGTTGAGGGAGTTCCACCTCTATCTTAACTCACGCACTTCAGTTCCCGATAACATGTCTATCATCCAATGGTGGGGGGTAAGTATCATTTCATGTGAACTGTATTATTACTGATGTAGCTTAATATTGTAGTACCCTAATAGTTGAAGCAATTCAAGTACTTCGTATGATGTATCAACGTGATTTAATCTTTCGAGAGGCCCCTCCTTCTTCAGCTGTAGAATTAGCATTGGAGGAACTGGATGATAGAGAGGAGGGTGGCTGTGATGACAACATCATACTGTCAGGTGAATCAGATGTCGAGGATTAGGTCTCTAATTGATTAGGGTAGTGAAATAAAATCTTCATCTTACCTTGGAAGCCCTGGCCCAGGCCTGAGCCAAGCCCGAGCCAGGCCCAAGCCCTCTGAAAGGGCCTGGCCTGAGTTTCTTCCAGGCCCAAGTCCTCTAAAGCCAGGCCCAAGCCCTGGCTTTCAGGCCAGGCCAGGCCCGAAGCATCACTAGTTGCCCACCATTCAACAGCCTTCACGCACCACATGCAACTGCGTTATTAGAGATTGTAGCTTTTCCTGGACACCCTGGAGTTGTCACTCAGTACCTTGACTCGGAACTCGACAGTCAAGGGTCATATACTACCACGGTACGTTGCTCACCATTCAACAGCTTTCGTGCACCCGTGCCACTGCGTCCTAATAAATTGTAGCTTTTCCTGGACGCCATAGAGTTGTCACGTAGTATCTTGACCCGGAACTCGACAGTCAAGGGTCATACACCACCACGGTACGTTGCTCACCATTCAACAGCCTTCATGCACCACGTGCAACTGCGTTCAAAGAAGTCGTAGCTTTTCCTGGACACCGTGGAGTTGTCACTCAGTAACTTGACTCAGAACTTGACAGTCAAGGGTCATACACTACCACGGTACGTTGCTCACCATTCAACAGCCTTTGTGCACCCGTGCGACTGCGTTCTAAGAAATTGTAGCTTTGCCTGGACGCCATAGAGTTGTCACTTAGTATCTTGACCCGGAACTTGACAGCCAAGGGTTGTTGTTACAATAACATGTAACCGAGAACCCCTCCTACGGAGGTCACCATGACCTTAGCCCCTATCCCACCATATGCACCGTCCTGGAAGACTTACCGACTCAACGGAGACTCGTAGAGACACCTAGAACGGCCTGGATGCCGTTAGATGACCTAGACCAGCCTAGGCTACATCTGATCGGACCTAGATGGTCCTCGACCCGGATCATGAGGAAGCTCTGCCTCATGGTCAGAAGAGAAGCCGCATGCCTTAGCATGCGCAGTTAGACTCCAAGACATGCTACGCCTTGAGGACAGATAAGAGAGGCATGGTAAGCCTCATGCATAGATAATCGCCCGCATGGCATCAGATAAGATGCCCTTGTATAGACACACTTATACCTACCTACCGAACGTAGTATTGGTCTGTGCACACGGACGACAGTATATAGAGCAGACAGAATCATGTATATTCCCTACTTGATTCTACTAGGTTTTATCCAGAACTTCCTCTGAAAGACAGTCCCAGTCCTTCAGTCTAAGCCGCACCTTAAGGAAAGCCGACGCTACCTTAAGTGGAACCACCGAACCTCTCATTCGAGAGAAGATCCCCGTCTCTCCAGTAGCGAGCCCGCTATCAGATTAGGCAATCCGCCTAGGGAGAGCTCGAACTATCCTAGTCCGTAACAAAAGAATCAAGTCTTACTTTCCCGGCCCTGCTCATCACGCACCGCCGTCGAAACTGAACCGACCGCACCGCTGAGACAAGCGTAGACCTCTACTCTCGTGACCAAACCGCCGAGACCGGCGTAAAGCTATCCACAAATTATCAAGACAGACGTACGAAGCTTTGAATCCTTAAGCCCATCACTGTCCCTTCGCACTACTCCCTCTACCATGAACGCACCGATGCAGATCATGATGATCAGAAGAAATACCGACGCCGCCGCCAACCTTTCAGGAATGGAGACAAGACACCACCTGAAGCAACGACGATGCTTTTCTTGCCATCACGTTGGACACAAAGCCAACGACCACAAGTGCCCGATGAGGAGAAAGATTATCGAAGAAGAAACAGTCCGCAAGACAGCGGCTGGTAAGGAGAAGACTGGACCGCTGATAATTAACAAAAACAGCGTATCCAAGAAGAAAGAACTACGGGTTGCCGCCACCCTAATGTCTATCACTAAGCCGCCCATCACAACCACCATGGTTATAGACTCGGGCGCATGCGACTCATTCATAAGCAGAGACTTCTGCAAGAAATACCGCATTAGAACGCACCTCCTTCAGACACCAAAAAAGGTAATGAACGGAGACGGAACGATAGTCGAAGGAGGCAACGTCAAGAGATTTTGCCGACTCATTATAAAGATCGACGACCGAGTAATGCACGGACGATTCCTCGTAATGCCGCACTTAGACGACATCTTACTCGGATTCACATGGCTGGCCGCTGTGAAGCCTTCCATAGACTGGAAGAAGGGTACGGTAACTATCCCTGCCACTGACAAGTCGAAAGGACTTGAGAGAATGATTGAGAGAGGTAGGAAGAGGAACGGGTTGAAGCCGCTCTTCCATAGAGAAAAGAGGACGCGAAACACGCGCCAAAGAAGGGAGGTGTTAAGACCATGCACAAAGGGTAGGACTGATTCCGAGGGGCTTGGCTTCAGCTCGTGCGCTGCGCCCCTTACCCGAGTATGTGCCCTTAACTTCAGAATGAAGTCCGGAGAAAGTCCAGTGAAGTCCGAAGGACCTCCGGAGAAGCGTGGGAAACTTCGGAAGGACTTTCCGGACGAGTGCGAGAAACTTCCGGATGAGTGCGGGAAAGTTCCGGAGGAACTTCCGGAAATTATGATGGAGTTTCGTCCTGACGGGGATATGTATAATGGCTACTCAGGACGAGTCCTGAGTAGAAGGAAACAGAGGAAAGGCTGCAAGGACAAAGTCCGAAGCAGAATAGGTCCGGAGGACCGCGGGAAAGTTCCGGAGGAACTTCCGGAAACTCGAAGGAATGGAGGATCGGATGAGTGGATGAGTGGATGAGTGGATGAGCGGAGGAGCGGAGGAGCGGAGGAGCGGAGGAGCGGAGGAGCGGAGGAGCGGAGGAGCGGAGGAGCGGAGGAGCGGAGCTCCGGCCTAGGGAATTCCTCCCTAGGCCTGAGATGGATGATTACTAAGTCGGAGGAATAGAACTGTTACGAGGACTCAGTGTGAAGACTAGTGCGAGGACTAATATGTGTATGATATTCAGACTGAGGAAATACAGGAGTATCTACTGGGGTTTATATACTAGAGGCAAGTCTGTGCAGATCAGTAAGCAGAGGGGTAAGGCTATGTACGAGCATGTGGAAATGTATTAGAAAATAAGACGGATCATAGGAAATGAACTCGGAGATGAAATGAGGTACGGAAAATGAGGAAGTCTAACTCAAGAAGGAACATACAAAGGGATAAGGCACGGAAGATAGACGCGGGTCGGATCCGGATGTCCGGAGATGAATGCGTGATAGGTCTGGGTCCGGAACGCAAGGAAGATAGACGTGGGTCGGATCCGGATGTTCGGAAGTCCGGAGACAGGTGATTACCATAAGGGGATGGGCGCTGATTTAAGGTTTGGGTTCGGACATGACAGATAGGTCGGATCCGGAGATCCGGAGATGTGGATATCAGATCTGGCATCCGGATATCAGATGCAGGAGTACAGGGATCCGGACGGATATAGGATTGGGTCTGGAGACATGGACAGGAGGTCCGGGGGTCCGGATGAGGCGTGGGAACATCGTCAGATGTTGGTCCGGAATGCGGGATATGACAGGAGGTAGGCACCCTGACGAAGAAGAAAGAAGAACTCCGAGATGAGTATAAACTAGATCTGACAGAAGCACCTGTCACGCAGAACCTCCGGAATGAGGCTAAACTACCAGAACCGGCTGATTCGCCGATGGAAGATCTCCGAAACGAGTTGAAACTAACTTCGGGAAGACGGAGATTCAATCCGACATTAACCCCGATCGAGGAACTCCACGAAATCCTCGAGTACGCACCGGCTACCAAGCCGTTGGAACCCCACGCCTCGACATCCCAGAACGTCGAGAAGAAGTCCACGAGACAGTCGGACTTAGTTGCCACCTCACCACCCGCAGATAAATATAGATTTTCTGCAGTACCTGCCCAGATCTTAGGAAAAGGCAGAGCCACTTTCGATGAGGAACCCCCTCGTGCAAAGATCCCTAGACCGGCCCCTGAACCGGAGAAAACTCAGAAGTACGTCTTTTCAGCAGAACCTGCTTCGGTTCTTGGAAAAGGTAGATCGGTAGTCACGGCAGAAGCGCCGTCACCGAAGAAACTCCGCCAAGAGTATAAACTAGCAGAAGAAGAACCGGCCGCTGATCAATGGGTCAACCGGGCCGAGCCGATCGTTTCTTTCCCAGAACGATCGAAAACCGCACCAGTCACTCGCCCATTCCTCGTGCCCAGACCAGCTGATAAGGAAATGATGGAAGAAACTGACGATGAAGATAACGACGAGATAGTTGTTAATACCACCTCCGCGGCCCCTGCCATAGCAGAAGAACCCGCGACGACTCCGATGGAAGTAGATCGGATTAAACAGCAGAACTACTTTCAGCGAACGATAAAGCGTATCGCAAGACACTGTCCCCGCCAGGACGACCCTGTGGATGTTAGATTATTCCAGGGAGAGATCGCACCAGTCACGGATCAGTCTGATCCTGACTGCGAAAACCTTGATTTAGACTTTTAGATTTGATCGGTGATCAAACGGCCTACTTGGGGGGTGAAATTCTCATTTAAAACTCATTTCACTCTTAATTCCCCTCACCCCGGCCGCACCCCTATCTATAAATATCGACGATCGCCACGAGTCCGGCATGACTATAAACTGTACCTGAGTCCGGCACGACTATAAACTGCGCAGAAGTCCGAAATGACTCGAAACTATCCTCGGTCCGGAAAGACCTTAAACTATCCCAAGTCCATCACGACTCTAAACTAAGAATAGAAGGACGAACCCGGAGATACAGACCCCTTCACCTTGAAGACAAGACTAACACACCGAGAAACTCCT